TTTTCATTGTTGGAATTTTTCGCTTTTACCATTTAGCTTTATAGTTAACCTTGTGATGATTATCCTAAATTGTCAAGACATTGTAAACGACCAGTCACGTCTAGGATTGTGTACAATCACCTCCCTACTGAGATACCTACTGAGACACCCACTGAGATAGGCAGTTGTGATAAGTTCTCAAATATTTCAACTTGCATCTGTGAAGGCCTTTAATGTTGGCTAAGAGGGTGTAGGATGGTGGGTAGACACTGAAATGATTGTAATAAGCTACCACAAAGGTCTGCTATATCTTGCCCATAGTCTGCTAGGACTTTGTTGCGGCAGCCTCTCAAGGAACGGTTGCTCATTTTTTTCAAGATTAAACTTGAAATGCTGCTGAAGTTCTCTCCTTCATTTTTTAAAAGGATGACTGAGTAGAATTTTTTTTTCTAGAATGGCTAGACAGCTTACCCATTCAATTTTAAATTGCTAAGTATTTCCTTATCTGAGATAAGACATTCAAAATACATGAACTGATTGAAGTCTGAATAGAGATGAAAATAAATCTAGTCTACTAAAGTGTTACAAGTCATAATTTCAATTATAATTAAGTTTAACAAGAGTGATGAAAGTGTACCAAAAGTAGCAGGTCATCACAACTCATTCCTTGTGACTCCATTTTTTTAAATTTGATTACATGCAGCATCTCATGAATGAGTAAGCAATGTCTTTCGTCTTTGCATTTCAATGTTAACTGTGTGGATCAAGCAGAAAGTTATCATGCCCTGACAGTTATAATTAGTCCTTATATTAATAGTTTTTTGTTTTTTTTACATTTCATGATATATAAATAAACAAATTAAAAAGAGCACATATTAATAAATCTTATTTATACCACGCTTATCCTCAATCACCAGCTGTAGATATTCACCTAATGCTTTTTGTGTATGTAGCTTTTTATGTGAGCTTGTCATTTGTTTTGGGATTAGCTTTATTGTCATAGCAAATGTCAAGTCGTGTATAATGATGGGTCAGTTTCCAGTTTTCTACAACAGTTTTCTCCCATCTTCTCATCCCTAAAAATACTGAAGATAACTGTGAAGCCCCTCTGGGAAGAATGATTTCCCCCTTCCATTTGTAAATACCCTTTTTTTGTATTTGTTTATTACAGCAGTCAGTTTTTAATTATTTTTAGATTTATACATCCCAGGGTTGTTATTCTTTGAACCTTGCATAAGGTTCCTCCTTTTTTTAAATTGAGGTGTGTATGCCATGTTCAGTATTTTACACTGTTACTCCTTTGAGTTGTAAACCAACTTGTTAGTGTTTAAGGTCTCTTTCATTCAGCAAGAGAAAATTTGGTTTGCTGAACATAATTTAATATTTATTGTTACTTCTGTAGGACTGTTATTTATTAATCTTACCTTTTTTAATAAAATTATTTTTTAATTTAAATAAATAATAGTTCATTAAGAAAGAAGTCAGTAGTTCACTTCATTACTTCATCATTACGATTAAAATTGATCAAACAAGAATTTATTCACTCTAATAACTACATCGTTCTTATTCAATATTTTAAATCAACTATTTTCTAATCATCATTTATACAGCTTGCGATGTTAGAACTTGGTCGAGACATTCAGTCTCAGCTCACAATTATTGCATCAAAGTAGAAATTGTATTGTTTTTGTAGATTTTTTTTGTCAGTGCATAATTTGGTTGGTGCAGCAGTTCAGATATTGCACTTTTATTGACTTTATCAATGTTTATTATTTTTTTTAATCATTTATTTTCACTATGAATGTACAGATTATTTTATGTTGCATACGAGGTTGTGTAAGTCATTTATAGGCGCAAGTCATGTTTAATCATTACAATAAAATCTTGAATTACATGTTTTTGCTATAATTTTGTTTTTAAGACAAATTATTAAATCTTACAACCAAACTTACTTTACTCCCATACATATGTATTGCAGAAGTTAGAACCAGACTGGTCTTAACATCTGCAGGGACATAAAAAATGTTAATACCTCAACTCAAATTCCAATATTTTATTAAGAGGAAATCAAGTACCAGATTTCAAAGTTCAGCACTGCAACAGTAGAAATAAGAACATTTTAAAAGACTTCTAGGAGCTTAAACTTGTAGGTTGACAGTTGTCAGTTTCCTCCCCTGAAAGATCCAGGGATGAGAATCAGTTCCTTTAACTTTAAGTAGTTTTATTTATATATAGCTGTTATACATTTCTTACTACTGTGTACATACAGCTTGGTTAGTGGTTCAGCACTCATGCAGCCAATTAGATGCTGTGTTGATTAATAACTATCAGCTCCTCTAGACCATACAAGTGTAATCCCTCAACTATGGATCCTTTATAAATATGTGGAATTTAACCTTTAAAATTTAACAATTAATGTATTTACTTTTCAAAGGCTAGAAAGAATATGAAGAGGCAAACCATTTGGAAAAACTCCTATTGATCTGACTGGTGAGAAAAAGCTTTTAGTCAATCTGTAATGCTGTGTCTAATAAACTTTTAAAATTAAAGGTTTTCTTTGCAATCAATGTGTTTCCTTACCAATTTCTTAACTGCTGCCCACTGCTAGTTAAAAGCCTGCAGAATTAATTAAAAATTGGAAAGTGACAAATCTCATTCAAAATTTAGGCAAAGTGCACAAAGTGCAGAGTGATGAAAGGAATTTCCATCTTTAGACTTTTTTTTTTTTTTTTTTTTTTTTGGAGTGGCATAGGCATAAAAACCAAAACACACAAACACAAATATTTTTTGGTTTGCAATTAATGTATTTGAATATTTATACCTCAAAAATAGTAAATCGGACAAGATTTTGACATTTAAATGGGAGGCTTTGATGTGAAAGACTTAATATATTTATAAGGAACACCTGAAATAAAGTGCGCCCGTTTGATACCTTGCAGATTTGAGCAATGTATTCAAATTTCAGTGAAGGTTGTCTTTTTCTATGTAAAGACTACTAAAAACACACATAGGCATAAGAATAAGAGCCAGATCAGAACACACATAGGCATAAGAACCAGATCAAAACACACATAATCATAAAAGCCAAAACACACAAATAGACATTTCTTCTTCTATATATTAAGGGCCCACGATCAATTTATTGATCATTTTGGCTCCTAGGCATGTAGAGGGGATTTGCAATGTTTCTGTGCCTGGTGTTGAGGGTATTTCACTAATTGCATGTGCTACTTTTTGAGGGAATCATGCACTGGGGGTTGAAAGGCTTGAGGCAATAGGCACAAATGTATCTAGTGTTGTCACCTCAACTGTTTCTTTTGAAAGCTTGTTCCAGTCCCTGATTGTCTTTGGCAGGAATGAGCAGTTCTAATACTGGCTTCTTTGCCAGAATTGCCTGTCATGGCCTCATCGCTGTCTATGGGGGAGAGGGACGAGTTTCTGTTTAATATTGTAACAGTGGACTTGACCATTATTTATCTTGTACAATATGGAGAGCCTGGATAGTGGAAACACTAGAGGTATTCCTGTAGTGGTTCAGGACATTTAAACTAGAGGCTTTGTGTTGACAGTGAAAGACTTGACATACCATAATTTATAACAAAAACCTGAAAAAGACATTACACAATATTCAAACAAAATTTACTAAACATGTTAAATTTACTAATCCATTTTAAAGCAAGTCAGTATATCCAGGCAGGCTGTTAGGGCTATACATGAGGCGCACAATCATTTTTATACCCCCCAACCACACTGTTGCGCATGTAAATTTTCACACATTTAAACAGTATGACAAATATCTAGAGCAGGGGTCGGGAACCTTTTTGTCTGAGAGAGCCATGGACACCACAAATTTTGAAAAGTAATTCTGTAAGAGCCATACGTTATGTTTAAAACTAAAAATTCAAGTAAAATGTGCGCATTTTGTGTAGTTTCAACACTAAAAAAGCAATAATTATGTCTCTAAATTCTTTTTAATAACATTGTTATGCTGTTGCTAATCAATAATGAGTATTTCTTACCATTAAATGGGACTTTTTTTTTTATGATCGAACATTTTTCTGCGAGCCAGATGCAGCCATCAATAGAGCCACATCTGGCTCGCGAGCCATAGGTTCCTTACCCCTGATCTAGAGAGTCACTTATGAAAATACAAAGGAAACAGTATGACGATAAATGAGAAACATTGCAGTGATAAATTTATAGTTTTTGAAAATAATTAGAAATCATGGATTTCCACAGATGTTTAGGTGACAAGTTTTATGAGAGATAAATGTATTTGCACTTTCAGAATAATTATTAATATTATTACAGAATTTTTGCAAAAATGTATGTTCACATTCTGCCAAGACATCCCCCCCCCCCCAACCCATGCATGAACAAAATCAACAACACCCCCACCTTCCCCCTCAGCCCTTATGTAATATATGAATGGCCCATTACTTTGCAATGAAATATCCCTTTTCAGAGTAAATGAATGTGATTACTTACTCATTGACTCAATTGTTCCCTATAGTAAGTTCATAAGCCTCAGATCATTCTCTTTACATGAGAACACATTGCTAACATTCCAAATATTTTATATTGATCATTTTTGTTTTTTAAATCTAGTATTACAAAATGAAAACTTGTTTAGAAAACTAAATCTAAAATATTGTTAGATTTGTTTTGACTTAATTAATTCTGGTATGTACGATTTGGAGATTTACATAAACCTCTTTATGGAATCCTGATTTCAAACAACCTTGTTACATAAAACATGCTCATTATTCATTCAAGTATAAGAAAAATGCTCATCTTAGGATGAGATATATGAAAAATTTAGTTTTAAAAACAGCAACCGCATTAGCAAAACAATTTTCATACTCAAGTCGCCAAATGAAAATAAAATAATTCTTTTGATAGGAACAAATGTTTTTAAACAGTTCTTTTATTCTTTTTTCTTAATCATGTTTTATTAGTAAAATCAATGGAATAGAATTATAATATTTTTATTGTTAAATAAAACATTAAAGACTTCTCAGCTGTGTTGTAAAAAAATATTTTGAGTTATCCAAAATGTTAAAAAAATGTAAATAAAACAGGGAAATTATTTCCAAGAGGAAAACAAATCAAACAAAAGTAGTAAGAAAATTTGACTAATAAGATTAATACATCTGTAATAATAAAATCTATTGTAAACAGCTAATTATATAGCAAGGCACTATTGCTTCCTCCATACAATATTTCAACTAATTCTGTAGCACTTGTAATAGATATTCACTGGCCAGTTATTAAAAGCATTCACACCAGTCAGCTGTTGGACAAATCTTCATCATTCAAATCAAAATATTAACACTGCCACACTTTGTACAAATTATGTTACAGTTACTTAATGTAAAAAATGGTTAACCATGGAAATGGTTTTTCATCCATCTTATATCAAAGCATTTCATATCATAATTTCTATTCTTTTTTTCACCATCCACATCTTCTGATTCACAAATAAAAACTATTTTTAATAATTTAAATGATACATTTTGTTCATTCTAAAAACAAATTTTTATTTTACTATTTCCCTCACATCTCACCTATCTACTGTAACTACTTTTCTGAAATGGTAAATTAAATTGGATTAAAATGGTCACCTTATGCAAATCTTATGAAAAGTATATGACCTGATAAAATCAATTAACATATTATGGTTTCTTTGCGGGTTCAGATAACTTGATATGAAAGGTTGCTTAATTGTTTTAAATGATAAACTTTTAAAAAGTTTGATGTTTTAACCTTTAAAAAAAAAATTGTTCTAGAAACAAACAATACTTTTTTTTTACGCACAAAGATATGACAGTCTCTGTTATGTAAGTTACAAAATTAAAACGTCTTGTGCTAAATTTGAACCACATAACTCAGAATGCTATGAATTGAGCACAAGCTACGTCATCTAGTACAACCATGTGTTTTAATGAACAACCAAAGCTTTAAAAATGTGATCTAAACATTGTTGTTTGGGTGTAATACAATCACAGCTGATAAATATTAAATCTGATTGAACACCAACAAAGGGTTGAGGACACAAGTCTAGATCTTTCATTAGGGATCACACATAGCAATACGCAAATGGTCCCATTAATTAAATATTCTGCCATCAATGAAATACACAAACGTGAAAAAAAAAGAAGTAACGATTTTTTTATAATGCAACACAACTTTTAAATATGATAAAAAGGTTGTAAGAGGTTTGTTTAAAACAATATTGTAACATTTTCAAGAAAACGTAATGTAAAGGGTTTCAAAAAGTTTTAGGATAAGAAGCATACTTGAAATTAATTTGAAACAAAGATGCCATATAATAAGTGACTAAAAGTAGTCTGTGGTTTATAAAAAAAATCTTTGAAACCAACGCACACAAAATAAGACAACAACATCTCATTGATTTTTCTCCTTCTGCACAGCAAAATGGGGGTTTAAGGCCGTAAGCGAATGAAAATGAACACATTCACTTGTAAGGTAAATAAAATATCACATAAATACTTTTAGTAAAAGGTGAACAACATAAACATGAATGATGCTTTTAAACATGGGTCTTTTTAACGTTTAAGTAAAAAAAAAAAAAGTGAAAATTAAGCTGGGAGGACCAACTGGTGACATCAACTAACCCAGAAAAAACGGGGCTAGCAAGTAGCTTATTTCATAGTTGAACCATGACCTCAGACCCAAGGGCACATTATTGGATGATTATTATTTCTTAGTCAAGAATCTACTTTTGACAAATATATTAAGCCATCTATTGTCTAGTTTATAGCTCTCAACTCACAGTATGCAAAAATGGTCATTAGATATATAATTCTTTGTCTTTGGCATTCTTGTCAATGGCTACCTATCAAACCTGTAGTTTTAAAAACCAAAATGACAGTGCCTGATAGCATTATCATTTGTGAATATGTGTTATTATTTATTCTAAAATAAAATTTCAAAATGACAACTTAACCCATTCTCAAAACATTTCTTACGCATCTCAATTACAATATATAAATTATGATTTTTTTCAAAATGTCTTCTTGTCAACAGATAAATAATAGCAACGACCAGTGCAAAGGGAAATAAGTTTCTGCTTTCTTTTATATGCTCCGAGTATTTTTTACCATGATCAAATTCTTGATCCTTGCATTGTCAGATTGATAAATAAGTTTTTTCTTGTAGTAAGCGTTAATATGATCCACTTTAGTAAACATTAATATGATTCTTATTTTCAATCTTGTCTTTGGGTTGATTACCAGAATAAAGTCATCAACTCTTGCAAGCTGGACAATTTGATTTTTTGGAAGATCTTCTCAGCTTCACAATTTCTTCGTCATCTGAAATAAATAGAAGAAAGTCAGTGTGTTGAACACAGTCAGTGTGTTGAATACAGTCAGTGTGCTGAATACAGTCAGTGTGCTGAATACAGTCAGTGGGTTGAATACAGTCAGTGTGTTGAATAAAATCAGTGTGTACAGTCTGTGTGTTGAATACAGTCAGTGTGCTAAAAAAAATTGTCAGTGTTTGGTCTAACCATAATTTAAGCATATATATTGCAGAATTAGTTTAGCCCAGGGGTCACCAAACTTTTTTCCCTGCAGGCCGGATAACGGACAAAATGACGAGCGTGGGCCGTATAATCATTCAATGCAAGCCAGAACGAAAGCTCTGAGAAAACAGACGACAAACTAAGTCAAAGTTATCAAAGAAGGCGACTTTATCAATAAGATAGTTTCATCAGGACCAGTGCGCAAGTATCAGAATCTCACAAAGTGAAAATGGTTAGTGATATTTGTCAAACTGACATTTGGCTTTCAAGAAATCATGACTGTTTGGTTTGGAATTGCTGCATCCATTTAAGAGAATTGCTTTCAAATGATCATCAGTCAATCTCGTTCGATGTGTTGACTTCATTTACTTCATTTTTAAAATGTTTGCTCACAGACATAAGTTGCACCACATATTACGTTTGCCCTCAGAGGAGAAGGCGGTGGTGATGATTTGGGAGATTTTGTGTACGGGGAGTGGTCTAAAATATTTAAATCTTTACAATTTACACCACATTTTCGTAATGATAGTGGTGATGGTCATATGGTTGCCTTGTGTGTTTTCATAATTAACTCTCTAGACACGGCAACTGTAGTATTACCATTGTCACCTTAGTGACAATTTTAGTCAATCCTCGCTTTTGTTTTATTCGTTGCTGTACGGCGTAATTTTGTGACATGATTATTTTGTTCTGCAAACCGCGGCCAGTAGCGTGGTGGGGGCAGGGGGGGACAGATGTCCCCGGGCGCCAGCTAGTTAGGGGCGCCAAAATGTGCTTTGATATTATTTTATTGATGAAAATAATGGGTTTGAGAGTTGAAAAAAAGAAAAAGGGGCGCTAAAAATGGATCATGTCCCCAGGCGCGAATCTTGTCCCCGGGCGCCAAACACCCTCGCTACGCCACTGCCCCCATATCTTGCCAATACTCCTCTTCTCTTCAACCATTTACCGTTTGTGGTAGTATTAGACTATCATCTATTAGCGGGAATAGGTTAATAATACAACAAAGTGACAGCAGATTACAATATAAACATAGGTCGTCTACTTTCAGAAGTTAACTTTTTTTAAACGCCAGGTTAAGGCGATTGCACTAGGCACTGCGATGCAAGTAGTTATCGTATTCATTATATATACTGTATGTTTTTATTATTTACTATTAAGATACTGTATTTTATGATTTTAGGAGTTCGAGGGTAAACAGTTTTTCAATAAACAAGAAAATCTAGATACAAAATTATAAAATTGAAAATGGTAAATTTAAGGCGCATAGCAGCCTGGAGGTCTCCACACGTGTGAAGATCTCTTAGTATTCTAAACATAATAATTAAATTTAAATTGTTTCACAGCGTCACGTGTTCTTTATGTTTTATCAAGCAGTTTCAAGTACTGTCGGCGGGCCGGATGACCACTGGTTTAGCAGGAAGTCTGAATAAACCTCCAAAACTTATTAATTTTAAAAGACTGTATTCTTTTGAAATACCGGTAATAAAGAAATGGGGTGTAGTTTTGCTGGTTCACAATGTAAAAATCATATACCTTCCTTTTGAGCTGCTGCAGCTTTTGATGCCATGTAATCTGAAGCTATGTTGATGAATATTTTTTCTAAAAAAAAAAAAAAAAAAAAAAAAAAAAAAAAAAAAAAAAAAAAAAAAAAAAGATGAGAAAACACAAATTGACTATTTCATTAATCTTCCTAAAAGTATTAAAAGTTGTGGTTAATGAAGTTCTTTGTAAATGATTATCTCCATAAGAAGTCAAATGTATTGGCCTAATATGACATCTGAAATATTCACATAGAGTAAAGAAATGTTTCTCTTACCAATGTCTTTGCCAGTTTTACTTGATGTCACATACACTTCTCCTCTAACATCTGAAATATAATTATGAAAAAAAAAACACTTCAATAATTTGTTCTTTTAGCCGAACAACTGTTCATGAAAATGTTACTTCTTGTAAATCCATACAACCTGTCACACATTCTGGCTTTGCACTGGATGTCACTGGTACGATATGTGTGGTTGTGTAAATAGCCTAACTACTGCTTAACACATTCTCTGGTCCAACCAACTACCTGCATAAAAAAATGGCAAACCTCAAATCTAACAATTTTCCTTCTCAACTCAATACAGAAAAAAGAAGATCTGCTGCCACCTCTGAGCCATGTTTATATTAACCTTTTCTGAGCCATGTTTATACTAACCTTTTCTGAGCCATGTTTATACTAACCTTTTCTGAGCCAGGTTTATACTAACCTTTTCTGAGCCAGGTTTATACTAACCTTTTCTGAGCCAGGTTTATACTAACCTTTTCTGAGCCATGTTTATACTAACCTTTTCTGAGCCAGGTTTATACTAACCTTTTCTGAGCCAGGTTTATACTAACCTTTTCTGAGCCAGGTTTATACTAACCTTTTCTGAGCCAGGTTTATACTAACCTTTACTGAGCCAGGTTTATATTAACCTTTTCTGAGCCATGTTTATACTAACCTTTTCTGAGCCATGTTTATACTAACCTTTTCTGAGCCAGGTTTATACTAACCTTTTCTAAGCCATGTTTATACTAACCTTTTCTGAGCCATGTTTATACTAACCTTTTCTGAACCATGTTTATACTAACCTTTTCTGAGCCATGTTTATACTAACCTTTTCTGAGCCATGTTTATACTAACCTTTCCTGAGCCATGTTTATACTAACCTTTTCTGAGCCAGGTTTATATTAACCTTTTCTGAGCCATGTTTATACTAACCTTTTCTGAGCCATGATTATACTAACCTTTTCTGAGCCATGTTTATACTAACCTTTTCTGAGCCATGTTTATACTAACCTTTTCTGAGCCATGTTTATACTAACCTTTTCTGAGCCAGGTTTATACTAACCTTTTCTGAGCCATGTTTATACTAACCTTTTCTGAGCCATGTTTATACTAACCTTTTCTGAGCCATGTTTATACTAACCTTTTCTGAGCCATGTTTATACTAACCTTTTCTGAGCCATGTTTATACTAACCTTTTCTGAGCCATGTTTATACTAACCTTTTCTGAGCCATGTTTATACTAACCTTTTCTGAGCCATGTTTATACTAACCTTTTCTGAGCCATGTTTATACTAACCTTTTCTGAGCCATGTTTATACTAACCTTTTCTGAGCCATGTTTATACTAACCTTTTCTGAGCCATGTTTATACTAACCTTTTCTGAGCCATGTTTATACTAACCTTTTCTGAGCCATGTTTATACTAACCTTTTCTGAGCCATGTTTATACTAACCTTTTCTGAGCCATGTTTATACTAACCTTTTCTGAGCCATGTTTATACTAACCTTTTCTGAGCCATGTTTATACTAACCTTTTCTGAGCCATGTTTATACTAACCTTTTCTGAGCCATGTTTATACTAACCTTTTCTGAGCCATGTTTATACTAACCTTTTCTGAGCCATGTTTATACTAACCTTTTCTGAGCCATGTTTATACTAACCTTTTCTGAGCCATGTTTATACTAACCTTTTCTGAGCCATGTTTATACTAACCTTTTCTGAGCCATGTTTATACTAACCTTTTCTGAGCCATGTTTATACTAACCTTTTCTGAGCCATGTTTATACTAACCTTTTCTGAGCCATGTTTATACTAACCTTTTCTGAGCCATGTTTATACTAACCTTTTCTGAGCCATGTTTATACTAACCTTTTCTGAGCCATGTTTATACTAACCTTTTCTGAGCCATGTTTATACTAACCTTTTCTGAGCCATGTTTATACTAACCTTTTCTGAGCCATGTTTATACTAACCTTTTCTGAGCCAGGTTTATACCAACCTTTTCTGAGCCAGGTTTATACTAACCTTTTCTGAGCCAGGTTTATACTAACCTTTTCTGAGCCAGGTTTATACTAACCTTTTCTGAGCCAGGTTTATACTAACCTTTTCTGAGCCATGTTTATACTAACCTTTTCTGAGCCAGGTTTATACTAACCTTTTCTGAGCCAGGTTTATACTAACCTTTTCTGAGCCATGTTTATACTAACCTTTTCTGAGCCATGTTTATACTAACCTTTTCTGAGCCATGTTTATACTAACCTTTTTTGTTTTCAATTAAAACACCATTCAAACTTGCACCTAATGACCTATAGCTAACAAGAATAATAAAATACAGTTTCATTTGACAAATTATTATTATTATTTGTCATTTGCGAAGATGAGCAAAGCAATATTTGACTAGTGGAAGCCTTATTTGAGCTGTATTTTTGTTATAAGAGAGGGAGAGTTGCTCAAATCCTCAACCTCACTCTCTCCTCCTTGCCTATTTGATCCAATGGCAAGACTAAGCCAAGACAACACTTAGATAATAACTCTCACTCTCTCCTCCTTGCCTATTTGATCCAATGGCAAGACTAAGCCAAGACAACACTTAGATAATAACTCTCACTCTCTCCTCCTTGCCTATTTGATCCAATGGCAAGACTAAGCCAAGACAACACTTAGATAATAACTCTCACTCTCTCCTCCTTGCCTATTTGATCCAATGGCAAGACTAAGCCAAGACAACACTTAGATAATAACTCTCACTCTCTCCTCCTTGCCTATTTGATCCAATGGCAAGACTAAGCCAAGACAACACTTAGATAATAACTCTCACTCTCTCCTCCTTGCCTATTTGATCCAATGGCAAGACTAAGCCAAGACAACACTTAGATAATAACTCTCACTCTCTCCTCCTTGCCTATTTGATCCAATGGCAAGACTAAGCCAAGACAACACTTAGATAATAACTCTCACTCTCTCCTCCTTGCCTATTTGATCCAATGGCAAGACTAAGCCAAGACAACACTTAGATAATAACTCTCACTCTCTCCTCCTTGCCTATTTGATCCAATGGCAAGACTAAGCCAAGACAACACTTAGATAATAACTCTCACTCTCTCCTCCTTGCCTATTTGATCCAATGGCAAGACTAAGCCAAGACAACACTTAGATAATAACTCTCACTCTCTCCTCCTTGCCTATTTGATCCAATGGCAAGACTAAGCCAAGACAACACTTAGATAATAACTCTCACTCTCTCCTCCTTGCCTATTTGATCCAATGGCAAGACTAAGCCAAGACAACACTTAGATAATAACTCTCACTCTCTCCTCCTTGCCTATTTGATCCAATGGCAAGACTAAGCCAAGACAACACTTAGATAATAACTCACTCTCTCCTCCTTGCCTATTTGATCCAATGGCAAGACTAAGCCAAGACAACACTTAGATAATAACTCACTCTCCTCCTTGCCTATTTGATCCAATGACAAGACTAAGCCAAGACAACACTAAGATAATAACTTATGATAAGAACTTTCCTACACCATACCCTTTTGCATGCATATATGTATATAGTATTACTCACCTAATGCAAGAGCTTTTGCCTCTTTCTCATCAACAGAACGAAGTGCAGGATTTTCTTCTACAATATCATACTTAGTTCCACACAAGTAAATTCTACAGCCCTAAAAATTAATACCAACAATAAATTTATTTTCAATAAATTAAAATGTTTTAAATAGGTTACAAAGTAAACAAAAGCTAAAAACATATTATAGCATTTCTTATATTTATAGAAATCCTGAAAACGTGTCCCAGTGGGTGCCAAGTGTCCAGGGGACATAAAAAAGAAAGATACATTTCATGATTGTATTATTTCAAGATTTTTAGATAATATTTTGGACAGTTTTTGAGTTGTATGAACTGTATGTCAGATTAGCAAGATCTAGAACCACTTAATTCATATTGTTTTTAATGTATTTCTGTATTTTAACATAGTCATTAGATTTCTCATTAAATTTAGCCATGAACTGTACAAAATTTAAAAAATATTTCCCCATTTTCCTAAATTTTAAATGAACAGTGAAATCTTTCAGTTTTACTACCATCATTTTTCTTCAAAACCCATATACAAGTTAACAATTGAAACACAATATGTCAACTGTTTTCTATTTAACAATTTCATTCTTTCGCTAATTAAGCCATTGAACTATTTGATCATAGTAAGACAAACTTCTTCATGTTTTTGTAGTTCACCAATCCAAAACCTGGCCCTGTCAAAGCTTGCCTTCTCTGTGAGATCATAACAGACCACAGCAGCCTTGGCCCCGCGGTAGTAGATTTTGCTCATTGCTTCATACCTTTCACTGCCCGCTGTGTCCTAGAACAAAAATATACACATGCATCACACTTAAATATGTGAAAATAAATCAATAATACATCTTTGAACTATGAATATTTCTTATAACACAGTCAGCTTTTCAGATTACGTGAAAATAACAAAAAAATTATGTCTCTGAACTATGAATATTTCTTATAACACAGTCAGCTTTTCAGATTACGTGAAAATAACAAAAAAATTATGTCTTTGAACTATGAATATTTCTTATAACACAGTCAGCTTTTCAGATTACGTGAAAATAACAAAAAAATTATGTCTTTGAACTATGAATATGTCAGAAAGTTCTTGGAAGTTTTATCCCAATAAGGAAATTTGAAATATGTTTGTTCATCCATTGAAAGGGATCATGATCATTTCCATCATCTGATTGGTCAGGGGCTGAATCTGTCTGTAGGTGTGCAGATAGCTGATCAGGCCAATTTTGGCAAGTACATTTTTTATTTCTAATTATTTGTTGTTTCTTGTTTTGTCTTGCCTCCTGAAGAAGAATTTAGCCAAGATGTCCTTTTAATTGACATGTCCTTTTTTTTTTCAAGCCTACACATATCTTGTTCCACTATTCATTTACTGTGCAGCAGGTGCAAGGGATGGATGGATGGGACATCTGCAGGTGCAAGGGATGGATTATTCAGAGTTAACTCAGGCTTTTCTAGATTGTCCTTTGTGCTCTGCAGCAACCTCTTTGTTTGGCCTCATGCTGCAGGGAGCCTTTGCAAACTGTTCCCACGTGAATTAATTTGAAATATAACAATTAATGATGGAACACATTTTCAATTATTGAAAAATTGAAATGGGAATACCGAAAAAATATATTTAAAAGATGTTTTTAAAGAAGAAATCAGGAGTTTATTCCATAATAAATTGTTTAGCTGTCTTAAAATATAATATTATATAAGTTCAGTATTAAAAGCACCACATCAATATGTCAAAACACACAATTGTAGATAATATTTCTCTTTCTCCTTCATTTAATCTAAAAGAATAATTGTTCAAGTTTAAATATGTTAGTCGTCTCCTCCCCCCCCCCCCTCACCCTCATTCCACAGACAACACCTATTCAAACTTCTCCCATTTGGACATTAGTATGTTATATCTTAAAAATCACAAAGCACTTTTACACATAAAAATTCATCCGTCTAACAGTTTATTTTAGAACAATGCTTCAAAACTTAAGGACTTTCCTACAATGAAAATTGAAATTTTTTAGGGAAAAGGTAAATGTAGTGTAAGAGAAAGTATTGTATGGGGGGGGGGGGTGTATTTGTGTTAACAAAATTAAACAACACATGACCCTTCCAAAATATACTTACCCAAATTCCTATAATAACATTTTTATTGTTCACTGTGACTGTCTTGGATTTATTTTAGAACAATGCTTCAAAACTTAAGGACTTTCCTACAATGAAAATTGAAATTTTTTAGGGAAAAGGTTAATGTAGTGTAAGAGAAAGTATTGGATGGGGGGGGGGGTGTATTTGTGTTAACAAAATTAAACAACACATGACCCTTCCAAAATATACTTACCCAAATTCCTATAATAACATTTTTATTGTTCACTGTGACTGTCTTGGCTCCAAAGGCTGCACCAATTGTCTGCATGAATAAATCAGAGATTTAATATTGACTCATTTTCCTTGATTTTAACGGTACCAGATACAGGTAAACAATCCTAAATTTAGCATCTTTAATTAATTTTTATTTACATATCTAATACAAGTATTTTAAAACCCTATAGTTTTATCCATTAACATTTTAAATTTTAATTAATACTCTCAAGTTAAAATATTTTTAATAAATTGAAATTTTCACTATCATTGAAGTAACGAAAAAAGTATATTTACATTTTGATACGGGACTGTTTCACCAAGAAATCTGTTGTGAATGTATCGCTCAACCAAGCTAGTTTTTCCAGCATAAGCTTTCCCCAAGAGGACTACCTTAATGTCCACCTTTCCTCCACTCATTTTACTAAAATAAATGAGAAAATCATTTAAATAAATAAAAGCAATCTGAAATTAACATATTAATCATCATACCTGGCTCATTAGGCGCATGTGTCGAGGGGTAAGGACCGGGACTTCCTCCAAAAACTATTGGGTTGGGGATGGCTTAGTAGTTCTTGAGAAATTGAGATCTTATTTTTTCCCATAGACAATATAGTTCTCATCCCTACCCATAGACCCTAGACCAGTTCATTTCTCATTCCTACACCTGGTTACCATGAAATGGGTAATTCTTTTTCGCGTACATTTTAATGGAGGGAGTAGTTTACATTTATACAAGATAAAAATGAATGAAGACTCCCACATAACTTTGGTGACAGAATCGAATGGGGCAATAATAATGTCATGGGTTGCCATCAAGTTCTATTTATATTACACATGGGCCATCAACAAACAGGCCAATAAATTGTACACATTTGATTCCACTGGTCCAAATGGGCTATCAAACAGGACAATTATTGCACACTTTTGATTCCACTGGTCTGAATGGGCTATCAAACAGCCAATAAATTGTACACATTTGATTCCACTGGTCCAAATGGGCTATCAAACAGGCCAATAAATTGTACACATTTGATTCCACTGGTCCAAATGGGCTATCAAACAGGCCAATAAATTGTACACATATGATTCCACTGGTCCAAATGGGCTATGAAACAGGTCAATAAATTGTACACATTTGATTCCACTGGTCTGAAAGGGCTATCAAACAGCCAATAAATTGTACACATTAGATTCCACTGGTCCAAAAGGGCTATCAAACAGGCCAATAAATTGTACACATTTGATTCCACTGGTCTGAATGGTCTATCAAACAGGCCAATAAATTGTACACAATTGATTTCACTGGTCCAAATGGGCTATCAAACAGGCCAATAAATTGTACACATTTGATTCCTCTGGTCCAAATGGGCTACCAAACAGGCCAATAAATTGTACACAATTGATTTCATCGGTCCAAATGGGCTATCAAACAGGCAAATAAATTGTACACATTGATTCCACTGGTCCAAATGGGCTATCAAACAGGCCAATAAATTGTACACATTTGATTCCACTGGTCTGAATGGGCTATCAAACAGGCCAATAAATTGTAAAGATTTGATTCCACTGGTCCAAAATTTGACATCCCAGATTTAATTGGTAAAATTCTGAATCTTCACAAAGCTGCTATAGCTGGGGTTAAAAAATCTGATACATTATTTGGCTTAAATATGTTAAACATTATTGACTGCATTAATTCTTATACAATTGTATGGAATATTTAAATATACTTTACCTATTTGTGAAATTGAAACTGATGAATTATTGGTGACCTTAAAAGAGAAAGTAAAAAATAAATCACAATGGTTTCTCACATAAAAGTAAAAATTCTAAGGCAAAAATATATTGTGCTAAAAATAAAATGTTAGTGACTTGTGAAATGGTGCTAGCAGTGGACCTTAAAGCTTTTTTTGAGGTCAGGTTTAGGCATAATTTCTTTAGGCTTGGTGCACAACTCATAGTTCTTGTGTCTATGTATATAGAGTGAAACCTGTGAATAGCGAACCTTGTAATATTGCTATCACTAGTTAATGTCCTAACTCACCACAGCCCACCGGCACATATCCATTTCTTAAGAAAAACCCTTTGAAATACCAAAAATCGTGTCTCAGAGGGTGCAAAGGTTTCTGTGGGCCAAATGTGTTTTTCCCTGGGCATTGTACAAAGACCCACCCATAGTTGCGACAATTAAAAAAGACTGACTGCGCTGGAAAGGACACCTTGAGAGGATGACAGATTGTAGAGCAGCAAAAGAGATCTACGGCTCACTAGTCGATCAGGACTGAGTGGGACTGAGGATGTACAGAAGGACTTACACCACCTGGGGGCCAGTGCATGGAGGTGAAAAGCCATGGATTGATCCCAATGGAATGTGGTGGAGTAGGTCGGGGACCTACAGCCCACTGAAGACGATGCCTATTACTGTTATATCTATATTAATATATATTAATTAGGCCAAGGCTATGCTTATATGATGGCAATGGTCAACATTGACTTAAAAAGGCCCTAGTCTGTATAATCTCGTAGTGCTAAGCACGAATATAACAAAGAAATTTTTAAATTAACATTCCTTTTGAAGATATTTCATAGCGTTCATTTTCTGTTTGACTGTATAAATGTATCCAGTAGGACTGCAACAATTTCCTAAATAAGCCTACAATGATGTAATATTACATCGCATTGCATAATACCATCAAGCACACGTCATCCAGAGTTGATTGTATTATTTTATGATGTAATGCAGCAGTATTACCAATGGGCTGCTGAAGTAAGCTGATGTCAGCAGTCTACTTTATAAAGCCCATTTTGTCTGCATTTAGACCACTAGTGGCAGAAATAAAAAGAGGCAGGCTACGCTGGGCAGGACACCTAGAGAGAATGCCAAATGACAGAGGAACAAAGAGGGTACATCACTGATACCCCAGAGGAAAAAGGCTCAAAGGCAGACCTAGGCTTAGGTGGATAGATGATGTAGAAAAAGATCTACAGCAGCTGAAAGTCCAAGCATGGAAAAGAAAGGCATTAGTTAGGTCTGAGTGGAAGTAAGTGGTGAGGCAGGCCAAAGCCCTACATGGGCTGTAAAGCCTCAGAGATGGATTAGACCACTTCCACATGGTGAGGGCCTGCCTATTCCAGAACCTCCAGCAGAATATTCTCTTGATTCATCTGATGGGTACAAGGGTGAGCCAGTCTGTTCTTCTCCTGTTCCATCAGCATGCAGTGATCCAGATTTTCACTGTGGTGCATCACCACACAGACTAACACTGTGGTACATCACAACACAGACTAACACTGTGGTGCATCACCACACAGACTAACACTGTGGTGCATCACCACACAGACTAACACTGTTGTCCATCACCACACAGACTAACACTGTGGTACATCACCACACAGACTAACACTGTGGTGCATCACCACACAGACTAACACTGTGGTACATCACCACACAGACTAACACTGTGGTACATCACCACACAGACTAACACTGTGGTACATCACCACACAGACTAACACTGTGGTGCATCACCACACAGACTAACACTGTGGTACATCACCACACAGACTAACACTGTGGTGCATCACCACACAGACTAACACTGTGGTACATCATCACACAGACTAACACTGTGGTACATCACCACACAGACTAACACTGTGGTACATCACCACACAGACTAACTGTGGTACATCACCACACAGACTAACTCTGTGGTACATCATCACACAGACTAACACTGTGGTACATCACCACACAGACTAACTGTGGTACATCACCACACAGACTAACACTGTGGTACATCATCACACAGACTAACACTGTGGTACATCACCACACAGACTAACTGTGGTACATCACCACACAGACTAACTGTGGTACATCACCACACAGACTAACTGTGGTACATCATCACACAGACTAACACTGTGGTACATCATCACACAGACTAACACTGTGGTACATCATCACACAGACTAACACTGTGGTACATCATCACACAGACTAACACTGTGGTACATCATCACACAGACTAACACTGTGGTACATCACCACACAGACTAACTGTGGTACATCACCACACAGACTAACTGTGGTACATCACCACACAGACTAACACTGTGGTACATCATCACACAGACTAACTGTGGTACATCACCACACAGACTAACTGTGGTACATCACCACACAGACTAACACTGTGGTACATCATCACACAGACTAACTGTGGTACATCACCACACAGACTAACACTGTGGTACATCACCACACAGACTAACTGTGGTACATCACCACACAGACTAACACTGTGGTACATCACCACACAGACTAACTGTGGTACATCACCACACAGACTAACACTGTGGTACATCACCACACAGACTAACTGTGGTACATCACCACACAGACTAACACTGTGGTACATCACCACACAGACTAACTGTGGTACATCACCACACAGACTAACTGTGGTACATCACCACACAGACTAACTGTGGTACATCACCACACAGACTAACTCTGTGGTACATCACCACACAGACTAACACTGTGGTGCATCACCACACAGACTAACACAGGAAGAAGTAAATGACCTGGTTTGTAATTTTGACTTATCCAAGAAAAAAGCAGAATTGTGAGGATCAGGACTCCAACAAGGGAATCTTCTAGAAAAAGATGTCACAATTACATTGCATCGAAAGCACCACCATCAGTGGGAGCCTTCCTTCAGAAAGGAATGTATTCTGGTATTATGTTCAGATATTGACGGCCTAATGAAGGCTTTAAAATCAATCATGACCCAAAGGAATAGAGCCTAAATGTAGACTCTTCAAAACGGAGTCTTAAGGCTGTGCGTTTGCACAATGGAAACTGTACTCCTTCTATTCCAGTAGGGCATGCAGTCCGCATGAAAAAGACATACTGTAGCTTAAAGAAGCAACTGAATTCTGTTGAGTATAACTATAACAAGTACGGCTGGAACCTATGTGGTCATTTGAAGGTAGTTGCCTTTTTAATGGGACTGCAGCAGGGATATACTAAATACATAATGTGTTTCTTAAGTGAGTGGGATGGCTATGCAAGGAAATTGCATTACTTATGGAAGGCATAGACTCGCAGACAAAATGTAACAATTGGAGAGAAGAATAGCCAGCACCCAGCTCTGTTCATGGCTCACAAAATTCTGCTACAACCCCTTCACATCACACTATGTTGGATGAAGAACTTCATGAAACCCATAGACCAGGCTTCGCCAGCTTCTGGCCTAGTGTTTACAGACTTCTCTGCAATGTTAGGAGCTAGTTGAGGACATGCTGATGCAGTATCAGAAACTTGGCAGCAATATATTTCTAAAGGTCCACTTCCTTGATTCCCATCTGGATTTCTTCCCTGGCAACTGTCAAGATGTCACAACATGGGAGCAAAGATACCAGGGAAGATGGTCCACTACAATGCTGGCTGACTACTACTGGACACTCCCAAGAGGTGGTACCGAACAGCTCTACAAGAGATAGGCAAAGAAATATAAGAAGTAGTCTATGACTTAATTTTTTACAGGTATTAATAGCATGCATTTCATGGTGTAAACATTAATTTAGTACAAATTACAAAAACACTAGAGCCAATTTGCAATCTGGATGTCCTATTCGTGTTGAGCACAAAAAAATTAACATGACTTTTTAAATACTTGTTTTATGGAAATTTTGTTAAATTTTATTGTGCTTACATCTAATAAATACAGACAGACCATTTTCATTGTTATGGTCAATGTCACTTTATGGAAAAGCATTAAAAACAGTTACTTATGTTTATGGAAGTTTATTTAACTGCTCCAGTGAAGTATTTGTAGATCTGTAAAAGAATTGACTTTGTTCTATTTTTTATTGTCTGCATTCACACGACATGTTAATGTCAGCTACAAAGTCACGTTATGTAAGTTACATTATTTGTCCGTATTTTAAAAAAAAATATGTTTTTAAGTATTTTTTAAAGGTTTTCCTCTGAAAAGTAAATGGTTTAATTAATTTGTTTGAAAAATTATATTTCAATTAAAGCAGATTTAAGAGGAAATCAACAAAAAGATGCTAACTCAAATATTATGTCCTTTTCATCTTAAGTCAGTTACAATTACAAAATGAAGAAGAAAAAAAAAACGTGTGATTTAAATTTTCAATTGCAGGTGTCACTACTATATGGGGTTGTTTTGCTTTTCTGGTGAAATCCCAATTTTCTATGGATAGACATGATTTGGGTGAAATGTGCAAACCCCCCCCCCCCCACTATATATGGCTCCTATGCCTCTGTTACCTCTTGACTACTATATGGGGTTGTTTCGCCTTTCCGGGTAAATCCCAAATTTCTATGGATAGACATGGTTTGGGTGAAATGTGCAAACCCCCCCCCCCACTATATATGGCTCCTATGCCTCTGTTACCTCTTGAATCTGGCTCGCAGCTACAAAATTGTGACCACCCCCATTTTAAATGAAGAATAATTCATAAACATGTAAGAATTTCAATGGGAAGTATTGGCCTGCTTTTGGTTAAATAGGTGTAATAGTAATATGGGGAGGACTGACTCAATGTCTGACTTTGTATTTAATTAGTCACTGCTACGTGGGTACCTGTGCGGTGTCCAGGTGGGATGAGCTAATATTAAGGACCCTTAGTGGGTCAGATCCCAGGTCTATAGCCTTTCTTTAGGCATAACCTAATAAATTACTAATATCTATTATATGGCCATGGCAATAACAATATGCCCATTATCTATAAATAATTTTTAATATATGGCATGGCTATGCCTATATCATACTATATGAAGAACAACTGGGCCAATGCCCTATACTGTATTTTAAAAATTAAATTACTGAATTTAGGCTAACATAGTAATAAACTAGTATAATTATACTAAGGCTTAACCAGGTGCAGTTTTTTTTCTGTTACACTTCTCATTTTCTTCATAGACTAATTACTAACATATGCCATATGCCGCTGGCCTTTAATCAGTCCTAAACCCTAAACCTGCCTGCCTACAGACAGTCATAGTCATACACCCTACCTGCTGACCATTAAACAATAGTCCTGCCTACACCATACATGTCGTGGCTCTTTATTGATTATTAATATAATAGTTAATAGTAATAATAGTCGCCTCCCCCAAAGAAAAAAATGCAACCTTTTTACAGATGTTCAGGTATGAAAGCTTGTTGATCTTGATGGTCTTTTTTTTCACTCAGCCCTCAGTACTATTAATATAAAACATGTGAAGTGAAGAAGACAAAAAGGTGTGGGGGGGGGGGCGGTTGTGCAAAAGAAGCAGGAAGAACCAGACGCAAATATAAGAGATTATGGATCATTTTCAAGCATTTTTTCCCTAACCAGTACAACTACATTACAAGTTCATGAGTTTACTACAACTACACGACAGCAGTAGCCCATATTGCCAGCATTGCCATTAATTGTTGCCAAATAGCAGCTAATATGAAGGCGAAGGTATGTAATTGTAAATAATTAGGGGCTAAAATTGAATCAGAATCGGGGATACTAATAAGCCTAATTTAAATCTAAATTAAATGTAAAAAATGAACAATAAAAAAAAAAAAGAAGATGCACAGCCAGTGTTGTGTAGCCTATAGTTGTAAGTATCGTATTAATAATAGGGCTATACTATGAAAAAAAGGAGTTTTTACCAACACTAAACATAACACACCAAATAGATCTATGCCAGGTAAAATTCAATTTTGCATTGACATGATCATGATTACTCCTGTATTATGATGATTGTAATAATTGTCAGTATAATTGTATGTAGCCTACATTTTAAAAACGTTATTTCAACATGAGATGTCTTAGATTAACGAAGAACTAAATTTTTAAAAATCCTTCGAATATATAATTTGTTAATACTATAACAATTTTAATAAACAGAAATATATAGTAAAAATTAAAATTATTTTGTAAATTTACCAACAGTGCCATTTGGCACTAAAAAAACGCATTCTAATTCTTCTTTCGGTTTAAAATATCGATATTTTTGCCTCTTAGTTTAAAACCTTACCGAAATATATCACACAGAAGTAATAAATTTACAAATATTCTAATTATTTTAATTATACAAAAGCTACTTCAAAACTATTTTTGCTAATACTATATTTATTTACATTTATATATTTTAACATTATCATAACTCATAAATATATTTTTTTTACAAAATTTAATCCTAAATTTGTATAAACTTCATAAAAGATGTAAAGATAACTTTAACTAAATGAACTTCAACATGTATGTATGAGAATGTATGACAAGTAAAAAGCACCTAAGATAGACGGTAAATAACCTCTGCTTTGTCGCCTTTATTGAAAATAAATAATAACTGAACTTCCATAGTCATAGTTTAGAGCTGCTAATTTTTTATTGAAAGAAATTCAGCTAACTTAGACTTAGGGCCGAAACTTTGACTTTGAGAACTACCAGAGCGTACTTTTATTTATTTTTAAGTTACTTTGACTTTTGACATTTGACACACCTAGTCTTAGTTTAGTCTAGTTTAGTCTCGGCCAAGGGACTTTGGGACAAAATTAAAAACTTAGGTAAAAAAAAATTGAATTATTCAAAAAAGTATTAGTAGTATAGTATAAGGCCGGCACTACGTACACCGCGGCGGTGTACCTAGCGAAACTATTGACTTTGGCCTGCGTACACCGCGGGGTGTACCTAGCTAAATCATGGTCTGTGGCCTGCTTACACCGCAGCGATTTAAAGTAGCAAAACTATGGTCTTTGCGAGTCTTTAACTTTTTTGGCCTAACCAGTACTTGTAGATTTAATGTTATACTAGTGTTAAAACTGAAAACTATTTATTTAAAATTCGTTTATTACCTTGGGAAGATATTGAGTAAGTTCCACGCTTATGTGGCAAAGTGCATGTAAAGCATTTCTTCTTATTTTTGGAAGGGAGGGGGCTGGGGGTGTAATGTTAAACCATGATTTATTTTTAAAGTTAACCACTTTATTCCCCCTCCCCCAATATATTGAAATACAAATATATTTATTAATTGTAAGTTTTATCATATGATTGTGAATCTTAATTTAAAATTATTCTCTCATGCCCACCCCCACCCAGTTGTTTGTTTGTTTGTTTGTTTGTTTGTTTTTTGTTGTTTTTTTTTGGGGGGGGGGGGCATTATAAATATAACATTGTATGTGATTCCTCGGGCATGGTGTAAAAACAAATGGGAAGACAGTGAATCTATTTTGTTAGCACTAAGATATAATTACGCCACAAATAAACTACGGGAAGAGAATCACATACTCATACATTGATCATGAAGTCGTGAAGTTAAAGTTGTCCGAGGCATTGTCATTGTGATACCAAGCGCGTGTCAACACAAAACAGCAGTAAGATGATAAATACGAAACACTGCAGTTATTTGAAAGTCTTTTAACAATAATTAAATATCATTGATTTAGTTTTACATTGGCATTACACATTAGTAAAAAAAATGCTGGCAGAGGGAGAGGGGATGCAAAAGGTAAGTTTGTTGTGAGGACATCCTTTGTGGACAACCCCTATCCTGAGCCGTGATTTGTGAACGCCCCCTTTTTGGTTAAGCCTCTGCCCATAACTCACCACCATCCCCCACTCCCCGGCAAGGATCGATTTCTTTAAAAAAAACAACAACAACAAATACAAAAACTTTGACATAGCGCAAATCCTGTCCCAAGCCGGCCATTGTGCAATGGTTTCTATGAGAAAACGTCGCGTTTTACCCTGAGAATAGCACATGCCATGCCATTCTGGAAACAAATTACGTCATGAAAAGGGTAAACGCAGACCTATGGCTTTGCTATACAGTTTGCTACCGCTCCGCAAGTTTCTAAAATCGAGGTGTTTTCAAAAGATTTGCTGTGAGACTGAGTGTTGTGAATGAACCTTTGATATCGTATGTACATTTTGCCAATGCATAAGGCATAGTGAAAGCAAGATGGTTCAAGGTTGAAATACGACCATGCACATTAATATTCATATGCATGAATATTATTCATACTGGTATTTTCTTTGGGTGTTCGTAAAAGTAAAATGTAAATATTCAACTACACGAAGAATGTTGAAATACAATAGAATATCAGTCACTTAGTATTCATAATATTTCTGTTATACATGTTCATCATGAATTACATGCGCTTTCAGAAACTTTAAGTTTGTTTTCAAATGTCTAAAGTCTTATTACTAAAGTTACCGGTATTTTCAAAGTCAAAGGCCGGTACAACTTGTTGAAACACTTATATATATAAATAAATATATAAAGTGTTTCTAATATAATATTTAAACATATAATTAAATTGTTTAAATTGCTACAAAACATTTTAATGGGAGGAAAAAAACTCGATCCCCTACTGAGAATTGATCTCAAACTATATTATCGCCAAGCGTCCACTCTACCACTTGACCACACAAGATCTTCTCTAACCAGAATATCTTAAAACCAGGCCAATGGTAAAATTTTGCCGCGGTGTACCCAGGCCAAAGCCCACGATTTCACTAGGTACACCGCCGCGGTTTACGCAGGCCAAAGCCGATGGTTTCGCTAGGTACACCGCCGCGGTGTACGCATCCACTTCGATAGTATAATAGAGAAAACTTTAAATTAAAAAAAATCAACTTTCTATATTTAATAGTTTCTGAGCTATGATAACTATGAATTTTCGGCTATTCAATATTGTTGACGTCATTTGTATGGGAAATGGGTGTCAGCGCAGAAAAATTCAAGTTCTTAATTTTTGGACTTTGGTGCAACTCTATTAGTAAAAGGATTAATGATTAATTTGTCATAAAATTGTGGTATCTTTCCACATGTTCACAAATAGTCGACATCTTGACCAACGTTAACATTACCACATACTTTTTTTGTTTGTCTTTTTTGATCGACATTAGTTTTAGGCATCTTTCCCTCAAAATATTTTGAAGTATTAAATTCTGATGGCATTAGGCCTATATATTAATGTATGTGTATGCCAATTCTCCTTGATGTGGGAATGTAGGCCGTGTCTGATGTTTGTTATGCTTGTCCCAGTAACCTGCATTACCATGAGTTCGTTCAGCCTAATTTGGACCATGCCATGCCCCTTTTTAATGGAAATATTCAATTATGACCACTATTTACATCAAAATATTTCATACATTTTGTTTTATAATGAACTTAGAAGTAATTAAACAAGAATATTTTAATTTGAGGTTTAAAAACCCAGTAGAGTCCATAAACTAAATGATCGGCTAATGTGAAGAGATTGCATCCTGACGTCATTTGCGTGTTTTGTCCCTGGTTCTGATAGGGTCAAAAGCCAGGTTAGGGTAAGTTTAGGGTTCAGGTTATGTTTAGGCTAGGGATAGATTTAGGGTTCAGGTTAGGCTTAGAGATAAATTTAGGACACAAGTTCACGGGTCACGGCAACCAAGATGGCGGCCATGTTAAAAAAAACGCGGTGCTATCTCTTCACATTTACCAAATAATCATAATTTGCTCTGTGCAAAACATCGTCATGGGCAGCCATTCACAGTCACTTGCATAATGGCTATACCGTAGTACTATCTCAGAGTTTCATTCATAAGACTTTGCCGTGTGCTAAAACTATTGAAAGGGAAAGATTTAATTAATTAGTCATGTGCCGAAGTTGAAAGTTCAAAATAAGTAGTCCCTTAACAGTATTTTAGGGATAAGGAGATGCATTGCCTTATATAGACTATGTAGTATATACCAATATATTGGACACCGTAGACTTGATTAACAGAAAAGCCATATATTAATATATTATATTAACCCTCTTGGGACGGATGGAGTAGCGACACAAGATGAATGTCACAAGAGCACACCTAGAAACCTACATGTATCTGTGGAGATACAAATTATATAAAGCCATTTATAAACAACCAATATTCTATTAAAACCATGTCATAGAGATTTACAGCCAACAACTGGGTAGCATTTTCTGTTAACCAAAAGCAGAACAGACTATTAAATGGGTATAAAAAAAAAAGGCTAATACTTGGGGAAAAAATGGCAAGTTATTAGTTACCTTCACTTTGAAAAAATTTATAGAAATAATATTGTAGGATCTTTTTCATTTAAATATTACTTTATTTCACTTTTTACATAAGTGTAGGTTTTCATGACGGTCTGACATCTGTTTTTAAAGCTTTCCATGTTTTTATTTAAGTCTCATTTGATTGAGGAGGAGTAATTTGGGAACGTTTCATCACATTATTCAAACATATAATAAATGTTTCAGATAAAAAGAAGTCATGAAGCTCACAATAGTTGCGCTCAGCTATTTCAAAAAGTACGTCCAGCGTGAAATTGCTCAAGCTTCAGGAGTTTCCATATATAAACCTTTACAAGGCTGGAGGCACTTACGAAAAAGGAATTGGATTTATGATGAGAACCGGCCTTGGACAGATGCAGCCAAGGATGCCAACTTACCAGGCAAGCGATTGACTGAACTGATAGAGCCGATTTCAGAGTCAGAATGGAAAATATTCAAAGGTGATCGTGTAAGTATGTTTACTATGTTTACATCTCTGGGTGTGTAGAGGCAGTAGCAATGCATCACAACTAACTTCAGTGTAAAATACAATCTTTCCGATTCTTTGGTTCTGCTTGATCTCTGCTTAATTTTTACATTCATTTTATAAAAAAATAATGTATTGTTAAAAATATGGAAATTTAATTTACATTGTAGGAAAGAAAGACATGCTAAACTATAATATTATGAATATAAAAACATGGGAATATAATTTATTATTATTATTATTAGTGGTCTTATATTTAAATAGTTAGAGCTAAGTATTTGAAAGTCACAAAAGTAACAGTCACATTGCAGTTTTTAAAAAAGAATCCTGCCATTAATTATTTTTTCACTACATTTTAATTTACTTTACTTTAATTTTAATAAGAGCAGAAAATTTGGTTGTGTAGTTACTATGAAAGTTACTTCAGATTTATTGACATCTAAAAGCCATTTTAGAATAATATGCTTTCATGTTGGATTACTTGGATAGAACAAAGATTATTTTAATTTAAATTTTAAGTCAACTCATACTTCCCACATGCTTTTTATCCCTTAATAAATGAAAGTCTACGTGAAACAGTTTTTGGTGGTAACCTTTTGTTTAGATTTTAAAAACTTACTGACATGAAGACCCCTTATCTTAAAGTCACCCTTTTATCTTGTTATCCAAATTATTGTTATTTGTACATGTGACAACTTTTACATGAAATTATAAAGTTGTAAGATGGATTTGTAAAATATTGTCCTTTTTAATAAAAACATTTGATAACAATTGACATGGGATTTGTTTGTCACTCATCAACATCTTGGAGCTAAAATGGCCTTGGGTTCCGTAAAGAGTGGCCAGTTGATTTACACTACAGACCGACCAAATTTGATTTTCTGATTTCGGCAGAAACCAAAACAAAAGTGACAGTTCAAAATGACTTTCGGTCGAAACTGAAAGATTTAGAAATTTGGAAACTTGTTTGTGCAGACAATCTACCTATGTTGAAAAATGATGGGGGAAAAGTAATTATCAAGAATTTTATTTATAAACATCTAATGAATACTTTGACTTTTACCTTTTGAAGTAAAAACTAATTTAAAGTTGTTAAAAATGTATTTTAAAGTACCGTAGTATTGTAAGAAGAAGAAAAAATTAGAGGGGGTGCGGGGCGCAAAAATTCATGCAAAATTGACCCTTGTGCACCCTTTGCTTATATAATATAATGACAACATTTGGTATAGATCAAAAGATTAGCCTCCGTATTTTTCATGTGCATAGCTCACTAAAATGTCCAAACAAAAGCCTTGAAACAGGCATTCTTAGTGGTTGACATTTAATCAGGATGTATGTCTGGTTAGCTTGGATATTCCTTGAAAATATATTTTCCTTTGAGTTAGAAATTCACATTAATTTCTAATTAAAGCCAACCTTGGAGTTTCTTTTCATTTTTTTTTTTCAATGTACGCATCTGAACCCCCCCCCCCCCCCCTCTTTTTTTTCTCTATTTTTCTTCTTTTTTTTTCCTTCTGCCTAAAGAGTTGTTTTGAAATTATTTTTTAAAATCTAAAAACAATTATTTGGATCATTTAAGAAGAAGTATACAACTAACTTTTGATAACTTACACCTTTAAGTTTTATTCAGCTATTGATGAACAGGTTAGAAAGAAATTCAAATCTTTTTTAGAATGAGATGTGTACGTATTTTGAACTGTTGGTTATCAAATATGAACAACCCTGCTGGAGTATCAATATAGATTTTATTTTCACAGTTACATCCCTTATATTTAATTTTTTAATTTTTTTTTTTTTAAATCATAAATCACTGGTCACGTGAAACTCCAAACTTATGGAATGATCGGACGATCACTATTAGAGACCGACCGAAAGTGATTTTCTGATTTTGGCCTCAGCCGAAAATAGGCCGAAAGTTTAAAATGACTTTCGGCCGAAACCGAAAAAATGCAGAAAGTTTAAAAATTACTTTCGGCCGAAACCGAAAAAAGGCAGAAAGTTAAAAATGAATTTTGGCCGAAGCCGAAAATGAAATATTAAGATATTTTGAAATTCATTCCCGTATACATTCTGCATACATCGAAAATGATGTGGGAAAGTATAAACATTTACATTCTTTTTATAAAAAATGAGATAATCGTGAATATTAATAAATAAACATCTAATATAAGGGTCTCAAAGTCGCGGCCCGTGAGCTATTTGTGACCCGCAAGACGATATTTGTGGCCTGCTACATGACAGAAAAGTTTAGTGTAAATGCGCCGGCCCGTTTCCCCCCATTCTCATATCTATAACGTGACTCTCCGCGACGGTTTCAGTCGAATCTCACCGACTAGTCTAATTCTGATATTATTATTTTTAATGTTTCTATATATTTTTGTATGCCAGGTCTCTGGCAACAGTGAGTATTTCTTGCAGAACCCTTAGAGATTTTATTGTTATTTATAAAGGTTGAGCAGATTGTAACAGTTGTAATCGCTTTTTTGTGGATTACTTGATGCGGCCCACTCTCATTCAGATACTACCTCCTGTGCCCCCCCCCCCCTTTTTCCCCCATATGATTTGAGTTTGAGACCCTTGATCTAAGAATACTTAGGATTTTAACATTTTAATATAAAATTAATTTAAATTGCTTTACAGTTTTTTTGTAAAATTAGTATGGTAGGAGAAAATTAGGGGGGGGGGGAATTAATGCAAAATATATTTTTTTTTAAACAGGGTCTCTAAAAAATGTGGTTCTAAAAGATCGCTTAATTTGTTTTTAAAGATCGTTTAGTTGGTTGTTATTGATCGATTAGTTTGTTGTTAAAGATCGTTTAGTTTGTTGTTAAAGATCATTTAGTTTGTTCTTAAAGATTGTTTAGTTTGTTGTTAAAGATTGTTTAGTTTGTTCTTAAAGATCGCTTAGTTTGTTGTAAAGATCGCTTAGTTTTTTTCATAAAGATCGCTTAGTTAGTTCTTAAAGATCACTTAGTTTGTTGTTGAAGATCGCTTAGTTTGTTGTAAAGATCGCTTAGCTTTTTCAAAAAGATCGCTTAGTTTGTTGTTAAAGATCGCTTAGTTTGTTCTTAAAGATAATTAATTTTGTTCCATTAAGATAGATTAGTTTGTTGTTAAAGATCTTTTAGTTTGTTCCTAAAGAACATTTAGGTTTCTGTTAAAGATCGCTTAGTTTATTCTTATAAATCATTTAGTTTACTATTAAAGATCATTTGTTTTGTTCTTAAAGATCATTTAGTGCGGTCTTAAAAATCGTTTAGTTTGTTCTATTTGAGCATTTAGTTTGTTCTTAAAGATCGCTTAGATTGTTCTTAAAGATCGCTTAGTTTGTTTTAAAGATCGTTTAGTTTGTTCTTAAATGTCCCTTAGTTTGTTGTTAAATATCGTTTAGTTTGTTCTCAAAGATCGCTTAATTTGTTCTTAAATGTGGCTTAGTTTATTGTTAAATATCGCTTTCATTGAGTATTAAAATGACCGAAAACCTGAGTCACTTTCGGCCGGATGGCAGAAAGTCTAAGTCAATTTTGGCCGAAACCGAAGAAAAACCGAAAGTTAACTTGTCTCTTTCTGCCGAAACCGAAATTAAGCCGAAAGGTAACTTTTCAGTTTTGACCGAAACCGAAACTTGGCCGAAAGTGATAAAATGGCCACTTTCGGGGCCGAAACCGAAGCCGAAATTCGGTCGGTCTCTAATCACTATATATTAAACAAAAATTGATAATTTAATGAAAAATGTTTAGGAGACCAAAAAAAAAAAAATATGCAAGGCCCTTACAAAATTATTTCGGAATCTTTAGTGTAGACTTTAAGGAAATGCAATAAGAACTGTTGTTGTTTTTTTTTAAACCTAAAACTGTTAAATGCAGTATTGGGATATGTAAATATCGTTATACTCACTACACAAGCAAACAAATCGCGGTGAGAAGATAATGATCTTCTGTCTCTGGCACCTAATAAGTCAACTGACTCTCCCGGCTCATAAGCTGGCTGGATTTTCTTGTCCACATTTTATATTATTTAGGCTAAATGTAGTTTTGTTTGTGTTTTTTTCCACCAATTTTATCTCATATTCTGGGTGCCTTAGTTTTAAACGTTTAAACACGGGTTAGTCTTAGTAGTTATAAATGATCCATAGTTATAAATGATCCATAGTTATAAATGATCCACGCTTAGGTTTAAGTCTAAGTTATCATCCATTTATACAACCATTATTTTCCTGATTCACATAAATTAAATAGCTTAAAGCAGTGGTTCTCAACCTTCCTAATGTCGCGACCCTTTAATACAGTTCCTCATTTTCTGGTGACACCCCCCCCCCGGTCATCATTTTTTTTCCGTTGCTGCCTCATAAATATGTGTTTTCCGAAGGTCTTAGGCGACCCCTGTGTAAGGGTGGTGCGACCCCCAGGTTGATAACCGCTGGCCTACAGCATCTACAGTCAAAGGGACTCAATAACTAACAGCCATCCCATTATAGAATGAGTTTATATCTTATGAGTAGGTATTAGGAAATAATAAGACAAGGTCTATAAATAGTACTTTAACTGTACTGACTCTCGTAGTCGCCACACTACACAGACGCGAGATCAGCCGACGGAGCGTAAAACTGCTGGCGACTGTAGGAACAAATATGTGGGTCACATTAACCCAGTTACAGAAATCAATTCTGCACAGCCATTTACTTTTTTGTGCATTCGGTCATAAAGTACATGGTACACGAGCCGGCAAATGGGCGCTCCCAGTGTGGTGGTGGTGCTGCAGTCTGAATGTGGTGGTGGTGCTGCAGTCTGAATGTGGTGGTGCAGTCGAATGTGTTGGTAGGGGTACAGTCAGAATGTGGTGGTACGAGCGTAATGTGGTGGCACAGTCTGAATGTGTGGATGGGGAGTTGTCATATATGATCATAGTCATAGGCCGTATAGACTTATAAGAGGTGTATGTTGTGGTGCATGCAATGGTGCAGAGATGTAGTTGACTGGTCGGCCGATTGAATCCAGAGATGGGCACACGTATTTCTGAGACGTGTAAAGATAGGGAAGAAATTGTTTTGTGGATACGCTACATGGATTACGTGATGTTTTGGTGTCTACGCCACTGGAAAAAGATTTGTTTGTTATGTAAGGACGGCTGGTTTAAATGTAAGGACAACAGGTTGATGTAAATGTAAGGACGGCTGGTTTAAATGTAAGGACAGCTGGTTTAAATGTAAGGACGGCTGGTTTAAGTGTAAGGACTGCTGGTTTAAGTGTACGGTCGGTTGGTTTAAATGTAAGGACAGCTGGTTTAAATGTAAGGACGGCTGGTTGATGCTTTAAATGTAAAGGAGGTTGGTTTACTTGTAAGGGTTGTTGGTTTAAACATAAGGGTGGTTGTTTTAAATGTAAGGGTGGCTGGTTTAAATGTAAGGAAAGCTGGTTTAAATGTAAGGAAAGCTGGTTTAAATGTAAGGAAAGCTGGTTTAAACGTAAAGGCGGTTGATTTAAATGTAAGGACAGCTGGTTTAAATGTAAGAGCGGTTGGTTTAATATTTAAATATAAGGATGGCTGGTTGAAATGTAAGGACAGCTGGTTGAAATGTAAGGAAGAGGGGTTTAAATGTAAGGATGGCTGGTTTAAATGTAGGGGTGGTTGGTTTAAAGGGAATGGCGGTTGGATTAAATGTAAGGACAGCTGGTTTAAATGTAAGGACAGCATGTTTAAATGTAATGACGGTTGGTTTAAATGCAAGGAAAGCTGGTTTAAATGTAAGAGCGGTTTATTTAAATGTAAGGACAGATGGTTTAAATGTAAGAGCGGTTTATTTAAATGTAAGGACAGATGGTTTAAATGTAAGAGCGGAAGTAAGGACAACCGGTTTAAATGTAAGAGTGGTTGGTTTAAATGTAAGAACAGCTGGTTGAAATGCAAGGACGTCTGGTTGATTTAAATGTAATGACGGCTGGTCTAAATAGAAGGACGACTGGTTTAAAATTCAGGACGGTCAGTTTCAGAAAGCCGATGGCTTGTTGTCATCATATAAAAATAAGTGTAAGATTTATTTGAGTATAGACTATTATAATTATAGACAGATAATAGCACATTATTTTCTAAACACAATCAGTTCAGTTGTCATTCATTTAGAATTGTGTTCAAATGTCATCTGGTCCCAAGTTTTGATCATAATAGATTGAAGCCCAACTGGGTTGTCATTTGACTTAACATCCGATTTAAATTAACGCCATGTCATATTCCATGAACTTGGTCGTGTCCGGTAGCATCCAGCCTCGTATTGGTACACAAGTGATTTTGCTAGCAGAAGTCGGTAAGTAGGTCAATCGATCAGCTCTCCTGCACCAGTTTCCCGCCCCGTGTCCTCATCACTAGCCCACTTCACAGCGAAATGAGGTCACCACCGTAAGTCGGTTACTGGGTCTCGTGGCAGACCGCCCTCTTTTCAACGAAGGCTCCCCCCCCCCTCCCCCTCACCCTCTCTCTCTGATCCCGACATTTGTACTCCTCTGTTTTATTTTGTGGAGACACATGGGATACTTTGAGTCGTCTGAGTCCGTTACAGTGCACGGAGTGGTCGGTGCCGAGTGAATGCTCCGTCAGGATGTTTCCCCTGATGGGTGTGGGTTAGCCTCACAGATTTCCCTGTGTTGACTAAGGACTAAAAACTAGGAGACGGGACTTTGTTTTGGAGAGCAGAACGAATGTGGCAGTGAAATGTTGTATTGGATCCTTGTTTGATGTCTACACCACTTCAATGAGCCCAGGACGAGATCACCCAACCTAATATACTTTCAATAGTCGACATTCAGTCACACAGGATTACAAAGTTGCCGTTTGTTTTGTTTTTTTTGTTGTTTTCAGTTGTTAAAAAAATTGTGTAAATATCTTAAATAGAATCTATTTTTTGGCTCGTCCATGGTCTGGGCTATGATGTGCTGTGTGCTTGACCTGTGGATGGCGTCCAACAATGCACTATTAAAGAGATCAGCTTCGATGTGGTCGAAGCACACCACGTCACGGTCTTAGCTCCTTACCTGATCGTCGTTTGTCACACTGCAGATCGTCACGAGAAAGCCAGGGGTTTGGAAGTTTCTCTCTTTTTTTTTTAAAATATTGCCTTTGCGAAACGAATTAAGGCAGCCGCGCGGGCATATGCAGTAGTGGTGGGTGTCATGGACTACCATCAGCCAGCAGCACCCCCAGCACCACAGGATGGAAGAAAACTCACCTGGCACCACATAGATATTATACCTGCTTACCTGAGTGGAATCAACAACTTGACCTGCCTTGTAGCCTGGAACCAGCCAACTTCGTGTACATCAGGAAGCACTCTAAGGTATGTTGCTTTATTTCACTTCACTTGGATTCAGTGGTTCTTTCTTGATAATGACATGTTAGTCAATTCGTTGCACAAGGTTTCTGTATTTTCTTACTCACCTAAGTCTCTGTCTGGGTTACATAATGAAGTCTTTGTGTTATGTCAATGTATTTGTTACACACTGAAATCTGTGTTTGTGACACACTTAAAATCATGTGTTTGTTACACTCATAAACCTCTGTTTGTCTTGTTTATGTTATCTTGCCACTCTGAAACCCTTTGCCTATCGTGCTTTATAGAATATCTGCTCGCGTGAAATAATTGAGACCACCGTACATTAGAGTCCAGAGTTCCTGTTGTGTTTCACCATTGCATTCATTGGCCTGCTGGTTTCATGGACGTGGATCCTTTGGTTCTCTGGTCCTTACACCTTCGTATGGCAATAATAGTATAATATTGAAGTTGGACATATAGAATTGTTGGTACCGGTATGTTGGACAAATATGAGTGGTTGGTAAGTTGGGACATAATATAGTGGTTGGTAAGTTGGGACATATAGTGGTTGGTAAGTTGGGACATATAGTGGTTGTTAGTTGGGACATATAGGGGTTGGTAAGTTGGGACATATAGAGTAGTTGTTAAATGAATATATAAAGTGATATTTAATGGGACACACATGGAATAGTTGGGACACACGTAGAATAGTTGGGACACGCGTAGAATTGTTGGGACACAAGTAGAATTGTTGAGACACACGTAGAATTGTTGGGACACACGTAGAATAGTTGGGACACACATGGAATAGTTGGAACACATGTAGAATAGTTGGAACACACGTAGAATAGTTGGGACACACGTAGAATAGTTGGGACACAAGTAGAATTGTTGGGACACACATAGAATAGTTCGGACACACGTAGAATTGTTGGGACACACGTAGAATTGTTGGGACACACGTAGAATTGTTGGGACACACGTAGAATAGTTGGGACACACATAGAATAGTTGGGACACACGTAGAATAGTTGGGACACACGTAGAATAGTTGGGACACACGTAGAATAGTTGGGACACACGTAGAATAGTTGGGACACACGTAGAATAGTTGGGACACACGTAGAATAGTTGGGACACACGTAGAATAGTTGGGACACACGTAGAATTGTTGGGACACACGTAGAATTGTTGGGACACACGTAGAATAGTTGGGACACACGTAGAATAGTTGGGACACACGTGGAATAGTTGGGACACACGTGGAATAGTTGGGACACACGTGGAATAGTTGGGACACACGTGGAATAGTTGGGACACACGTGGAATAGTTGGGACACACGTGGAATAGTTGGGACACACGTAGAATTGTTGGGACACACGTAGAATAGTTGGGACACATTTAGAATAGTTGGGACACATTTAGAATAGTTGGGAAACATTTAGAATAGTTGGGACACACGTAGAATTGTTGGGACACACGTAGAATTGTTGGGACACACGTAGAATAGTTGGGACACATGTAGAATAGTTGGGACACATGTAGAATAGTTGGGACACATTTAGAATAGTTGGGACTAGAGACCGAGCGAAATGGATTTTCTGATTTCGGCCGAAGCCGAAGTTTAAAATGACTTTCGGCCGAAACCAAAAAAATGCTGAAAGTTAAAAATGACTTTCGGCCAAAACTGAAGCCGCAAACCGAAAATGAAATATTTAGATATTTTGAAATTCGTTCTGTATACATTCTGCATACATCGAAAATGATGGGGTAAAGTATAAATATTTACATTTTTTAAATAAAAAAATGAGATAATCGTGAATATTAATAAATAAACGTCTAATATAAAATCTTGTTGTTAAGGATCATTTAGTTTGTTCTTAAAGATCGGTTAGTTTGTTCATAAAGATCGCTTAGTTTGTTCTTAAAGATCATTCAGTTTGTTCCTAAAGAACGTTTAGTTTTCTGTTTAAGATCGCTGAGTTTATTCTTATAAATCGTTTAGTTTACTATCAAAGATCATTTGTTTCGTTCTTAAAGATCATTTAGTTTGTTCTTAAAAATCGCTTAGTTTCTTCTTTAAGATTATTTCGTTTTTAGTAAAGATCGCTTAGTTTGTTTTAAAGATCGTTTAGTTTTTTCTTAAATGTTGCTTAGTTTGTTGTTAAATATCGTTTAATTTGTTCTCAAAGATCGCTTAATTTTTTCTTAAAGATCGCTTTATTTGTTTTTAAAGATCACTTAATTTGTTCTTAAAGATCACTTAATTTGTTCTTTAAAGATCGTTTAGTTTATTCTTAAATCTCGCCTAGTTTTGTTGTTAAATATCGCTTTCGCTTAGTTTTGGCTGATGACCGAAAATCTCAATCACTTTCGGCCAGATGGCCAAAAGTCTAAGTCAATTTCAGCCGCCGAAACCAAAAAAAAAAAGAAAGTTAACTTTTCTCTTTCGGCCGAAACCGAATTGTTCGGACACACGTAGAATAGTTGGGACACACGTAGAATATTTGGGACACATGTAGAATAGTTGGGACACATGTAGAATAGTTGGGACACATGTAGAATAGTTGGGACACACGTATAATAGTTGGGACACACGTATAATTGTTGGGAAACATGTAGAATAGTTAGGACACACGTAGAATAGTTGGGACACACGTAGAATAGTTGGGACACACGTAGAATAGTTGGTACAAACGTAGAATAGTTGGGACACACGTAGAATAGTTGGGACACAAGTAGAATAGTTGGGACACACGTAGAATAGTTGGGACACACGTAGAATAGTTGGGAAACATGTAGAATAGTTGGTGACAAGGAAGATATATTCCATTAGTTGCTGACAACGAGACCAGACTGTCCACAACTAAACCAATCTCTAGCTACCGACCGTGACGTGTTAGTGCACAACTGAGCCAATCTCTAGCTACCAACCGTGACGTGTTAGTGCACAACTGAGCCAATCTCTAGCTACCAACCGTGACGTGTTAGTGCACAACTGAGCCAATCTCTAGCTACCAACCGTGACGTGTTAGTGCACAACTGAGCCAATCTCTAGCTACCAACCGTGACGCGTTAGTGCACAACTGAGCCAATCTCTAGCTACCAACCGTGACGTGTTAGTGCACAACTGAGCCAATCTCTAGCTACCAACCGTGACGTGTTAGTGCACAACTGAGCCAATCTCTAGCTACCGACCGTGACGTGTTAGTGCACAACTGAGCCAATCTCTAGCTACCAACCGTGACGTGTTAGTGTAAAATGATATCACCTCTTAAACTTTATTTAAGTCAGTGTGTTTCTGACGACTTGTGACTATCTCATCTACCTCTCCGATGACTTACTGTGACTTACACGGCTGGTGTTAGTCAACTTCTAATAAACAGGTCAGACCTGGGTATAGCATTCATACATTGAACTTGTATATAATTTGTTGTGAGGTCTGACCTTAGTCTCAACGGCTTGAGTGTGGGTTGGAGGTTAGATCTGACCTTGGTCTCAACGGCTTGGGGTGCGGGTAGGAGGTTAGATCTGACCTTGGTCTCAACGGCTTGGGGTGCGGGTTGGAGGTTAGGTCTGACCTTGGTCTCAACGGCTTGGGGTGCGGGTTGGAGGTTAGGTCTGACCTTGGTCTCAACGGCTTGGGGTGCGGGTTGGAGGTTAGGTCTGACCTTGGTCTCAACGGCTTGGGGTGCGGGTTGGAGGTTAGGTCTGACCTTGGTCTCAACGGCTTGGGGTGCGGGTTGGAGGTTAGGTCTGACCTTGGTCTCAACGGCTTGGGGTGCGGGTTGGAGGTTAGGTCTGACCTTGGTCTCAACGGCTTGGGGTGCGGGTTGGAGGTTAGGTCTGACCTTGGTCTCAACGGCTTGGGGTGCGGGTTGGAGGTTAGGTCTGACCTTGGTCTCAACGGCTTGGGGTGCGGGTTGGAGGTTAGGTCTGACCTTGGTCTCAACGGCTTGGGGTGCGGGTTGGAGGTTAGGTCTGACCTTGGTCTCAACGGCTTGGGGTGTGGGTTGGAGGTTAGGTCTGACCTTGGTCTCAACGGCTTGGGGTGTGGGTTGGAGGTTAGGTCTGACCTTGGTCTCAACGACTTCCTGTTTCCTTGTCTGTTATTCATCAAACCACCAAAATGGCCAAACACACAACAATCGACCCCATATCCCACCTTAACAACCGATACCCTCCCAGTAACCAGGTGTGTTGGTAGCGACCAGTAATCTGTGACGCAAGTTGTCTTTCACCTGGTTTGACAATGAGGTCACCAGCATTCCTGGCCTGAAGTGGGTCAGTTGACGTCAGTTGTCAGGCTATAGGGTAAGGCCCGGTTCGGTGGGTAACAAGACAACTTTACTTGGATGCACTTAACCAATGTTTTGATGTAAGAATGGCTAGAAATGGCAACCACCGGTTTCTATTTATTATTTATAGGCAATTATAACGCACAACGGCAATAAAAATGAAGTCACCCTACTACAAGGTTAAAATGCCATGGCTTTTCTCCGCTATCTGTTTGGCGTAGCACAGTGGTTCCCAAACTCCAGACGCCGGTTCTTCGCTACAATGGTGTAGGGAAAAATTACATAATTTTCTTAATTTTATATCCACTTTCATTCCAATGCGACAGGACGCGACCTCTAGCGGACCTGGTGCAAACCATTAACTCACACGAGTAATTAGGGGCGTAGAAAGGGGGGTGGGGGGGGAGGGGGGCCTGGCGGTACTTTTTTCTTTCTTCTTTATACGGAGAGGCGGCATTTTCGACCAACTGTGGAGTTTTTTTGTAGTAGAAAGGTGGCCCGCCCCGGGCGTCACTACTAGCTACGCCACTGTGGGGAGTAGTTACTCTTATTGAACTTAGGCAGAAAACTAACTGCACTTAAAATTATATGCATAAAATTACAATGGTTGCAGTTAAAGATAATATTTTAAAGTTTAACTTTATTCAATCCTAACTTCTGGAAGTTGTTTTTATTTGTTTGTTTTTTTTAATACATTTTAAGTTAACTGATTCCATTTGTTCCGCCGAGGAGTGCTATGTTATTTCAGCTGCCATATTGACCTGCAGCAAGCTTGTTATTTCATGCCGTGAAAAGAAAATAGCTCTCACATTAGAGACAGGCGGAATGTGTTGTTTCTGGTCTGGAACGAAAGCAAACCGCGAAAGTTACAAATGTCTTGAGACCGAAGCCGAAATCCAAAGCTTAACGAGACAGATGGGTGTATTTCATAGTGATTCATAACTTTGGTTGTTAAGGAGGTCCACGGGGCAACATATCCATGTTTATATATGGCTGCGACTATTCGTACCCGGGTACCAAAAGTGAGAGGTTGGGATTAAAAAACTATTTAAAATATTATTGTTGGGTTTGTAAGACAAAATGAAGTATCAAAAGAGAGATAATTGAATGGACTATATGTTTGTAAACTTACTTCTTCAGTTTAGCTAAAATAAACGACCACAAATGACATCCGAATAGCATGGAGTCAAAATGGACCCATACACGCAGCGCCGCCATTCGCACCCGGGTACCAATACCAATAGTTTTTTAATCCCAACCTCTCACTTCTCGTACCCGGGAACGAATGGCCACTTCGATATATAATTGTTTAAATTAAAACTGAGAATATCCGGTATCGTGAATTCTGTTAGATACCGGTACACATCTAATGAATACTTTGGCAACTACCATTTGCATTAAAGATTATTTTAAAGTTTTTAAAAATGTATTGTAAAGTATAATGGTAAGAGAAAATTTTGACCGTGGGGGGGGGGGGCGCAAAAGTCATGCAAAATAGACTATTGGGCGCCCTTTGCTTTAATAATTTATTTTTAAAAATTAATTACAAGGCTACTGAGACGTATTTGGCATCGATCGAAAACTTAGCCGATCTATTGAATTTATTGTTAATGGTATCGTCCACTAAAATGACTAGACACAATCATAAACCTAGAATGAACTGTTCTGTTGCCCTCGGGTCAGAAACCTACGGCTCTTTGAGCTTTCTCCTAACGCTGGGCTACTTTTAGTTACTGTGGTGCCGGCAATGAGGGACATCCGGCATTGTCTAGCTGCACCAAGCAGCTCGATGCCACCTTTGCTTGCCTGACTAGCTGCACCAAGCAGCTCGATGCCACCTTTGCTTGCCTGACTAGCTGCACCAAGTAGCTCGATGCCACCTTTGCTTGCCTGACTAGCTGCACCAAGTAGCTCGATGCCACCTTAGCTTGCCTGACTAGCTGCACCAAGTAGCTCGATGCCACCTTAGCTTGCCTGACTAGCTGCACCAAGTAGCTCGATGCCACCTTAGCTTGCCTGACTAGCTGCACCAAGTAGCTCGATGCCACCTTAGCTTGCCTGACTAGCTGCACCAAGTAGCTCGATGCCACCTTAGCTTGCCTGACTAGCTGCACCAAGTAGCTCGATGCCACCTTAGCTTTCCGGGCTCGTTGTTCAGAAAGCCCTTTACTTATTTCATATTTCTTCTTTCGTTTTCAAATGTGCTTTTTACAATAAAAATAAAAACGTTTTCATTCCGATCTTTTGAAACTTTTCCTGAAGTCTATTTTTCATAATAATACCTAGGCATTGTATAAAATGCCTAGGCAAAGATGTAACATAAAATCAAATATTTCATACTTTCCCTAAAAACTGCAGGCATTCTATGTAATTTCTAGGCATTCTATACAACTGCATTCACGCATTGCCGTTAACAACTATATCAAAATATAATATCCGACTCTTTGTTGTGATAAAGTCCCTGACCCCACACATGTTCGCTGAGACAAGCGTTCTTATTGGTCGACATTTTAACTTTTCGTTTATCCGCATTTACCATTGGTTGGGCTTCTAATTTTAGATATGACCCAGATTGAGCAGTAGGCCTACTACATAATTATTAGGAAATTGATACTTGACACAGGCACATACCGGTATGTGTGTAGGCTTATGATTAAAATTAAAGGCTTAAGTATACCCGATTCAAATAAAAATGATCTATTTTTATGATTGCACAAGGTTCATTATTCTCTTTCTTTACATGTGTGTCTATACTCATGCATGTGATTAACCATGTGTGTGTTTTTTTTTATTTATTTATTGTCAATGGCATGATAAAGATGAATGTCAATGAATAAATTCATTAAATAAACTTGGGGCATAGGGTTCCCAAATTATTATATTTTAACAAAAAATAATGTAAGTATTAACATTCCCCTAGATTTTTTTCCCCACAAAACATTACTATTTACCTTTTCCTTAGCCTAATTTAAATTTAATTTGGTTGAAATATTGGACAAATAGGTCATCATTCATGCAGCTGTGACAGCCTGAAATCTCGTAGACCAGCGAAAGCTTAAATTACTTTTGACCGAAAATCAACCGAAAATTGACTTGTTCTGTTTTGATCCAAAATGATCATACGGCAACGTTCGGCGCTGAAACCGAAATGAGTTCGGCATCTATCTGAAATCCCATCCTTTCATTGACTACCGCCCTACTTGACCAATTTAGTTCTACTCCTCCACACAAGTTCGCCTATTTTGTTCCTCCCAATATTTCTATTTAACAGGGTGAGAATAAAAAATAAAGTCTTTTACTTATGTTCTGTGAAGCTCGTCTTTGATAGAAAGTTTTTTGTTTTTTTTTTCTTCATTCAAGATGCTTGTTGTTGTTGTTTTTGTTGTTTTTTTTGTTTTTATTGTTTTTTTTGTTTTGTTTTTTTTTTGGGGGGGGGGGGGTTTTTTTTTTTTTTTTTTTTTTTTTTTTTTTGTTTTTTTTTTTTTTTTTTTTTTTTTTTTTTTTTTTTTTTTTTTTTTTTTTTTTTTTTTTTTTTTTTTGGGGGGGGGGGGTCTTTTTAAACCGCCAGGTGTCATGTCTTCTTCTTCCCCTGTTTTAACTGCCAGGTGCGATGTATACACCAGGGTATGTTATTAACATCGACACCGCCCACACATCGACCAGCAGCAGTAACAAAATGGACAACAATCTTTGCCGTGAACTGGGGACGTTGTTTCATGGTTTAGATAAGTCCTGGTGAGGGGCCGTCCATAAAGTACGTCACGCATTTTTGGACCATTTTTAGCCCCCCCCCCCCACCTGTCACATTCTGTCACAAATCTCTGACCCACCCCCACCCCCCCTAAAGTACGTCACACTTTCGAAGAAACTGGTGAGGGGCCGTCCATAAAGTGCGTCACGCATTTTTGGTCAATTTTTAGCCCCCCCCCCCCACCTGTCACATTCTGTCACAAATCTCTGACCCACCCCCACCCCCCCTAAAGTACGTCACACTTTCGAAGAATTTTTTTAAAAAAATTAACACCTAATTAAAATTTAATCTAAAACACACTTCACTATTAAACTGTATTAAAATATAAAATTTCCACTTAAAAGAACTATCACATTATAAAAATGACTTTAATAGTAGAATAGTTAATTGTCAACAGTTGTCACAGTTATTCATTGAAGCAATAACTCAATCTAGATTGAATTTGAAAACAAAAATTGCAAAAATTAGACTAGACAATTAGATAAATAATATAATACACATCATTTATCTGCTGCTTTTTCATTTACAATAGGTGAGGTCAAGTTTTATATAATTTCTGATTATGCAATCTTTTTACACAGGATTAGAAGTAGATTAGCGAAACTTGACCTCACCCAGTGATTAAATAATAAAAAGGACAGTGACATAATTATGCAGCGGACAACATAGAAATAATAATACTTCAGGCATAACGAAAGCAATGCTTCGCAACAGCAGACTAGCGCTCCTAGCGAGAAGAATCGTGAACAACACATTAAGGAGATACGCATTTCATGCTATTTTGACTAATGATACACACAATTTTTGAAAAAAAGTATTTTTAAAGCTATTAAATTCCACTAAAAAAGTAATAAATAATTAGAAATAAAATTATTAAAAAATATGTGACGTCACACATGGCCTGACCCCCCTCTCACAAACTGTCACACTTTCTTACACCCCCGCCCCCGTCTTGAGCGTGACGTACTTTATGGGCGGCCCCTGATGAAAAGAATTGGGGGGGGGGGTGTAATTGATTATGATAAGGACTTTATTCGAGTATGTAGCTGGAATTGATCTCAAACAAGGAACCAGTGATTGTAACGCAACAATAACGACTTTACACGGTTTCTTATAGTGAATGGAGTGTGTCATGGAAGCTTTGAAACAATGCATTATTTGCATTGTGTGTCATCGAAGCTTTGAAACAATGCATTATTTGCATTGTGTGTCATTTCTTTTTCAAGGCGAGGAGAGCTTCATTTGGCCCCGCGGGTTGTAGTTTGCCCACCCCGTTTTAAAGGAATGAAACGTGTGAGCCACAAAACGTGGGCTTAGTTTCCCAATACATTTGGTTGGTTGGTATATTAGTGCCCCTCCCACCCACTGACATACCCACGGCTGTCTGTTGGCTGCTTGTCTCTGACAGCTGTCTGTTGGCTGCTTGTCTTTGACAGCTGTCTGTTGGCTGCTTGTCTTTGACAGCTGTCTGTTGGCTGCTTGTCTTTGACAGCTTTCTATTGGCTAGGTCTTCCTGCCTCATGCACCCTCCGACACTGCCTCATGCACCCCCGACATTGCCTCATGCACCCCGACACCCCTGCCTCATGGACCCCGACACCCCTGTCTCATGCACCCCGACACCCCTGCCTCATGCACCCCTAACCCCAGCTTGTATCTGACATGACTGTGTGTGCTTTTACTCTGCATTGGGTGACATTGTTTTGTTCTCTGAAAGCATTCCTACATTAAGCAGTGGGCCTAGTGCTACTAAAGCAGTGAGCCAAATGCTACTAAAGCAGTGGGCCAAGTGCTACTTAAGTAGTGGGCATAGTGCTACTAAAGCAGTGGGCCTAGTGCTACTTAAGTAGTGGGCATAGTGCTACTAAAGCAGTGGGCCTAGTGCTACTAAAGCAGTGGGGCTAGTGCTACTTAAGTAGTGGGCCTAGTGCTACTAAAGCAGTGGGCCTAGTGCTACTAAAGCAGTGGGGCTAGTGCTACTTAAGTAGTGTGTCCAGTGCTACTAGTTGTATTATGATCAAGTTTATTTCAAACAAATCAAACCAATTTCACTTGTTTATTGATGCCATTGATCATCAATATTTTGTTGGGTAGAACTATTTGAAGGGATCATTTGATATCTGATTGTAATCTTTTGATCATGTGTAGGTTTGCAGAGATAAAACCTAAAGTCTTGTACAATTGTTTAATATAATCTGTAAGACTTGTGTAAACCTCCATGTCATTAGGCATTTCACTCGTGCATTTTTGCTAACAATTTCTTTCTTCTTTGACTCTCAGGGCAAGCATTTCATGGCGTCCACCGGTAAGATCAGCGAAGGAATTCTTCTCGGCATGGGCAACCCACTGTTGGACATGAGCATCACTGGAGACCTAAAGCTTCTGGAGCGTTATGGGCTGGCTCCCAACAACGCGGTGCTGGCCACCCCAGAACAGCATGAAATCTACCACGAGATAGTGGAGAGCTACCGGCCGGTCTACATTGCGGGAGGAGCCACACAGAACAGCATTAGGGTGGCTCAGTGGCTCATACAAGTTCCCAATGCTACAACATTCTTTGGTGCCGTGGGGGATGATAAGTTTCGGCTCATCCTGGAGGATGCCGCCCGAAGTGTTGGGGTCAATGTTAGATACCAGGTGCACAGAGGAGGTAAGACAGGAGTGTGTGCAGCCATTATAACAGGAGAGGATCGGTCTCTCATCACAGAACTTGGAGCCGCACAAAACTTTAGTGTGGATTTCCTGAAGCAACCAGACAACTGGCTGTACGTAGAAAAAGCAAAGTTTTACTACATTGGTGGCTTTCTGCTGACAGTATGCCCTGAAGCAGTTCTATATGTGGCCCAGCATAGCTCAACCTTTAATAAGACTCTTATCATGAACCTTCATGCCACTTTTCTTTGTGAGATTTTTGCTGATTCCAGCTTGGGTTTGATGCAGCATGTGGATGTCCTGTTTGGTAACAGTGATGAAGCCAGGGCGTTCTCCGAGGCCATAGGATTTGGTACAAGCGACATCCAGGAAATAGCTCTCAAAACAGCCGCACTTCCCAAATTGAACCCAGAGCGTCCCAGGATTGTGATATTTACACAAGGCAAAGATCCAACTTATATTGTGGCCGAAGGCAGAGTTCAGGAGCTGCCGGTGGCACAAGTGGATCCATCTCTCATTAAGGACACCAATGGATGCGGGGATGCCTTTGTGGGGGGGTTTCTGTCTCAGTTAGTCCAGGACAAGCCACTGCCAGAATGTCTAAGATGTGCTGACTATGCCGCCAAGGTTGTCATCCAGCATTTTGGCTGCACATATGATGAGCATCCTCATTTTATTTAAGAACCACCACTTAAAAACCTTATGTTGCCCATTTGTTTGACATCTTTCTTTGGCTTATCCTTAACTTTGATCAGATTTAAACTTCTTATTTTATTTTGGTGAAAGCATTTGTTTTAAAATAGTTTGTTTTAATGAACTCCAACGAATTTGAATTAGAACTTTGAAGGATAACTCTATGTTCCTGAGGATTGTACATAGAAACATTATTTATTGCAAACAATGAATGCAGTATCTACATGTAGGCGTGTCCACATGACACATGTGTAGCAATGGATGCAGTATCTACATGTAGGCGTGTCCACATGACACATGTGTAGCAATGGATGCAGTATCTACATGTAGGCGTGTCCACATGACACCTTTGTTGTTTAAAACATGACTACCCTGACATCAAGATAATATTAATTCTACTTTAACTGCATGTATTTAAAAAATCAAAATTTTGGGTCACTGACGATACACTTTTAGTAACTTCCATCCACCTATTTATTAGATATGCCTCACCTAAACTTTTTTTTTTTTAATTCAATCCTTGTGACGTGGCCCTTGAGTTGTTGTTTTTTTCAGCATCTGTTGATTTTAATGTGGCTTCAAAGTAATGAGGAAAGTCTTCAAATAATATCACAAATCAATGGAATTTTGGAATGATGGCATGTAGACAAATATCTCTTTAAAAATATTAAAATGCAGCCCCAGTGGTACCACCTAATTGCTGAACCATGTCATGATGATATTTATATACATGAGGTTTTTAACACATATTGGAAACATCCTTATAAAAGAATTTAAATAATATATTTTGCTGTCATCTATTTACCAAGTTCTCAGATTATTGTACAAATAACTTTTTTTGAAAAATCTTTTATTGTTATGTATTTCTGTCCTCTGAATCTCAATGTCCTCTTTAATCTTTGTGATTTCAATGATACTGTACTTAACAAATCCGCTTTAATCTAAAACAATGAATGTGTTGATGTCAGATCCTACCCTAGGATCCCATAGATTTATAGTCTACTGTTCTTTGTATGTTATTTGCGGAAAGTTATGTTCATTAGTTAGAACTGTCTTACCCTAACCAGGAAACCATGTTTATTTCTTGTAATGCTGTTAAATGGATTTTGTATGCAAAGCATGAATGTGATATTATCTGGTCCATCCTTTAGGTAAAGAAGAGTCAAATTTATGGAGAACAAGTCTTGGGCTTTTGAACACATCTAGTTTAAAACATGTCTAGATAACACATGGAGAATACAACATGACTAGATAATAACATTTATATTATCTTACTATCACTTGTTTCTTTTTGTAAGTGGAAAAACTTTTGACTGAGAACTCAGCTACTCTCCAAAATATTTCTTCATCTCTGTATTTCATCTTATGTTAGATTTTCTTAAAGCTTTTTTTAACATATCTTTAGTTTTTTAGTTGAAAATGTTTGAAAGGAAATTGATGTGCACCTAAATTTACAGGTAATTTTTTTTTTTTTTTTATAAGAAGCAGCAAAATATTGTGGAAAAGAAGGATTTTTAAATTATTTATTTTAACTTGTAACTGAACGACAATAGTTTAAAGAAACTCTTTAGCCAAACTTAAGTTCTTCAATGAATGCTCCCTAATACCATTGGAAGGTCAGAAGGTCATCAAACAAAATGTGATATGCCTGTTGAAATGAAATTTTCTTTAAATATTTTTTTTTTTTTTAATCTTTTGGATATTTTTTAGTATAAAAAGTTGTTTTTTGTGGTAGATTTAGATTAGTTGTATATGAATGAATATCTGTTGTGGGTTGTTGTAAACTAGTTTTGCTTATATCTGACTTATATTCTGATGATTAAAATTAGACATGTTGTGGTCTGTAGGAGACTATATCATGTCATAATTCAACAGAGCTAGAGCTACCGTTAAAGGTTGTATGCCAGTGTGTAGGCAATTGTTGGCACCTAATCGTTCCATTATTCAATTATTGCTCAAAGCTTGTTGAATAACTGTCAGATAATGAAGTATATTGTGCCTGTTACACTTTGCGCTTGTATGGGATCATTGAGAAAATATGCTTACAGAAAGGGGGAAAAAAACTGTCTGGACTAGAATTGGAGTTAAAGTTGGTCTAATAAAGTCTAATTTATTTCTTACCTTATTATAGCATTTTAACTGGTGGCAGCCTTAATATAAAGAATAAAACTAAGAGTGATTATACATACATGTACACACAATATCTTCTCCATGGTATTGTTGATGCATTCAGGCTTTAAATACTCATGAATGTCTAAAACTAGATTAGTATAACACTATTATACAAGTGACTTGTACATGCTTATCATTTATAGAGATCAATGTGAAGCATACCAGTGATCAATATCAAACATACTAGTGACTCGGAAATGGCATGTTATGAAGTTAAAACACTATTTATTGACTCTTCTATTCATCAAGTTACATGTAGAAATATCTGTATAAATATATTGTGAGTGTGTTACAACAGGAAAAATCATAATTGATATTTTCCCTAACGACCGTCATTGGTTCCAAATATATATTTTTTTACGATCACTGATCGAATTTAAACAAAATTATCCAAGCCTGGCATAGAAGATTTTTAATTAAAATTTGATCGGCAGATAGAATAAGCAAAATAGATGTAAAATTAACCTGCGTCTGAGGATGCTGATTTTTGGTGTTTCCACAAAATATCTTATGTTATTAGTGTTCAATAATTTTATTATTGTTTTTGCTAGTTCTAGAATATTTCACACATTTTGAAACCATGACAAATTCGTGTTTTAACTGGTGTTCTAGTTTAAATACACTTTAAGTTTTTCTGGATTTTACAAATATAAGCCTAGGATCTGATTGGTTCAATCAATTTGTATATATTTCTGTATAAAGTGTAAAAAGCTGAATATCCAACATTCTTTGGTAAACACATTAACTCTAATCTTGACTATAATAAGACTAAGAGTGTAAGTGAAACACTTTAAATGTAGTTACCGTATTTTCCGGCGTATAAGACAACTGGGCGTATAAGACGACCCCCGACTTTTTCTATTAAAATCTATGGTTTGGGCTGTATACCAGCTCATAAGATGACCCATGGCGTATAAGACGACCCCCGACTTTTGAAAAGATTTTCATGGGTTAAAAAGTCATCTTATACGCCGGAAAATACGGTATGTAGATTGTTGTAATGTATTAGTTTTTAGTTAAAGACGGTTTGATGTTAGATGTTGATGTAAAGTCAAGGCGTTTTTAAAAATTAAGGAATGGTTCCATATGGAATGAGGAATGGGAGTAGATTTTATTGAGCCTGCCTGTGTAAGGGAATGGTTCCATATTGAATGCGATTGAGAAATGGGAGTAGATTTTATTGAGCCTGTCTGTGTAAGGATCTTCAAAATGGGCTCGGCAACCTTCAAGGCATGTGTCCTACATGGCTGGAGGCCGATGTCTGGATCTTCCTTAACTGGTCTTTACCTGTGCTAAGCTGACTTAAGGTGTTGTCTAGTCTGGAAATTGTGGTAAATGGTTATGGTGTAAGTTCTAGGATGCTTTCAGAAGGTGTAAGGCCTGGAATGTTGGTCAGGAGGCATACGTCCTGGAATGTTGGTCAGGAGGCATACGTCCTGGAATTTTGGTCAGTGAAAGAAGGGATTAGTTGATTTTTTTCTGTCTCATTTGCAGAGGGAACAGGTTGGTGTTCTGTCTTATGTGTAGTAGGATGAGAGGGAACAGGTTGGTGTTCTGTCTTATGTGTAGTAGGATGAGAGTGTAGTTAAAATTTGAGTGCAGTTGGATGTGCGAGTGAATTTGGATGAGAGAGTGTAGTTGAATGAAGGACTGTAGGTGGATCAGTAAGTGTATTTGGATGAGTGAGTATAGTTGAATTGAAGGACTGTCGGTGGATGAGTGAGTGTAGTTTGGATGCAGCGGCGTCACTAGGGTTGGTGTCACACAATGTGGTAAATTCATGGTGTCCCCCCTTCCAGACTTCCTCCGTCACTGCATGCTGTGGTTGCTCGGGTGGAAATTTTACCTGATGCAATCTGATATTATTATTATTATTATTACTATTAGAGGTCTTACATAGTGGTACCCTGTTCTTTATAGTAACACCCTGTTTTTCTCTTGGCAACCTTATCAGGTGGCACGCTACTCTTGTATTAAATTTATGAAATATAAGAAAAAGGTCTGCTGAACTTGAATAAATGGACAGGACAAAAGATTTGGACGTTTCGGCTCAGAGCCTTCATCAGACCTGTTAACTTTTACAATTTTGGCGTACAATGTACGATTTTGAGGTGTATACTTTATACATATTGCATGTTTATATTTTGGTATAAAGATAATGTATTGAACAATTTTTTGATATTAAGACGATTTTAAGAGTTAGAGGGTAAACAGGTGTGCTTCATCAGCAAATCCAAATCTTTTGTCCTGTCTATTGATTCAAGTTTAGCACACCTTGTTCTTCTATTTCATCTCCACAACTTGAATTCAGTCCATTAATTATCTTTTATTAAATTTATATCTGTTATGAACCCTACTCTATCCAGCTCTATCAAATTTGCAATTTTCCTTTTGGTGTCAGCCCCTGTGAGGGTCTCTTCCCGTTTCTCCCCCCCCCCCCCATGAGGGAGTCACCCACAGTGCTGTCTGCACCCCCTAGTGGCATTACTGTTTATTTTATTAAATTTTTATCTGTTTTGAACCCTACTCTATCCAGCTCTATCAAATTTGCAATTTTCCTTTTGGTGTCAGCCCCCGTGAGGGTCTCTTCCCGTTTCTCCCCCCCCCCCCCATGAGGGAGTCACCCACAGTGCTGTCTGCACCCCCTAGTGGCATTACTGTTTGATGTGTAACTCTAGTTGGATGAGTCCTGTGGTTTTTGGGATCTGGTCTCAGCATGTGTGTAATCATCTTCCTGTGGAACTCATAACCCATCCATTTATGAGGATATGACAGAGAAAGTTGAGCTGTCTGTGTAACAGTAGGACATAACTAGTTGGGCTGTCTATTTCACAGTATGACATATTTCGCTGGACTGTGTTTGAATGTATGACTTTACTCTTTTCCAAGTACAGGTCACTTGAGATTTTTTATAATGTTATCACAGACATATTAAATTCTGTTTAATTTTCTAAAGATATAGTGCCATATAATTTATTCATTATGACTTACAATGCTGCATGTTTTTAAACCTTCCCTTTCTAGAGTGTAAAAAAATTCCTGCTAAAACATTTCATCACTTAAACCACACTAACTTTTTTAATGTACTTTTTGTAATAACATATTTCTGCGAGACAGCTCTTTGCCATGTATCAACAGTCAGAATTATTACACATTTTGTCCATCGCTTTATAGATGCATATATTGTCATTGTATGTATATCCAGTTGATTTTTTTCAAAAGACTAATGTCTAAAAAATTATCTCAGGGGTTCTCATCTTTCTAGCCAAATCAGGCGGTCATCACCTTGCACATATGAGAACTAATTGGCATATGGTACCACATTAAAGTCTTTGATTTTGTTTTATAAAAAAAGCAAAATGCTCACTAGATTAACTGCTTATTCTAAATTTAATTATTTATTAAAATTGTAAGGACATGGTTATTGTAACGGTTGTTTGTTTTTCTTTTGTTTTTTTTAAATTTGCAATAAAATTAGCTAGTCAAAACAATTAAGTATAAAACATGAGAATGCTTATATTCCATAGAATGGAGCTGTCTGTCATGATATAGGGTGAAGCTATCTGTCATAATTTTAATATATAATTTTAATGTATGCCCATTAGTTCTCTCCTCCCCCATTTTTCTTCTTTTATTTCATGATGCACTGGATCACTGAGAGCCAAGTCACTGGTTTGAGAAGGCTTATCTCCCTTGGTTCATGGTTCAGCCTCTGACAATTACATTGTTACTGAAATATTAACTTTATTTATTGTCTGTATAAGATTCACACCAAATTGTTGGCTATTATGTTCTGCTTGACTATCAAAAATGATAGGCTGAACGGACTTTTCAACAGTAGAAAGTAACAAATACCAGATTTTAGAAAAGCCATTGAGTTTTGTTGTTGAGTGTAGCTGACTGTAAACTCAGGACAGCTCTCAGTGACCAGATCAAAGGATGATATCCCGGTTGTAATGTACAGTCCCATCATGGGAACTCACTCACTTTACATTTTCTGTCATTGGAAACATTTAGTGTATTTTCGCATTTATTATCTGCCTTATTGCCTAATGTACAACAGCCGTATAGAAGAAGTTGTCAGGAAGTTAGGATAGACTGTTGTAAGCTGTTAGCTTGGTGAATCTAGGAAAAAGAGCAAATGTGTATGGGATATGAGAGAGTGAGTTTTTACTGAATAGTCTGAATACTTTGTAGGAGCATCCACCCGTTAAATTACAATTAATAAGTCACCTTTTAATGTCGTATGTATTTTAATCCATCAAGTAGGATCCATAATGAACACACATTTTTTAACACAATCTCAAGAATCCCTGAGAAAACACCATAAATCTCACAAAATAAAGTCCAGGTCACCAATTTTCCAACAGATAGGTCATTCTCATGATTCTCATGTAAAAATAAACCATTATTGGAGAATTGTTAGAAGCACTGTGACGTACATATACCATATTATTATCAAATTTTATATTAAGCATAGTTGCCTCTCTTTACCAGGAATTTCACAATACCGTAAACATAACACAATTTTTCTTTCATCATCCGTAATTTTCTTAATTCAAATAATTGAAATAAAGTCTATAAATTTTTAATATTTAAAAAAAAAGCAAAACATGATAATCCACAAATGCAAAATTAAAAAGTCATCCACGTGTGTGCACTATGTCATTACTATTGAAACCTTTCCTGACCATAAATAATAATGAAAAAACAAAATGTAGCATTTAAAACATAATTATTCAGATATTTTTTGAGTATGTTACTTCTGATTTTTTTGTATGTGAGTTTGTAACATAAAATCAGACCACACAAAGTTCTTAGTACCGTCATAAACAATTCCATTGAATGCACCACCTGAAATTGTTGGAAATAAATTATTGGTATCATAGTAACTATAAGGACTTTTTTTTAAAGTTGAAATTATTGTTTAATTGCTGCTGCTTTTTTGATTTTAAGTTCACCAATTTTTGTTGTTGAAAATGGGAAAACATTTTGAATGAAAACACCGGCTTTTATTTTATGAACATCAGACTGTTTTGATGTTGTGTTTATTAATAACAGGCTTGGTACGTCAGAATAATTGTTTGACTTTTTAGGTTAAATTTCATTTGTTTTCTTATTTGTGAAATGACATGTATGAATAATCCTAATTGTATAGAGGGCAATGCTACACAATCTGTAATAAATATGACTGTTGTAACTGTGACTTGATCTGCCTTCCAGCAACTAGAAAATCAGATGTGGCTAATCATCTCCCATCTGAGCATTAATTTCGCCCATCCCACCTTTCTCTGTCTTTGTCAAGTTTCTATGGTGATTGATACAACATGTATGAAGGAATACACTTTCGCAAAATACTTTCAAGAAGGGAATTAAACAAATAATTTCTTATATACAATTTAGTTGACTTTTATGTTTCTTTAAATACAATAATTGTATTGTCAGTTCAACTGTACATTTCTGGATTTTATTTTTGTGTGTGTGTGTATGTATACATGTGTAATATATATAAAATTATATGAGCTATTACTAGCATGTGGTTATTAGAGTCCCAGAAGACCAAATAACAAAATAGATTATTTAAAGCCTAAGTAAACCAAGTTGAAATTCACTTATTTGGCTGCTTGATATTCATGTCCATTTATTTTATGATTCTGAGATTTTCTACTTATACAAGTTTTTCTTTAGGTGGGTAACACAGGTGGCAAGAATTTCTTTATAGTGCTTTACCCAATCAATGTCAATGTATAGATCCTGGAACTCTGTTTTGAAATGCTAAAAGCTTACAGGGACGAGCAACATAACTTAAATGGACCCAGAGGCCTTCATGTTAGAATTTCACAAGATAGAAATATTCTTGATGAGCAGCTCTGACACATCCCTATTCTTTAAGTTTTTAACTCAGCGTTTCCCAAACTATTAAGTTTCACGGACTGGTGGACAAGTTTCGAAACTGCACCAAGGACCGTTGCCAGATTTATTAATTAAATTTTCTTTCTATTTAAAGATCAATATTCATGCTTTCTGGACCAGTAACGTAAGGCTTGCGGACCGGTGCCGTTCCACGGACTGGTGCCGTTCCACGGATCACCATTTGGGGAACGTTGCTTTAACTAACTAAATGTTTCATGCTAAAATAGCATCTTCAAATTTCTTATGCAATCAAAACAAAGTGCCGGGTATTTCAAAAATGGGGATTGAGCATTGCCCAATTCACAGCTACTGTTACAGGCTAATCCTACAGAGGATGAGTCTCATGTTATAGAGTTGTTATATGGTAGTGCCCCACAGTTGAGGCATGCTGATCACCATCAAGAGCACCTACCTGGGCAAGATTAGGGACAAGTACGAGTTAGAACTACTTATCCTTGAAAAAGTGAACAAATTTTTTGATTATTCCAAAATGTAAAGTTTCATTCGTATGCATTTCCCCAAAACAGCTTGTTGAACGTATTGAAGCTGTACAAATGATTGCTCTCAATATTTCTGTTCCACTGAAATAAGATTCTGTCTTTCTGTTTTTTTTTACAGGTCCAAATCCTTGCAGGCATAGATAAAGGTAAACAAGGTTTGGTGTGTACAACAATCAAGGAGAGGAATTGGTGCTATGTGGAAGGACTCAACTGTGTGAGTTACAATTAAAGCCCATTGGAGATCAGCTCAATACACCAAAAACGTTATTGGATATCAGCTCAATACACCAAAAACATTATTGGATATCAGCTCAATACACCAAAAACGTTATTTGATATCAGCTCAATACACCAAAAGTCCTTCACTTAATATAATTTCGATTTTTAAAAATAAAAATAAATCCATTTTTTAAGTACTACAATTTGTTTCTTTACAATAAATCACGTAGAAAATCTGTTTGCCTGTAGTGTAATATAATTGGGCTTATCTCAGCTACATGTAGTATATAAACATAGTATTAAATATTTATATTGTTTGTTTTAATTGTAAAATGTTATTGTTAAATGATGGGAAACAACCCCTAAAAACAAAGTTTTTCGTATTAAATCCTTTATATGCTTTTTTTTATATTTTATTTTAATTTTCTAATGTCCCACCTGTTTTTATACCGCATATTTATTTCACCATTTCAGAAAAACCAACAAAAATGTTACGCACCTAACGCTCTTGGGATATTTTTTTTAAAGAATCTCATTTAGCGCAGTTATTAAGAATTTTATTTCATAAAATTAGTTGCATCGTAGTTCCTTCATCTTTCCTTTGAAAAAAAAAGGAAAAACTGATTTTTGGAGGTTGGGGGTGGGGCTGAAAATTTGATACAATGTGTTGACGACGAGTCTATGTGCCAAGTTTCAGCTCAATAGGTTGTTGGGAAGTGGCTCAGCTAGCCATCCAAAGATTTTGCCCTAAACCCTCAAAAGCAAAGTTAATCTAAGGGATTTAATTGTTCGGGCAGAAAAAAATAGCTTTGAAAAAAAATTTATGAAAAGTACCTAAAGATGTTGATCACTTTTTTTATTTTTCAGATTTTTAAGTGGGTCGGCAAAAGTGCCACAAACCCTGGTGTCATAACAAAAGTTGAGAAACCACTCCTGGTCACATCAGAAATATCTCTGTTAGACCCAAGTGATTTGTAAGCAACTTTCTTACTTTAGCTGTACATTCAATATTTCCAAATTTTACTACTCATCACACAAGTGTAAGCAACTATCGTAACTTTAGCTGTACATTCAATGATTCCAGCTATATTACTGCAAATCAAGCATTGAGAGCAACTTTTATTTTTGTTGCTATTCAGGGATTAGATGGATTATTGCAAAACGAAGAATAAATATGTATGATTATAAATATTCTTATATACGTTGAAAATCTCGTTAGACGAGTTTTTGAAAAGCATTAATTGCCTAATGATAGCTTACAGAGTGGTTAAAATACTTTTGAATAATTTGTCATTATTGGAAATACAAATTAAAACTGTGGACATTGTTGTATCCAATAATTTCCAGGCAACCAACTGAGGTAGAATGGAGATATGATGATGATGGCAACCGTGTTAGGGTTTCATTGAGGAGTGGAAGAGTCATTCCCATTTCTAAGAAGGCCTTAGATCTTGCTGAAGATTTTGTTGATAAAAATGAATATTTAGGTCAGTTAAGTTTCTCTGTATCAATGTATGTCAAAATTTTTGTATCGAGTACCCGTATTGCATTTTACTCTTCCCCTTAAGACCACAAGATATAGTTTATACGAAGGCTTGGTCTCACACTGTTCACTCACACAGTATAATAATTTATACTTCCACTGTTCTGAAATTGTGTTCTTTGTACTTCCTTTAATATTAGAACCTATCACCAAATTTCCATTCCCATCTAATGTTTGATTGTAACTCTTTAGACAGACTACTCATCAACTAAACTGTTTTATGCATCCTACAGAACAATCCTGGGACACTAGAGAAAAAGATCTCTTAAAAGTCACCTTCAAACCTTTATCGAAATCATTTGAGCAGGACATCATGGACTCTCTGGGCATCAAGGAGACCAGGAAGCGGGCTCCAAACTTTCACTATTGATGTGCCACTGTAATATTCATATTTCCTTTAATTCATAAACAAATAAACACTTTGAAACTTTTGGAAAGGTATAATTTATTACAATTTTTAAAAAGAATAACAGTAAAAGTAACTAACATACCTACCACAAACTAAACAATTAATTTATTCTGGTAATTTTTTTTTTATTTAAAGATTTTTTAAAATTATGCATACATTCAAATGCAGCAAACCACAACAAAATCATTTTGAACATTTGGACAGTTTAAAACAAAGAAAGAATTCATGCACCAAAATAAACTCAACCACCACTAAGATGTCTTTTTAACTTAGGTCATTCCCTTGCTTTATTGTCAAGAGAGTTCCATTACATCTCAAAATAGATGTTAAAGCAATGTTCAAATCTTGAGAGCATAAATGACTTGTCATTGCACAGAAGTACATGCTAAAACAATGTCAACCACAGTACAAAACAGCTGACAGCAGTAGTCTTCCTACATTGTTATAAAATCATATGCCAGACACAACAGCAAATACATTTTCTATTTGAAAAAAAAATTATTTTTTTAAAAGTATTTATGCAAACACACCCTTAATAATTGTCCACTATTATTTAGAGTAAAATATTAATTTTGGATAGAAATAATTCATGAAATGCTCTGTAGTCTTCAGATAACTCATAGTATTTCTAATATGGGTGGCAGTGTTTATCAACTAAGAAATGAAGATGTAATGAAATAATCCTTAAAGAAAGCTGTTTTTTAAATATTGTCACAAAACCTTAAAATATTTCAATAAAATAACCATTTTCAAGAGACAAAATGATGTAAGACTTATGACCAATAACATTGTTGTTTTAATATATGTCAAAATCACAGAGACAAATGACTGCTTGATAATTGACTTTAAAAGAAAAAGATACAAGCTAATACTAATATTAAAGAAGCATGCAAGGATTCTCAAAACATCCTGTTTGTATTGGTTACTGCCCCTTTACCATTGTAATTCGAAGAAAAAATTTATACCTTAAGCAAGCATATGTGCAGCTTCAAAAAAATAAATATATCATAGCTTAATAAAATTAGACTTTAAAACTAGGCTGATGTTAAATGTTAAGTCTTTTTAATTGTCAACTGCATATAACTTACACATAGATTTCTAAATATGACAACATAAGATAACGTGCTGATCATTTTTAAAAAAAAATTATTAAAGTAAAGTCAATTGAAATCAATTCAAAATAGAAAAGAAGTAAACTAATCTTGTGCTCAAAACATTTGACTAAAGAGAATCAATTAGTCATAGGATGTAAAGACGTGATGTTAAAACTTTCTTTTCTAAAGATACCTAACAGTTTACAGTAATGATGTACCTTGCAAAAAAACAATGAACAATTCTCAAGGTATGTTAAACGGTGGTTACCAAACATGTTTATTAGTTGAAAAGTCATTACAAATACTAAAGAAAAAAAAAAAGAAAAATTCTTTAAAATACAGTTTTGCAACTCCTGTATTTTATTCCTGTAACTTTCATTCTTAAAGAATAATGCATGTGAAAGAGTTGTCTGCTATTTCCCAATGCTTGTGTCCAGCCGTTCTCAACTCTCATTCCATTTTTGTTAGATTAATAGTAAGGGCGCCTTGGATTATTCTGAAATTAAATTTCACAATTAAAATAATTTTGTAACGTGCCATTAAAATGTAAGTTCTAAAAATGTATGTAAGAATTTTAAGTCAATAATTTTGGAATGTCACCAAAAAAGAGGATGTTCTAAAAATATATGTAAAAATTTTAATACTCACTAAAGGGTTGGGTCTAAATCTGTAGGCAAGCATCATTCTCTTGCGGTAAGCATCAAATTCATCATCATCTTTGGTCAATTCAGCAGGTCGCTCTATACCCAGACCTCTCCCTTCTACTGATGTATTACCTCTAAACTCAAAGAATAATTTTAACTCAATAAAACTCAGTTTTAATAGTCCTTTAACTTAGCATTGGGATATGATCTGTTTCTAGAGGACATTCAATTTTTAAAAGATGATAAAATGCTTTTTGAAGATATTAGTTCTATATAATAAAAGGATGTAAATTCCTTTAAACATGTTTTTAAAAAACTTTGTACACATTACGAAGTTATCAAGAAAATTAATGATAATAAAGCTTGGGATAATTGAGAACAAGGATGGAATTGAAGGGAGACAACAACAAACAAGACTTACTTGTTGACAGGTTTTGTTATGCCCTGCTCCTGAGCTCCAAGGCCCGTCCCTTCCTTCCAGCCCAGTTTGACCAGCATCTGATAGCCCATGTTCTCACAGGTCAATTTGAACTCCTTGTATTCAGAATAGTCTGGCTCTCTGCCATCTTTTAGAGCCTGAAGATTATATTTATTTTCAAAATTATAGTGTTATCTCCATTTTTTTTCAGATTGACTAATTCTAAATCAGTATCTTAAACAAACATAAGGAGGGGCCAACTATATAGTATGTATACAAAACAAAATGTAATTTTCTGCCCCTTTCCCCATTGTACGCATACTTTTTTTTGAACACCCCCCCCCCTTTGCGAACATACAATTATCCCTAAAAAACCCAACAAAATCCGATAACATTTAAATGACGTTACAGTAAACAAAATATGTCACTATTTTTCACCATTGGCTGTTTGGCGAGCCCAGTATTTCCCAGAATATATGCCACATCACCCTGGGTGCTTGTTGTCCTCGTGCAGGGCTATGAGAATGGGGCGAAAGGCAACGGGTGCCAAAATCAGGGGCATGTCTAGAGTAGAAAGGACCTTAATATTTATATTGATTTGAACTTAATCTGTAAAATCCCATTTATTTCACAAAGATAAGGTGCGCTATAATTAGCCCTTTTACGGGGCGGGGGGGTGGGGGTGGGGGGTGTTTAGGCTTTCCCTGGGCATGCTCACAGGGGCGTTATAATTATGACAAACCTTAATATTTATATTGATTTGAACTTAATCTGTAAAATCCCATTTATTTCACAAAGATAAGGTGCGCTATAATTAGCCCTTTTACGGGGCGGGGGGGGGGGGTGGGGGGTGTTTAGGCTTTCCCTGGGCATGCTCACAGGGGCGTTATAATTATGACAAACCTTTTCATACATTTATTACCACTTTTAATCCAATGTGACATCTTTCGGCCCTGGTGCTAACAGTACCCCACTTAAGTAACTGTTTGCAGTTACTAGATGGGGCTTAGTGACCTACATACCAGTTATAATTATATGTACCCAACCCTTTATTTTGTTTTGTTTATGTGTTGGCTATTTCCAAGTGTACTTGTTAGAATGTAACACAAACAAAACTTGAGTTTGGTAGAGGCACCAGTCAAACAAAAATGTGGTTAATTTCAGAAACTTAAATATTTAGGAACCGCCCCACCACACACACCCACAAAATCTCATAAATCAACACCACTCCATTCCCCTCTCAGGGCAAACATAATAGAATTGTAGATGGTCCCCAATCAATCGTATTTCTTGATCCATTCACTGTGTATATTTTCAACCCGTTCTCTTTAAATCATAGTTCTGACAGGTCTTGGCATACAATCATAAAAGGCATCTCAAAATCGTACATTGTACGTCAAAATCGTAAGAGTTAACGGGTCTGTAATGGATCAGAATGATGATATTAATTTGATCAAATATTAATTTGATCAAATATTAATTTGATAAGAATAAATTGAAAACCGTAGTACTAAACGTACTTAACCCATGAACTGTGGTCGGCTGAAAAAAATCGGCTAATATTTTTGTTCTGTACTGTGGCGGCCGGAAAAAATGGCAGATAAAAAACACGGTCAGATAGCAACTTCCAATACCGGTTACTTCCAATCCAATATTTAACCAGAATTAAAGTTATACCCGTTTCCTTTTAATAATAAGTTCATCTTCTGGGTCAAACTGTTTGTTGATGATTTAATAATAATTACTGTTTAATCAGAGTTTTATATCGCTGTTCATTGTCCCAGTTTTTTTTCAAAGCTAAAATAGATGAAGCTATGGCTGGGCCTACAAGTTAAAGTATGAGAACTAATAGAAATATTTTTGAAAGCTTTTAAGAAGAGGATATAAGTGATACTGATGATGATTTTTACATTCCCCATGACGATCTCAGTTCGGATTCTTCTTCTAGTGAATCTGATACTGATACTAGTTAGTTAGTTAAGACCCAAATCAGTTCCACATTTCTTTTTTAAATTTTTACTTGTCAATAACTATTTAGCCTGAGATTTTGTATTTTGTACTTGGTTTTAGCTGTGGTCGCAATTCAGGTTATTTATTTTAGTAATAAATGACCTAAAATTACTAAGATTGCTTTCAGAGGCTTATTTGTATTAGAAAACATAACAAACTAAACATTTTCTGAGAGATAAATGAATTGGCTAACAAATTTTATAAGTATTTCAATGGAATCTATAAAAATTAATGATGTTATGAGCACTTGAAAGCCATTTTGTTGATTTTTTCACTGGAAAAATTTTTTAAATTTAAATTTAGGGGGTGGACAAATAGCCACCTTCATCCTCATCCATTTACCTTTCTAAAAATATATCCTTCTTCTTCTTATATTTGAGGTGCCCACGATCAATTTGTTGATCATTCTGGCACCTGGTTTTAAATTCAGAGTTTGCCTTCTCTTAGACAGGTTGCCGTCCAAGGCTAACGAGTCCCATCCACCCGGGTTGCTTGGGATGGCTTTGGTGGGGATTGAACTCCAGACGACCAGCTATTTCGTTTGAGACAGTTTAGACCGCTAGGCCACCCAGCTACTGGGTTGGGTGGTGTTTGTTTTTTTTTTAAATTAACCTTATTCTGGGCTTGTATCAATATTTCTATGTCATTTAATGCTATTTCTAAAGGCACTCAAAAAGTTCTCAAAACCTCTCACAATCCAGCATGATTCTAAACCACAGTTCGTGGGTTAATTTACATTTTTGTGCCAAACCAATCTTAACTGTGACCTTTTCTCATCTGGTTTAACCAAGTGTACTGCAGAAATTTGAACACATTAAAATGTGCAAAGGTTCCTTAAATAAACAAGCCAAAAAAAGAATATTTGAACTTGATTATCTCAAAATGTGTATTCTGTGACTTCAGTACTTTTAGCACTAAGGTCTTTAATTCGTTTTCATTTTTAAAATAAATTTACTGGTATTAGAATAAAGCAGTTTTTCCAATTTAGTTGTCACTTACTACTTACTTTAAAAGTCTCCATAAACTTCTCCAGTTCTTCAGGGGGAAGAAAGTCACCTAGAAAATGTTTACCCCTAGCACCAGAGGTAAGTTTTTCTGCCCACTCTGAAAATGAAGGTCATAGATATGATACTCCATACATTTACTCAATAGACAAATTAATATAAGCCATGGGTAATGCATGGCATGATATTCCATACATTTACTCAATAGACAAATTAATATAAGCCATGGGTAATGCATTAATATAGCGTAACATGTCTTGGTTTATGGCTGACAAACTTTAATTTCTAGTGTGCCGGTAGTGAATCTGTAGAGAAGATCCTATCTGAATTATCAAGTACAAGTTGTACAACACAGCTTTTATCACTTATACTTACATACATATATATATTTTCCTTTGTTTATACCTAAATTCAAAATGGCTAATATTACAGTAAAAAAAAAAACATAATAAAAGCGCAGACTATGACAATATTAACCATCTTTTGGAACACGACTTTCTCCGTTACTAATTCAGCGGTGTATTGTTATCAATTTTTGTGGAGAATTTTATTGGTTTTACTAATACTGCTTAAATTCTGCCGTTTGCTTCAATCAAATGGCTTTATATTTTATAGTAAAGAGAGGGAAAAGAAGTATGTAGTAAAGATTATTCAATCTGAACTTTTCTGTGTTTTCAATAAATGGCTAGATTATTGGCCAAGGTAACAGTTCCTAAACTTTTACCCTAATCCTTCATGTCATTTTCTAATAACTTCACTGAGAACTCAAGTAACCATTTGTACAGGATTCAGCAAACAGTTATTTCTAGGTGAGGTCATGGTTAACACCAAGCGCAGGCCAGAAATAGAAGTAAAAATATACAAATGTTAAGTCAAGGCACCCCTGTGAGAAAGCTGCTGCTACCTGGGGCACTGCGTCACACACTTTGGCAACGTTAAGGATTTTTTGAATGGAAGAATTGTCTAAATCTGGCAAAAAAATTTGCTACACTTGTGAATTGAACTTGGTATAGGGGGGAAGCAGTCAGTTTAGTTATTTTGTCAATGAACAAAGTTTTTTGTTTTTAAAACCTAACCCTAACGAAAAATTACAAAAAATTAAGGCACATTTTACTTTAAAAATAGTTTTTTAACATCTACTTACTTTTGGTTGCATCCATCTCTTTAGCTCTCTGCCTGTGTTCCCACGTACCACCTTCAGTCTCTTCATCAGAATCATATTCATAGCGTCTCTTGACCTTAACACCTTCTATTTCTGCCATCAAAGCTTGTTCCTGCATTTTCTTCTGGGCCATTACGAGCTCATACATAAAGTTCATCTGTAAATAAGAAGGATTAATATGTGTGGGCTTAGATAGTCAACCTGACAGATGATAGGTGGAGGCTCAGATAGTCAACACGACAGATGATAGATCTGGGCTCAGATAGTCAACCTGACAGATGATAGGTGTGGGCTCAGATAGTCAATATGATAGATGATAGGAGTGGGCTCAGTCAACATGACAACAATAAAACATTGGACCAATCAAATAAAAGGTTTATCAAAAGATTTCTTAACACAAATAGGAGAGGGTTTGACTGCAATATCACATTATAGATTCTTCAGAATTCAAATTATATAAAAAAAACAAATAGTCTTAAACATGAATAGTAATATGATATATGTATAGTATAAAAAAAAAAAGTGAAACGCACAACCCACTTATATAACCATTTAAAAACATCTTAAAAATATTTTACTCAACAACTCTATATAATCAGAGGACGCTGATAATAACTTATGATAAAGTTGGACACTGATATTACAGCTTTTGCTTCAACAAAAAATATATATTGTTTTATCATTTGGTTGCTTTAGTGATCTTTGTTAACTCATTCCTGATGGTTGCAACTAAATGTGTCCTTTGTGGGTATCGAGGGATGCGTCCAAATGCATCCCAGCGCATAGAGACACACCTCTCTTATCTATAGTTAAAAATAGCATTGAAATCTCAAGTCTCTCGAGACTTCCGGCTATGGCGTGATTTTAATTTAAAAACTGGAAGTTTTTATCTTGTTTCCCTTTAAAACTACATGTGCTTTAGTACGGCGCCTCTATATCTAGCATGTGTTCATCTGAGGTGCCAAAAATTGATTTTTTGGCTATTATTCATTATTTTTTCTCAGCTAATGTTATATTTTTTTCAGGAAAATAAATTAAGTACAGAAGTTGCACTGCCGGAGGGAATGAGTTAAATAAGATTGTTAAGAAGAAGGATGATAGGTACTTATAATATTTAACTTCCCTTGTTTTTAAAGACAAATCATATCATAATTACCTCTTGTTGCTCCCTTATTTGTTTTAACTGTTCTTCAGATATGATGTCACTGCCGATAACTTTCCTTGCATAGGTTTGCATGTTGGTGGAACCTGGAACTATTGACAAGATTCATGGCGTTATAGAAATATACATGCTCATCATGGCAGAAAATAGTAATAATGAGAAAAAGCTGACCTTAATTTTGGAAAATAGATACATTTTTTTAAAAATTTAAGTAATTATTACGGGGAAAAAAGCCTTTGAAAGTTCTATAATTCTATGTTTAAAAAATGCAATATTTGGAGTTAGGTAGTCTTCAATATTAGTGTTAACCATATTTTTCTATAGCGTCAAGACATTTTGAGCCTTTTCATTTGCTGTTAAAAAATGATAAAATCTGTAAGTGATTTCAGAGACCCTTACAAATATCAAAGATACATTTTCTGAAATTACATTTGACAAGGCATCTTAAGGTATAAACTGAATTTGTGTTTATATTCTGTATGTTAATATTGACCTTGACAGAGCAAGTAAACATTTTACTACTCAACTTCTGAATTCAACCCAACCTTTTTGAGCGACTTCACAAACTGTTGCAATGGTTTGGGAGTCTATATGTAAACCATTACACCTAATTGGAAAATAGAACAGTAAATTGGCCCTATGTAGTATGACATACATGGTATTTGTGGTGCTGGCGGAAGCTGTGGTTGTATGGTTGCCACACCCCCAAGCTGAATGTTAGTGACCACACCTGAAATAAAAATATTCTCAGATCTCTTTTGAAGAGGTACAATGGCTGAATACGGTGTACAAGTCAATGACTTAAATTGTTTTTAAGAAATTAAAATAAGCAATCCAAAAAATACATAACATTTATCAAACCTATTTCCAAAAATTTTCAGAAATGTTTAATTTATGTTCAGTTTGAAGTTCAATTAAAAGGCTTTCAATCCTTTTGTGATATCCCCCATTAATGAGAGTAATTAGTTAATTTTATTTAAAGAAATCGTAAAGTGAATTATCCAACCTGGCATGCCAGGTGATCCCATGTGAGCAGGTATCAGAGAAGGCACTATGACGCCAGGAGGTGCTAGACCAGGAGAAACGATGCCGGGCTCAGCCAAAGGTGCCTTTTGTTCACTCCATCTTGATTTACGCTTTTTGCGCAAAGGCTGTTGGGAGCTGCCTAATTAAAATGAAACTAAATTAGTATTCACCTGCCTAAAAATTTAAAATTTTATTTTGAAGGTATTGTAGTGAAGTAATGAACAGCCATCAATGGTGTTGGTATATTAAAGTTGAGAATTAATATTTGGGTGAGATAAGGTGCAGTTCTTTATTTTTTTAAGCAGCCAGCAGAAGTTCAGAATAAAAAATGGTTAAGAACCAATAATTGGGGACTTAATTTGACATGGCATTTAGTTTTGTAGTTCAGTCACTTCACTTACCTAACTCATTACTGTCACCATAGCTGTCACTGCATTTACCTGATTCATTACTGTCACCATAGCTGTCACTGCACTTACCTAAATCATTACTGTCACCATAGCTGCCACTGCACTTACCCTATTCATTACTGTCACCATAGCTGTCACTGCACTTACCTAATTCATTACTGTCACCATAGCTGTCACTGCACTTACCTAATTCATTACTGTCACCATAGCTGTCACTGCACTTACCTAATTCATTACTGTCACCATAGCTGTCACTGCACTTACCTAATTCATTGCTGTCACCACTGTTTAATTCTTGCTTGACAGAAGATTTGACAAGTTTCTCCACTTGCCACCGAAAATATTTGTAGGTATCACTAGTCTTATTGCGTAGGAACCTGAAACACATTTCATAAAATGGGATAAAAAAATGAAATAACGTTCAACTGTCAAAATAATATATAGCCATGTTTAAGAGGGTTTGAGCAACCCTCTAAACCGGCGTTCTCAACCTGTGGGTCGCAACCCCTTTGGGGGTCGCACTACCCTTTCCCAGGGGTCGTCTCAGACCATCTGAAAACACATATTATGCTCTACAGTTATGAAGTAGCAATGACAATAAATTTGTGGCTGAAGGTCGCCACAACATGAGGAACTGTGTTAAAGAGTCACAGCATTAGGAAGGTTGAGAAACACTGCTCTAAATTATAGCCTCACCTATTATCATGTGTATGAATACAAGTCATTTTGACTTACATTTATTGCTGTTATCTACTCTTCTTAGCACATTACAAAACAGACTTGCTTAAAATTTCCCTACATAAAATAAAAATTGAAATTTACAAAAAAGTAAAAATGAAGAAAACCTGTATTTTTTTTAAAGTTGCATTACCAAATATTTATAAACACATCTCCACATTATATAATATTTTGCAGTAAATATGAACGAAATAGCCCATCGAAAGTCTTGTTGCCACTATTCATGAGATCTGATGACCATTAACATCTAATAGTATTCCATTGTCACTGAAATTTCAGAAGTTTAAATAGTATGACATGACTGATATCTGTTAAATTATAGGGATGACATTATTAAAGAGTTCAAATAAAACTTTATGGGAAGTTTTAAAAAATGTTTCTAGTTCCTAAAAAAGATGAAACAATGCTGATATTAAGTTTGAAGCAATATAAATACAAACTCTTACAGAAATATTTCATGTCCACTATAAAACTTATATTTCTACTTACTGTCATTGTAGACTTAATAACTGATCATGAGAAAGATATTATATCACTTTGCCCTGACATTAGTTGGTAAGTTATGGACATAAGGCACTCATCAGCCATTTTATAACATGTCATGAAGATCATGTTGATTTAAAAATTACAGTAAAACTGTTGATGACTGCTGCTCTGTTGTCAAATCGATGTCAAGCATGAACTACAGACCTGTTTACCCTCAAACTCTTAAAATCTTAATATCATCACAAAATCATTCAATACATTATCTTAATAGTAAAAAAATAAACATACAATATATAAATGTATACACCTAACAATCGTACACTGTACGCCAAAATCATAAGAGTAAACAGGTCTGGGACTAGGTTTGCTATTTAAATAATTTTAGCTCTCCATTGCAAAATTCTTTTAGGAATGCTCCAATCATTCAATTACTAACAATTGAGAGACCTACCTTTAAGTCAGTAAATTTAAATTTCTATGTTACATAAAAATAAAAGAGGCATTTTTCATTTTTATCATTTATATAATGGAAATGAATAATCATTTAATTTGTGTTCAAAACTTGGCTACCACCATGATAGCAATGTCTAAGTCTAAATCCTTTAAAACAAACTAGATCAGTTGAAAATGCAGGTCTTCCCATTTTATAGTTACAGCCATAAGAATTATTTCATACGGTACCAACACATTTTAAATTTCAGTCCAACAAAAATGTCAATATTTTATCAATTTAGATAAAAGTGAGATCCAATTGAAAAACGACCAAGCATAGCATGCTTGAAGTGAACAGAGTGGCATCTCTTGAATAAGGCAAACTTCAGGTTGAATATCTTAGTGCGACAGGCCCAATGGAGAAACCAGGCGAAAAGACACAACAAGAAATTTCCCTTCCTTGTAGTTTTATAACGATGTTGAAAGTTAATTCAACTATTTTGGTTAAGAGGAAAGAAAGTGACATCCTTTAAAAAAAGGTAACATTATAAGACATTTCCATTTTAGATGTTCATACCAATGTAGTAAAACTGAGACAACTGTACCTACCAGTAAAGTGGATCTGTGGCATGTTCCTCAAGAGCCCTCTGCTCAGCAAGGGGTCCTGACAGCATCACTTGAATTGCAAGCTGCTCTATGACTTTTAAGGTTTCTTCATCTTCTGGGGGACAGACTAGAAGAGGGCTGGGTCAACTTATGCTCCTACGTATTGTGCTGAATAGATTGTCAATACAGATTGAGGATTTAACCTCATCCCATATCCCTGACCCCATGATTCCTTGTGTCCCTTTTACTTGCTTGGTTAACAATTTTTCAAGTGTTTTTGACCACCAACTGTTTAACCATTTTGCTTATTAAATTATGTGATTTAATATTCCTCCAATCTATGAATCATGCCGCATTTATTCTTTTCTTGTCGATTTTTTAAAAACCCACTTCATTTCATAATGCATCAAGCATTGTTGAAGTGAAAATAGCAAATACAGTGGAACCAAGTTTTGTAAACTATTTCTGCTCAGTTAATAATCTACATTTCGGGATATTAACACACGGATACGCATATACGGCTCAATAGTGGTTTGGCAAGTTTGCAGTAAACATTATTCCTCCGACTGCTGTTATTTTTGCACCTTTATTATTATTTTCTCCCTCATGTCTGCGCCTAGAGAGAAAAGTGTTATTAACAGGAATCGTGTTAGTGTGGAAGTAAGTAAATAAATTACACGTGAAACATGATAATGCCCGTACTGTTTTATTTATTCTAGTTTTATACATGTATAAATAAAAAATATTTTTTATTTCATTCTATATTTTTCATTATAGAAAAAGATAATGCCCAAATACCATATTTCTAAGGCTGGAACAAGTTAATTGAACTTACATTGCTTTCAATGAGGAAAATTATTACCGTTCACGAATGTTTTTGCTTAAGAATGGAAGGACTCAACAGAGTGATGGAACAGACTTAATTTGTTATCCAAGGTTCCACTGTTACTGATATTTTCAAAAAAAAACCATACCTGGTGAATTTCCATCTCCACTAAAGGCACCAGCCGTCATGTGAATAGAAGGTTTGGTGGAAACCTTTTGAGACAAAACACTAAGAGAAGAGAAAAAATGAATTGGATGGCCAAATATCAAAGTAATTAAAAATAAGGTTTTATTAGTTTGGAAAATTCTTTCCCGAGAAATTATTACAACAAAACTAATAATTGATAAGTTCTACTTATACAATTCCTTTTAAGGCAACTTTAGGTTAAAACAAGATGTATACTTTAAATTAAGTTGACAAAATAGAAAGTAAATATATTGATATATTAAAGTTTAGCATTAATTTTTTTAAATTTCAAAAAAGTGTTGCCTTACAATGAAATGCTGTTCATCCTTGAGGTGGAATTAGATGACATCATAACTCCATCAGGGGTGTTGTTCAGAGCTATATCAGCAAAAAGAAAACAAAAACTTTTAAGCAAATTAATTTTTTTATTGCGTTGCGAATCTTCAGTCATTATAAAATCAGTCAAGGAAATTATTTCAATTTAAACCTATTCTAATTTACATCGCTTGTCATTTTTTTACAAGTTATAGCTGGTTTAAATAAAAATTCTAACCTTCCACATCATCCGTAGGAGCAGCTGGGTCGTACTCTTCCCCTTTAGGCTGGATACCAGCGATGGGAGTGATAGGTCCATACATTCCCATTTCAGGGTGCCCCAGAGCGCTTACTGGTGGTGGATGCCCAAATATACTGGTCTCTGGTGGATTCAACGGAGGCGGGGGGTGGGACAGGACGGGCATGGGACCACACATGCTCACTTCTGGTGGATTAAGTGGTGGAGGTGGGTGAGACACAACCGACAAGGGCCCGTACATGCCGCCCGGTACACTCACCGGATTGCCATATAACGGCTGAGACTGTGACATGGGCACAGTGGTCATGATCTGAGGTGGGGGACCTGAGGGTGCCCCGTAGGCAACAGCTGTTGAAATAGGCAGCGCTATGGATGAGCAGCTTGTGGGGAGAGGGGGAGGGGTGGAGTAAAGATGGGCACCATTATTAGGAGGTAATGAGAGCACGCTGTACAAACCTGAGGAAGGATTTTGCCCCGGTAACATGGGTTGTTGAGGATAACTTAGACCAACTGTTGGTGGGGGGATATGAATAGGAACAGTTGATACAATAACTGTTTGCAGTGGTCCCCCTGAGCTGTGAATTGCAATGCTGTTATTGGACATCGGTTGGACAGGAGGTGGGGCTGACGTAACATACATGGTTGGCTGAATGTTTTGAGCAGGGGGCAGAAGACCAGGATTTGTCACCATAACTAAATGAGACTCCGGAATACATGGCAAAACTTCAGCATTTTGTTGCAAATGATGATTTGTAAGGCTGTAAGTGGTGATAGTTGGCGGCGGCTGGCTAAACATATAAGAAATGGTCCGACTCTGAACTGGCATTGGAACCACTTCTCCGTGGCTCGGGGGTAAGAGGGGCGTTGGTGCTAAAGACAAAGGTGCACTAGGTACAATTGGTACATTTATAGTGGAGGCCACTTGCACAGACTCATGATGAGGGTAATGACCCATTAAATGTGGGTGCTGCTGAAGAATAACGTTGGAGCTCCAGTTGGGTGAAGAGCCGTTGGCTGTGCTTTGAAATGATGAAGTGGTTGAAATGCCTTCCAGCTGCCCATAAGCATGAGAATCATTGACCTCCTTTGGTTCATCTTTGATCACGACATCAACCAAACTAGACTTTGGTGATGATGGTGTGTTCCAGTTTGGGCCGTAACCACCAAATCCTTGAGCACTGGGACTGAAATTAAATGACAATTTAAAGAAAGATGTGTTGTGTTGAAATGAAAAATAAATGCCTGCAGAAAAGTTAAAACGTTAATAAAGCTACCAGCTAATGAATGTCCTTAAGTTATTGCAGGAAGAGTAAGCTTCAAGATTATTTGTGAGGAAAAAAAATTAATGTTAACAGTCCCAGTAATGTAGTACGGTATATAATGGCACATTAATCCAGAATTATTATACAAATGTCTTCAAGAACATTTGATTCTAATGTAGCAAACACAAACTCTAGGTAAAATTCTCAATGAGCAAAAGTCTTTTCATGAGTAAACATACCTTTCTGTGATTATAGGTTTTTTGTCTTGTTTGCCTTCCTCCTTGCCGTCAAACTGTGATGTGTCTTTTAATTTGAATGATGGCAAGACTATAGCTGGACCAGGTTGTTTCTGATATTTGACACTGTCTAGCTTGTTGCTAGAGTCGGACTTCACCTTAGTTTGAAGCAGGGCTTTGCTTTCTGATGATGCTGTTCCTTTTTTACCTAAGACATTTCAATAATGGGTTCAACTTGTTTACTGGAGATTTTAAAACAACATAAATATATTAAGACCATTGTTATTTATAACTTTATGCAAAGGAAATTCTAAATTAACTCTCTGCAGTCCGACTATAGAGAAATGGTACTTATATGTACCATAGATTTTGTGGGTGGGTTATTTATTTTTTAACTTTTTTTTTTATTGAAAAAAATTATTTATTATATTTTAATAATTTGTTTCATTGGTTTAAGTATTTGTAAAAAAATTAAAATTATTACAAAATTTGAAATTACTATTTAAAAAAAATATTTTTGGAAACTTATTCAGCGCGGAGTATCCCTTGAAAGCTTCGCAGATTTCCAAAAAAACAAAAAATATAAGTCTCACAAAAAAAATTAAATAGTAGTATGAATATTGTCAAATGATTTTAATTTCCCGATTTATCAAGGAGTTATTTGTTTGTCTAAAGCAATGTATCCAAATGGAGACTCTAATCATGAAATTTATCACGATTTGCATATAAAAGTACCGACTAATGCTATCGTAAACAAGTAAGCTTAATTTTAATTATCATTTCCCGACTTTAAAATTAATAATAAAACAATAAAGTGATATTTTTATAATTTTAATTGGCTGAAGTATATATTATCCATTTATACTTACATTGATGTATTCTATTTGAATTTTATTGAGTTTCAATAATTATATAATAAATAAATAGCGTCGCTATGCGAAATAAATATTTTAAAAAAATAGCGGAAAATTTCGGTCGATTGGAACTTGCGTAATTAAATAAATTTAAAGTTAAGGACTTCTGAGTTATTAACTAAATATATTTCTTTAAAATATGTTACAGCCAAGAATAATCTTCTAAATTTTCTAATATTGCATAGTAGAAATGTGTTTAAATTTAATTATCATTATCGCTAGTCACTAGTATTAGTAGAGACTACTGTCGGCAGAATAAAAAAAAAAACATTTATGTTTTTATTAAAAGCTCTCTAACTCTATTGGGAAGGAGGAGAGAGAGACAAAAATGCAGATATTGGATCAAGAAGCCCTTATTCCTTATTGATCCTAAATATTAAGCCTGGACTCCACCCTTTTACTGAGTTACAGAGTTACTGGATGAATATCTTTGAAGATTTTACCCTAAAAACAAGTGGTGGTAAGTTTTAATCTAATCACTTGGTAGCAAAATGCATAAAGAATAAACTCACAATATTGTTATAACATATGTTATAATGTATTTTCTATGTACAATGGTTTACTTTTATACTAATTTAGGCACTTGGACTAGGATTAATGGTATTTTCCCTTACTGATAGCATACCATTACTGATACCATTAGTGTTAATTTATTTATGAATCAATCAAATTTTTTTTTTCCACAGGTTCTTTATTGAGTGAATATTCTGTGGTGAAAAATCTTACCTAATCTTATGTAGAAATCAAGTCCAGGACAAGCTTTTATTTATCAAATATAATTATTATAATAAAACTGCAGACTGTTTTAAGAAATAATATTTGTTCAGAGTCCATAAATATAATTAAGGAATAATGTAGTTTATCAGCCTGTGTTATGTGAGGATTATAACAAAGATATATAAAAATGCAGGTACATGGGAAAAAATAGATCACATTAGTGAGGAATGGATTGTATTTGACATGAATATCAAAATTAGCATTATTGTACTGATACATTTTAATTTTTTTTAACTTTAACATCAGCGAATACCGCTATTTTAAAATTTAAAAAAAAAAAATTGACTCTTGTTTTGAGTTATTTATATATTCATCAAATTTTACTTAGTCATCTTTTACTCAAGAATTATTAAGAAATATATTTAATATACAAATCTATAAGCTATAAGACCCTTTTTTTAAAATATATTACATACAAAACATAATTTTCATTAAAAGAAAAATTATAGTGCATTTTTTAGGAAAAAAAGACAAAATATAGGTTTTGCTAAAATGTTGACAACTTTTTGATTGTTCAAAGAATTTTTGTCATGTTTGACTATGAATTGTATAAGTTGATGAAGTATTTTATTTAAATAAATTTTAAATCTTTTATAACAAGGATTTTTTTTTTCTTCCATACTGTGTAAAGATTTTGTCAAATTTTTGCATAAAATGAAAAAAAATAATTCTCCAATAATGTTTCAACTATTTTTATAACTAAGAAAATAAAATATACAAAAAATATCTAATGATAGCTGAGTCAAAGATGAACAAGTTAATATATTTAACTGATCAGATCAGAGCTATTTCAGATCAGTTAATTAATTATTTTAAAAAATCACATTAGGATTTTTAAGAAATGTGAAAAAAACGTCAGACTGCAGAGAGTTAATGTCAAAAAAAAAGAAATTTAAAATTTGATAATTAAAAAAAGCGGAGCCTCTCAAAAGAAGTAAATTTGTAAAACCTTGTCCAGTGAGCTTTTTAAACTGGTCCATGAAGCTCCCATCATTACTAAACAAGTTTGGGGTACGCTTAGGAGTTGCACTGATATTAGAACTTTTACCAAGTCTGAAAAGAAATCAAAAGGTTTTGTAAAGGCAACTAAAACAGGCAAAATATCTAAACTTGACATAACTAAAGGCTTTCAATACCCTTTATGTAAATATGCAATGCACATTCAAGCTAAGTTTGGATCTGATGTTGTGATTAATGTAAATACCCGTATTCGACACCCACTTACAATCGAGCTGTGTTTGCATCTGATGTTGTCGAAACTTTATTAGTGGCAGCTGCCTTGGCTTGTGCCTCAAGTTTTTCTTTATACTGTTTCACTTTCTCTTCCAAGAATTTCTCATGGGCGCTGAGATCAAGTTTAACTTTTCCAAGATCTCGATCTTTCTTTTTTGTTGACATTGTATTTGGTCCTTAATCTGTAACACAATAGCTTAAATTATGAAAGATAATGTTGCAAGAGAAATCCACACCAGCCCTGATTAATATGTTTATATTGCGTTAAACAGAATTCTACTAAAACATTAAGTTCTAGATGTATCAATTTAGATTTTTTTCATAACTGTCGTTACACGCTGTGTTTGTATTCTTTCTCTATGGGCTTCCCTACGCATCTCATATTCTTCTATTATATAAGTTAGGTAAGTCTTTGTTCCCAGCCTGATTTATGTTGTTTTTACACAAATAGTTTTGGACATGTCAGGTCACTTAAACACAATTTTAGCACACAAAAAATAAAATAATGGGTTACTAAATATTATTATTATTACAGTGGTCAGATTTAAGTCAAAAGTAGGTCAGGAAGTACTGGGTTAAAGAAAACATCAATAACGGTTGACACTAACAAATCAATAAAACATAATTTACTTATTTAAAATATGATATTAAAATACTAGATTTCCAATATACAATAATATTATTGAGAAGAGGACAATTAATCAGTATGCATTGTTATCATCTTTTACGATATTCTACAATATGTCATCAATGCTGAAATAAAACTAAATATCATGACTGTGACTATCATCACTATGGAGGTGAAGGAGTATTATTGTACTTCCTTCGCAGGTAAAGATGATTATGGTAATATTCCACTTGAGTAGTAGCCTTAAACTTAACTTGAGGTGCATTTTGTTTAAAGTGGGGGAGAGTTGTTTATTTTATCAGCCTCACTCTCTCACCCTGGCCTAGTTGATCCAATGGCAATACTTAGTCAAGACAACTGGAAATAGACCAAGATGCATATGATGACCAGTAGCGTTTTTTTTAGTGTGTTTCACTGTGCTCTTTATGCGTTACATGTCGCAGTTGTCTGAATTTGTAATGTGTTAATGTCATGCTGACTTCAGGACTCCATCCCTATGTATTTCAGAGTTTGACATGTCGTAGATGAGGTGTCCAAGATTAATGAGTCCAAACCAGCAGGGGTGTTGGTGTTGTTTTTACTCATCCAGCCTTATGCTGGGGATTGAACTCTATACCACAAGCTTGGGATTGACTCAGTTTAGACCACTCGGGCAACCAGCACTATCCAGGAGTACTATCTTGGCCTATGGCGCATATGCCCTACTAAATGACAAAATACTTAATTATCCTAACTATAGGCGTAGATAGCTTAAGTTATGCTTAACTAAGCCTAATCTAATAAACTTGTGTAACCTTAAAACCAGTAGTAACCAGTTGTACTAGTAAAACTTAACACAGATGGCCCAAAAAGAAGGTAGTGCAAAAGCCTTTCTGTTATCTTATAACTACAACTCTACCTAACCTGAATGTCAAGTCAAAAGCCTTTCTGTTATCTTATAACTACAACTCTACCTAACCTGAATGTCAAGTCAAAAGCCTTTCTGTTATCTTATAACTACAACTCTACCTAACCTGAATGTCAAGTCAAAAGCATTTCTGTTATCTTATAACTACAACTCTACCTAACCTGAATGTCAAGTCAAAAGCATTTCTGTTATCTTATAACTACAACTCTACCTAACCTGGATGTCAAGTCAAAAGCATTTCTGTTATCTTATAACTACAACTCTACCTAACCTGAATGTCAAGTCAAAAGCATTTCTGTTATCTTATAACTACAACTCTACCTAACCTGAATGTCAAGTCAAAAGCATTTCTGTTATCTTATAACTACAACTCTACCTAACCTGAATGTCAAGTCAAAAGCATTTCTGTTATCTTATAACTACAACTCTACCTAACCTGAATGTCAAGTCAAAAGCATTTCTGTTATCTTATAACTACAACTCTACCTAACCTGAATGTCAAGTCAAAAGCATTTCTGTTATCTTATAACTACAACTCTACCTAACCTGAATGTCAAGTCAAAAGCATTTCTGTTATCTTATAACTACAACTCTACCTAACCTGAATGTCAAGTCAAAAGCATTTCTGTTATCTTATAACTACAACTCTACCTAACCTGAATGTCAAGTCAAAAGCATTTCTGTTATCTTATAACTACAACTCTACCTAACCTGAATGTCAAGTCAAAAGCATTTCTGTTATCTTATAACTACAACTCTACCTAACCTGAATGTCAAGTCAAAAGCATTTCTGTTATCTTATAACTACAACTCTACCTAACCTGAATGTCAAGTCAAAAGCCTTTCTGTTATCTTATAACTACAACTCTACCTAACCTGAATGTCAAGTCAAAAGCCTTTCTGTTATCTTATAACTACAACTCTACCTAACCTGAATGTCAAGTCAAAAGCCTTTCTGTTATCTTATAACTACAACTCTACCTAACCTGAATGTCAAGTCAAAAGCATTTCTGTTATCTTATAACTACAACTCTACCTAACCTGAATGTCAAGTCAAAAGCATTTCTGTTATCTTATAACTACAACTCTACCTAACCTGAATGTCAAGTCAAAAGCCTTTCTGTTATCTTATAACTACAACTCTACCTAACCTGAATGTCAAGTCAAAAGCCTTTCTGTTATCTTATAACTACAACTCTACCTAACCTGAATGTCAAGTCAAAAACATTTGTTATCTTATAACTACAACTCTACCTAACCTGAATGTCAAGTCAAAAGCATTTCTGTTATCTTATAACTACAACTCTACCTAACCTGAATGTCAAGTCAAAAGCCTTTCTGTTATCTTATAACTACAACTCTACCTAACCTGAATGTCAAGTCAAAAACATTTCTGTTATCTTATAACTACAACTCTACCTAACCTGAATGTCAAGTCAAAAGCCTTTCTGTTATCTTATAACTACAACTCTACCTAACCTGAATGTCAAGTCAAAAGCCTTTCTGTTATCTTATAACTACAACTCTACCTAACCTGAATGTCAAGTCAAAAGCCTTTCTGTTATCTTATAACTACAACTCTACCTAACCTGAATGTCAAGTCAAAAGCCTTTCTGTTATCTTATAACTACAACTCTACCTAACCTGAATGTCAAGTCAAAAGCCTTTCTGTTATCTTATAACTACAACTCTACCTAACCTGAATGTCAAGTCAAAAGCCTTTCTGTTATCTTATAACTACAACTCTACCTAACCTGAATGTCAAGTCAAAAGCCTTTCTGTTATCTTATAACTACAACTCTACCTAACCTGAATGTCAAGTCAAAAGCCTTTCTGTTATCTTATAACTACAACTCTACCTAACCTGAATGTCAAGTCAAAAGCCTTTCTGTTATCTTATAACTACAACTCTACCTAACCTGAATGTCAAGTCAAAAGCCTTTCTGTTATCTTATAACTACAACTCTACCTAACCTGAATGTCAAGTCAAAAGCCTTTCTGTTATCTTATAACTACAACTCTACCTAACCTGAATGTCAAGTCAAAAGCCTTTCTGTTATCTTATAACTACAACTCTACCTAACCTGAATGTCAAGTCAAAAGCCTTTCTGTTATCTTATAACTACAACTCTACCTAACCTGAATGTCAAGTCAAAAGCCTTTCTGTTATCTTATAACTACAACTCTACCTAACCTGAATGTCAAGTCAAAAACATTTCTGTTATCTTATAACTACAACTCTACCTAACCTGAATGTCAAGTCAAAAGCCTTTCTGTTATCTTATAACTACAACTCTACCTAACCTGAATGTCAAGTCAAAAGCCTTTCTGTTATCCTATAACTACAACTCTACCTAACCTGAATGTCAAGTCAAAAGCCTTTCTGTTATCTTATAACTACAACTCTACCTAACCTGAATGTCAAGTCAGTATCCCCAACTCAAGCATAAACCCTTCCTAAATTTAGTCCTCCTAACTTGAGTGGTAAATATGACCTAACATGAACCCTAAAATGCTAAGTTAGTATCCCTAACTGAAGCGAAAATTCTCCCCCTAAATTTAGCCCACTCCCCTCCTGAGCGTACATTTACTAATCTTGTTTTAATGATAATTTATATGACTTTTATATCCAGAATTTATTGCTATAATATAAGTTATAAAAAACTAATTTTCAAAAATCTACTTTTAATACTATTATTTAATTATTATGCTATTATAAATAAATTGTAATCTATCTAACTATGTTTGGACGATGTACGCTTGACATTTCACTCCAGAGTTTCTGCTGATTGACCTCCCCTTTAATTAGTTGTGGATTGTTACTAGAGTTAACTATTTCTCTTCTCTTTTTTTTATTTATTAATAAGCATATGGAATGTTTTTGATTGATGGATATTTTAAAGTAATATTTTATAGCGTGGTTAATATAATATTTCAAAACAAGGCTATTTTGTCCGTGTGATCGTCTTGATCGTTTTGTTAAATAGATTTTGACTTTTCTGAAATCTCTTGGATTTATAAGTATTTAAAAGTGTATTCAATAAAGCACATGAACACATGGTTTTAGGGTTCACGTTAGTCATAGATTTCAGGTTTAAAGATTTTTGCTCCAGTGAGGGGGGGGGGGCCCCTAATTTAGGAGTAAACAGTATATGACAGCAGAATAGGGTCAAAGAATGTGGGAAAAAATAGGCACTTAGGTGAAATTTTCCGAATAATTATAAAATCTAATCAGTGCAAATTTTATAGCAAAATCAACACCAGCCTCACGACGTTCTTTGCTTCCTCTGCCACTCCAAATAAAGTATATCCAAAGCCTCTCTTGCAGAGTTTGCCCTTTCCTGCAAGGCAAGTCTTACAGAAGAGTGCACACATTCCAAGCACCTACTTTCAGTGAGATAGCTTTGATCTTATGTTTTCCCTTTTGAGATTTTCACAAATTTGAATTTCAACCACACGCATAGGCGTATGGGGTATTTTATGGAAAGGTTGTACTTTCGATTGTGCTGCAGTCATATCACTATGGGGTAGCTAATCAATCAGTTGTCCCCTCATGGTGCTCAGCTCTCACCTGTGACACCAAGTAGCATGTGACGCGGCCACACCATTGGAAAACGGCTTTGACTAGCCAGAAAAACCAGGTAGCAGGTAAGTTGGCCTTTTCATTATTTTAAAAATATTTTCTTTTTTTTTTCTTAATTTTTACAATTTTCTTACCAGATTGTGTAACTGTAGCACATGTTTTAGTTGAGGAAAGGTAGCAACCACAGGTCTAGCCGCACTTCTTGAGGGATACAATAAATTTGCTATTTTTGCTATGAAATAAATGTACTAACTGAAATTAAACCAGGAAAGGGGACAACCGCAGATTGTTAACACTTATTGCCGCATATCTAGAACTAGAGGGATACAATTAAGTTGCTACTTTCACCGCTACCGGCTGAAATTATTTCATTAAATTTTAATATTTTGTTTCTATTTTTATCCGTAAATAGCTAAAACAGCACATTCTTACCCCCCCCCCCCCCCCCCCCAAATTATCACAGACTTGATAATAGGTACTTTGATTAAAAAAATAATAACTTTTTGTAAAAATAAACCAATGGCATAGTTGAATAGAGCTAATTTTTTAAAGAATTATAACACCAAAATTATATTTTTAGCAGTTGTAGTTTTAAAATTATGAATTTTTAAAGTACGACTTCATTTGTCCTTTTTTAACATGGACCGCATCTCCACATTCTGTGACCCAAATTCCGCTGTTTGCGTCACGAGCTATATAACTCTTGTTTTAATGATAATTTTATTTTCAGAACTAGTGCTGTATTAAAAAATAATTTTAATAATGTCAACAATTATAGATAAATTGTAGCTATGCACTATTTATATCAGTAAATTTAATATAATGTATTAATATATGGCTTTTCTGTTTACCAAATCTACGACGTCCATTATACCCATATATGCTATATAGTCTATATAAGGCAACTCATGCCCTAATTACTAAAATTAAAATGCTGTTTGGGAACTAATTATTTTGAACTTTCAACTTTGGCACATGACTAATTAATTAAAGCTTTCCCTGACCTGGTTTAACAGTTTTTGCAAACTTTTATGAATGAAAACTCGAGATAGTAGTACGGTATAACCATTAAGCAAGTCACTGAATTGCCGCCATGACATTTTGCACACGGCAAATTATGATAATTTATAATATGGACTCTTTCGGGTTTTTTAACCTCAAATTAAAATAGTATTCTTTCAATAACATTTAAGTTCATTCTAAAACATAAGTTATCAAAAATTTTGATGTCAATAGTGGAAATAATTAAATATTTCCCAAGTAAGGGTGTCTTCCGCCAATGAAAGGGGGCGTGGCCACTTCCTTATCGAAATTGGGCTGAGCTACATTACCATATAGCGGTTTACTCAAATGAGCATAACAAGTGGCCAACATGTCCTAACTCAATGAGAATTGACACAAATACACATCGATAGATAATACAGAATAAGACTTTTTATAAAAATTAAAAGACATAAAATTTGAACTTCTATATTAATTTTTAGTGAAAGATGCCTTATATTCAAAAGTAAGGAAATCTCAAAATACAGGTCGATTGAAAAATCAAAACAAATCAATGTAAATGTAGGCCAAGATGTCTACCAAAATATAAGGCCGGAAAAGGAACTTAAACATATGTTGAAAGTACTCATTTAATAATAAATACACACACATCGGAAAATTAAAAACTCAGATTTTTCTGCGCCCATTCCCATTTTCGATACACAAAAAGTAGTAGTCTCCCTTGTTTCATCGAAGTACCTCCTTGATACGTGTGTTGACACTGTGGTGTTTTTACTACTTTTTTATTTGTACATGACCGCAATCTTGGTGGAGACTTGCCATCATGGCAACCAAGATGGCGGCCATAGGAAATATGTGGAGCGGATTGCGTAAATTTACCTAGTAAAGATTGATTAAAGAAGAGTAACAGACACTAAGATTACTAAGTTACTAACTGTAAATAAGTACGACTTTATGTTTAATTTAAGTCGTAAAAGTACCCTGCCTACAATCAACAATCCTACAAGTATTTTTAGATTTAAAATAATTTAGGCTATAAATCTTCATGGTAGGACACATAACCGAAGAAATTAAGTTGAATTCATATTATTTCTTGAAAAGAGTAAGTTTTATATTTTTGAAATAACATTACCAATAACACTAACAGGAACATAATACACAATTTCTGTTCTTACATTCGACCGCAGACATGATGATTTGTTCTTCTTCCGTTCATTTTGTATATGCCAGATTGAAATATTTAAACAAATTTGAGAATGATTGATCATCAATTAAGTAAAGTACTGACTTCGTTTATATTAATTATTAAAATTCAGCCATAAATGGTAATGGATAAGATATCTTAAGGAGATTTTCTATGTCTAAATATGCCTTTACGTGGTTATGGATCATAACCAAAAGCATTTATTGCTGTCAATTCTATACCCTAATAAAAATCCCCAAATTTTCACAAAGAAAAATTAAATTATCATTTTTCTCTGTAATGTTATCATTTGCTTTATTTATTTGCTATAATATTATTAACCGTTTCTGATATTTCTGATAGTTCATTGGAAATACTGGAACAAGATATGGTTAGGCTTGAAATGAAAAGACATATTTTACCGTTGAAAGCTCATTCTAACAGATCAACGATTATCTGGCATTTGATCTAATTTTGAATTCGAGTATTTACTTTTTTTAAAAAAATATTTAATTATTTAATTAAACGTGTAAGTTTAAATTTGTTGTTGTATATATTATTATCTAAATTTAAATATAATTCTTTTTAAATTATGTAACAATTTTTTTTATCTTATTCTATTTTAATACATATTTTAAAAATAGCATTTTCTTTCTCGAATACAGATGTCTTCAATTAAATTGGTATCGATTATTTATTTTTATAACCATCATATTATAAACATGGCAGGAGCTGAGCATGATTACGTTGTGTATCAAAGAGGAGAGGTGTTCTTTTGTTTTAAATTTTGTTTTAAGTTTAGTGAGAATGAGATAGATCTAAATTTTCACTAGTCTGACTAGGATAATACCCCTGTATTAATAAAGAAGTAAATCGGTGGGAAAAGATTAACACTTCTTCTTCTAAATCTTAAGGGCCCACGATCAATTTATTGATCATTTTGGCTCCTATGCATGTAGATGGGCCATGGGATTTGAAATGTTTCTGTTCTTGGTGTTGATGAGGAAATTTCACTGATTTCTAGTGGCACTTTTTGAGGGAATCATGCACTAGGGGTTTGAAGGTTTGAGACAATAGACACAAATGTGTCTTAGTTTTAGTGTTGTCGCTTCAACAGTTCCTCTTGAAAGATTGTTCCAGTCCGGGATTGTCTTGGGCAGGAATGAGCACCTCCTATACTACTGGCTTCTTGTGAAAGTTGGTGGTGGTAGTCATAATGGTGGTCATTGGGTGGATTACTGGATTATTTATTTAGTTTAGGCTTATTAGGTATTGGCACTATTCACCATTGGCTGGCTTTGCTTACATTTGCCAATGAATAAAAATTATACCCAATCTAATCACTAATACGGTAAATTCAGAGAAAGCAGCCCGAGTCTATTTCCATGGCCGCCATCTTGGTTGCCTCGACCCGCGCACTTTTACGTGTGCACGGGTCGAGGCAACCAAGATGGCGGCCATGGAAAAATAAAATAATTCACGTTTGCTAAAATTTGGAAGAAAATTTTTTAAATGTATGAAAAAATTGTCGGAAATCGATCCCTATGCCTAACCCTAACCCTAAATCGATCCCTATGCCTAACCCTAACCCTAAATCGATCCCTATGCCCAACCCTAACCCTAAATCGATCCCTATGCCTAACCCTAACCCTAAATCGATCCCTATGCCTAACCCTAAATCGATCCCTATGCCTAACCCTAACCCTAAATTGATCCCTATGCCTAACCCTAAATCGATCCCTATGCCTAACCCTAAATTGATCCATATGCCTAACCCTAAATTGATCCATATGCCTAACCCTAAATCTATCCCTAAGCATAACCTGAACCCTAAAAACTAGCCGTAAATCCACAAGCGAAAACACGTGGGATTTCACACTTTGGGAAGAAAACTATAAAAATTAACAAAAAACAATAAAAAAGGGCCCCAAATAATTATAAACTGAAGAAATAATGAAAATCCAACTTACAGTTTCATGAAATTCACTTTTACACACTTTATTTCAGGTTCCAAAGAAAATATAGCCACAAAATGAATAAATCTCCACACCCCACAGGCACCCCAAAGAGATCAAACATGGCGGAACTAAAGAAATATGATAATGACCCAACCAATGAAAATTTTACAATTATAATTAATCAACCAATAAAATTTTAATTCCGAAAATGTAACTCTTTTAACAAAAAAATAAAGGGAGTGAATCCAAAACAAAGTCGTCGTGGGCCGCTAAATCTGAAATAGCCTCCTAATTGCTTATGATTCGGAATAATGATAATGTTGAGATAGGATAATTTACTCACCCTCTTCTTTCTAGGCTCTACACTTTCAGAGTAGATAATGATTCTTTATGATGGACCGATTATGATTATTATATTCTCATTATACATAATTATTATTATTTCATGGAGAATGATGGACATAGCCTTTTCGGGGTGTATGTGCCAAAAAGACGGAGGCCTTTTTACAAGCTCGGCGCTCGCATTGCAAAAAAATTTATAAAAAATAAACTATTCCCTTAATATATGTAAAACTATATATATTCTTGTAGGAAATTGAATGAACTAATGCAATCTTTATGAATCAAACTGAAATATCAAAATTTATGCAAATGAGCTACCCTGATTTGCATTATTTATGCTTGTAATTTTTTTGTTACACCTAGACTAAACATGACTTACTTGTATCAATTGTGTGAATTTTTTTATGGATGAAGCCTGAATAAGTTCTAACACTTTTGTTGTTGGGAGACAAGGCCCATGGAGGCCTTTCAGATACATCTGGCACATGGTTCTACTCCTTTTCCACCCCCCCACCCCCCCTATTTTTCAGTTGTTACATACACACTGTAACAGGCCCCCATTTATGACCTAGGGACCTTTTCTTAAGCTGGATGTTACTGAGAAAGTTGTCTGCATATCTATTGGTCTCTCTCATAAACATTTGAGTGATATTTAGTGTAAAAAAATAGCATAAAGTACTCAAATGGGGTGCTTATGCCTTACCTATAGGACTTATGTTGTCTAAAAATTCAGAAGGGTCATCTCTGTCCATTTGAGGACCCCTAATACTAGTAACACTAAACCAAAAGGTCACAACATTAGCATTACCCTCAATGTGAAAGTCATCATTAATTTCCTGGTTGTTTTCATCAGTTTCAGTGTCAGATTCGCTGCTAGAATATCAAAATCACTAAGCACAGTTTGATCAGAGTCTCTGTCAGATATGTTCAAATTTCACGATGTAACTACACACCCAAAAAAAAATTCCTGCACACAAATAAATTGAGTTCACCTTCAACGAACGCCGCCATTACAATGCGGGGATGTGCAGGAATACGTAAGAAAAATTTTGATTAGCTGGTACAACGCCAAGCCAGCCAATCGGAGGCTCGATTTATTGGGCCGATAGTTCTGACTTACGTCTTTCTCGCTAGTCAACCTTGGGCCGATAGATCGGCCCTTACGTCTCCAGAGGGTTAATAATATTAAATGAAAATGACATTTTATTTTCAAATAAACTAATAAAGTATTTTTTTCCATGAAGCTGTAGGCTATGTATGTTCATATTGAATTGAGCTTATGGCTTACACAATGAGAATTAATATGGGCATAGTGCTCTCCTCTACCCAGCATTATTATTATTATGCCTAAGCCTATGAAACCACAACACCTGCCTATCCTATCAACTTAATAATTAATAATCTAATTTTAAAATCTTAATGAGTATGTCTAAGATGCCTAAATGATTTGCTTGATAGCATATTCTAATATAGATATTTGCGATTCTAGTTTTATACCAACTGGGGAATTAGTAATATACAGGCCAATTTATTTAATGAATTGTTATCTTTCTTATCACAGACTAGCTCAAACTTCCTCGCCCTAAGTTCTAACTGTACAGTTGTCAACCTATGTCTCCTTGAATGAATAATAAATTAAATAAATTCACTGTGCAGCTAGTTTAATTATTAAACTTAAACCCACTCGCACTCCTGCCTGAGGCTTCTTTTCTGTTCTTACATATTTCCTAAGCAGATATACCAGGGGATGCTGTGCTGGGATAATACAGCAGGCTAGATTTTTTCTTTCCTTCCCAGTGTACTATCGATAGACTAAGAGGAATAAGATATAGATATCATTGCACTGTATAAAAGTTTATATTTTATGTAATTCTAAATAAGACTTTCTAAATAAGACTAAGGACGCAACCCAAAAGTAAACTTTAATTACATTGATTGATGATGATAAAATTCAATTAATTAGATTAGAAAATAAATTATACATAACTGGAGGATATTAAATAATTTTCTTCTTTTGTAATAATTCAAACAAATCACTTAACATATTATATGTAAACTTATACAATACATGTATGGAACTAACTTTCATTTCAAGTGTTTTTTTTAAACAATCTTATCATTATTAACAGGAGGGTGAATCTGATGCATGGGATGACACAGTTTTAATCAAGGCCTATGATAATGCTGTTTCAGCAATGAAGGTATGCCACTGTTATATCCATTCAGGATAATTTTTTTCAATATTAATATTAAGGTTTTTTTTTACAACTTGCATCAGTTGTAAGATTTCAAAAACTTTTTTGAGATAATCATGAACTAATTTTGGGTTATGTAATAATTAACTGAGGATTTTTTAATTTTATTTTTTGTCACAGTTATTTGCACATCCTATCATTTATATATAAAACTTAAATTTATCTCAAATATTCATTTATCTCAATATCTTGAGTCTTACTTACATAGGTAAGCAATGCCCTTAGTCTGAGTGATAATAAGTGCTCTGTTTTGTATTAAATTAAAGTACCGATACAAAAAAATGAACCCAAAAGAACTAAAGTTTGTAAAATTATCTATCTTTTGTCAAAAGCAGATGGTGACAAAGGCTTGCTTTGGATATTGTTTATAACCCAATTAATTCAACGTAGTTTTGCTTTTATGTTTTCATATTTTTCTTTTACATGTAATCATTTGAACTGATTACTGTCCACAATTTTCCTGCTTAATGAAATTTCAATAACAAACTCTTAAGTGACAAATACATTTTTTTTAAATTTATAAATGCCTGTTAAATAAGTTTTCTAGACTTAAGTTGTAATAAAATTGGCACAAAAATAAAATATGGGGAGCCGAATTTTTAAAAAAAATTTTAGCTTTGAAAATACTGTATATTTTTTTTTTTATCACACCAACGGCTGTCTTTATTTAGCGTCAAAATTAACATTCTGATTCTTGGCAAAAGGTTTATTTTATTAAAAAAAATTATTTTTTAAAAATATTTTTGTCTTTTCCAGGCTAAATTAGCAGAACAGCATCCTGAATTTTCTTCTGTTCAACCATCTTTAAAGCCAAAGAAAAAGAAGAACAAAACAAAATGCAAAAAGAAGCAGAAACATGTAATAAATTAGTTCATCATTTTTTCTGAATGAAATATACAAACTTGAAAACGTTTTGTTTTCATTTAGGAATTATAATATTTTGAGGATTGTTCTCCCCCTTTTGGGCTGGAGTTATAATAACCGACTGGCTGAAATTGGTAATATGGCCACAACAAAAAATTTAAATCTCTATCTGATTGAACCTGTCTGTTTTAAATATGTTGTAGTTTTCTTTTGAGTTCAGAAATTGTATTTAGATTTATAGAACTAACACAAATTTGGAAAAGTCAATCCTTGATTTTTCTACAATTTCAGACCTGGTTATTCTTATGATTTTGGTGTACAATGTACGATTTTGAGATGTCTTATACTTTTTACAATTTGTATACGAAGACCTGCCAGAACTATAATTTTTGAAAAGCAGTTTTTCAGATTACAAAAACATTATCAGTTGTTGGTTTTAGCTAATTTAGTCAAAGGAACCAGAAATACGATAGGATGGGTACCCATAATTATATTACTTACGAGAGGAAAAGGGTGGATGGGTGTTGTAGACTTATGGGCGTGCATGAGAGGGGGTAAGGGGGGAAGTTCCTAATATGTTTTAAATTTAAAGGCTGTAAATTAACACAGCCCCGTTTTGTAATGATGGTGATGATCGTCATATTGTTGCTTTGTGTTTTAACTATGAACTCGCTGGATGCAGCAAAGTAATATTAGCGTAGTCCCCTTGGTGAACATTTAGTAAAATATTGCTTTTGTTAGCCTAATTTATGACCTAATTTAGTGACTTAATTATTTTGTTTTTCAGCTGAACCATGGCGAATTTGAAAACTGAGTTAAAAATGGATTTTTAAAATGCATTCTTAGCTGCTCTGCATGACAGCATTAGATTTAGACATTTTAGTAAGATCTAGAAAGATGCTGTACTATTTTAATACTCCAGTTTGGTTCCAAACCAGTACAGCTTGCAGCATTATAAATTATTATAAAGACTATAATATGTTAATGGAAATAAAATCAAGCTTCTAGACTTAATGTAAGGGTTGCCGACCCGTTGCCCGCATCATTGAATATTGCGGCCTGTCGGATGTATCACAAATGAACTTATTTATTTTTTCCATTAGTGTTTATTTTCTATCTTGGCTTAAACACACATTTGAGATATATATATATATATATATACATCAATTTTTGGTGATAATATGTACCATTTCAGTGTAACAGCCCCTCTTAATATAAAAAAAAAATTGTAAGCAATTTTACTATTTAGTAATGACTAAATTGAAATGATTTATTTTAACAGCTAAGTGGAACGTAATTCTCCACCACAAGCTCTTCTCCTAGTGTAGAATGAAACTCAGACCTGTTTACCCTCACAGTTCTTCTCCTAGTGTAGAATGAAACTCAGACCTGTTTACCCTCACAGTTCTTCTCCTAGTGTAGAATGAAACTCAGACCTGTTTACCCTCACAGTTCTTCTCCTAGTGTAGAATGAAACTCAGACCTGTTTACCCTCACAGTTCTTCTCCTAGTGTAGAATGAAACTCAGACCTGTTTACCCTCACAGTTCTTCTCCTAGTGTAGAATGAAACTCAGACCTGTTTACCCTCACAGTTCTTCTCCTAGTGTAGAATGAAACTCAGACCTGTTTACCCTCAAACTCTTAAAATCGTACAATATCATCACAAAATCGTTCAATACCTTATATTTAGAGTAAAAAATAAGCATACAGTATATATTTTTACACCTCAAAATCGTACATTGTATGCCAAAATCGTAAGAGTAAACAGGTCTGTAAACTAAATTCAGGTAAATGCCAAAGTGCATACCTGTATTTTGAACTTTCAAAATAATTTCTGGGGAGGAGGGCTCAGCCCCCGCCCATACTTTTACCTGGGGTATTCGTCAGGCGTCCTCGATTTCAGCTCCCCCGCTCCATATTTGTCATCTGCTGTTGGAAAGTGACCTTTAGTTGTCAAAGAGTTATTGTATAAATTCAGTGGTGTAACTAGGGTTAGTGCCACCGGGGCAACTGGATATTTTTGTCGCCTCCTTCAAGACAAAAATTGTTATTTTCAAAAAATTGCTGCTCCTCCAAATAGAGAAAAAATAATTGCACTGGTTGGACTGTGACCCCTTGACATTATACTGTATGTTTGTTTAGTCACTTTAATGATTGGGTAAGATTTTGAGATGTTTATTTATTATTCTGGAATGATAGTGTACTACTATATTTTTAGAGTTCCATTGTAACCAAGTCTGTAATGTAGATAACTGAAAATTGTATAATAGTATTATTCAAAAGGGTTGATGGGATTGTTGGGAATGTGTCATGATTATTTTTCAATGGGTTTTTTTTAGCATCAGTCAACCCATATCAGATGGAAAGTTGGAGACTTATGTCAAGCTGTGTATTCTGTAGATGGTGAAATATATGAAGCTAGAATAGTCTTCATTGATGAGGCTAAGCAGACTTGCACATTAGAATATGTTGACTATGGAAATGAGGAAGAACAGCTGCTTTCAAAATTGTTGCCTATTGACAGCCCTGCATCCTCTCAAGAACAGCAGACAGATACAGCTAGCGAGGCCCGTAAAATATTAAAACTTTAAAACTTTTTATGGGCAAAATATTTTTCATAACTATAATCCTTTGTTGAAGCTAAGCTTAGTTAAAATATTTACAGTTCATATTTACAGATGGTATTTTTTTATCAAAGCTTTTCATATTTTGCTTCAATGTTAAAAATGTTTGTTTATGACAAATGCCAAAGCCATTTTTAAAAAAAGATAATGAATTATCTATCCAGACAGAAAGTGTGAGTAAAGCACATAATGTTCCCGAAGCCAGTTTTAACAAGCAGAGGAATAAGAGATCATCTAGTCATCAGCATTTCCAAAGTACCCAGCATGCTCCGAAATGGCCATGGAATGAATTCCCACCTGCTCCACCTTTTGGACACATGCCAGCTCCTCCACCAGTAAGGAATATTGTTTATTCCTTTCATTAACCCATTCACTACTATTGCGACCAAATGCTACATACCCCCCCCCTCCCCCTTGCTACTAAAGCCTAGACACATACATAAAACACACAATATCGCAGAAGCATTGCTGCCATGCAAATAGCTTTGGGATTTTTAAAAAGTATGAATAATTTAGTTTTAGCTGATTTAAGGTGTGTGGTGTTGAAGTTGGTCTAGATGGCATTTTAGTTTCTTGATTCTTTGATTGCTTCCTCCGCTTCTAATTATTAAGCAGATGATAATTCTAACATTGAAAACGAATGAGAAATTTATATTGATCAAAACGCATTGAATTCAGACTCAGAATCATAAAATAAAAGCTTCCAAAAGGAACAGTTGAGGTGACAACACTTGACACATTTGACATCTGCGTCTATTGCCTCAGGCTTTCCAACCCCACCCCGGTTCATGATACCCTCACTGAGTAGCCCTTGCAACCACCCCCCCACCCTCACTGAGTAGCCCTTGCAACCACCACCCCCCCCACCCTCACTGAGTAGCCCTTGCAACCAGTGAAACATCCTCTTCAACTGAGTCTTGGTCAGACAATTTGAACAGTAACTGATAAGATGGAGATATTTAGTGAAATAGATTTTTAGAAGGTGGCATTCACAACCATCCTATTGCAAGCATTCCAGTTGACTACTTAAAACTGTTAGTGACTGATGCCATGGTGGAGCTTTTTGTGGTGGAAACCAACAGATACGATGAGCAACAGCAGACTACTAAGAGTAAGAGCTGTAAAGACACCCAGTGGAAGGCTGTTACTAATGAGGTTTACAAATTCTTATACATAAATATTAAGTTTGGGCTACAAAAATTGCCTACTACTAAACTGCTCTGGACTTCTGAACAAATTTGGAGGGTCCCAGTAGTTGAGGAATTAAGGGTTGAACCAATTATGACAAAATAAGACAGTATTTTCACACCACCAACAATGAAAACATTCCACCCAAGAACATTGTGAACTATTATCCCCTTTACTAAGAGAGACCATCACTAGATCACATTAGGAATGTGTGACAGTGTATAAACCACAACAAGAGCTGTCCTTAAATGAGGCAATGGTTTGTTTTAGTGGCAGCTTATCATTCAAGCAGTACCGGTAATTGAGTAACAAGCCAACTTCATGGGGCATCAAAATTTGGTGCTTTACAAAAGCAAAAACTGGATATGTTCTTAAATTTTAAGTTAGACTGGTAAAAAGTAACAATCCATCCAGATTATGTCAGTGCTGGAACCTTATCTGGATAAGTATCACCAAGTGTTTTTCGACAATTTCTTTTCCTCTCCAAAACTTGCAAAGGACCTCTTAGCAAAAAAAAACATACAGCTGTGCAACCATTAGGTCCAACAGAAAAGGCTGGCCACTACCAAGGTCAAAACAGAAGAGATGAAGTGTTAAAATTAAGCAGAAAGGTTGAATGGTTGCCACACAATGAACTGATAAACGCCAAGTCAACATTATTATATCCACAAATTCTGACCCAGCAGTGACCACGATTCAACGCAGGTCAAAAGTGGGAATGACGATACAGCAATCCCAATGTCACTTGTAACCTACAATTCAGGTATTTTGGGGGGGACTTATCAGACCAGCATATTGCTTATTATCCTGTGGGTCAAGCAAGTTAGCAAGTGGTGGAGGTATATGTCCAGGTACCTCATAGATCTTTCAATGATCAAAAGCTTTCTTATTATGATTCTGAAAACTGCTAAACCAACTGATGCCCCAGAGTGTTCAGCCCAAAGCCATGTAATGTTTCACAAGGCTGTGTTAGACCAACTTTTGACTACTGCAGCTGCAAATGCAGGCAGCAGGAGTATCTCTGCCACATACAGCAGTCAGCATATGTTGAGTCCAGTGACTCAAATGTTGATGTTACTACCAATGCTCAACTGATGTTAACAAGATGGACAGTGGTAGAAACAGGGAAACAACTGGCTGTCATTTGCGTCAGGTTCATCTTCACAAGACCTAATGCTTTTCTTGTTTCGATGACTCTACAGTCATAGTAATGGCAAACTACGGGGGTAAACGCCCTTAAAATTCAGCCGAAATTTGATTACATGATTTACAGCAAATATTTTTGTAATTTAAAGTATCCAAAAATATACAATTACATTTTTGAAAAGTTAATTCAATTTTATATTTTGTATGCATGTTTTGTTAAAACAGGTTGATGCTTGGTTGTTGAAAATATTTTTTAACATGAGGGTTAATTTATTTTAAAGTGATCTCCCTTTGATAGGATTTCAGAGGGTTTTTTAGTGTTGGTAGCCAATGTGTTTAAGGGATCACAAATATTTCCTCTTTTTTAAATCAATCAATAATTCTGCTCCAATTTATATTTTTATAACACTGTCTCAATCTCTATAAAGTCTTACAGTTAAAAAAATTTCTAGAAATGTAAGTCAATTTTAATTTTTACAAGAATCTGCAGGGAGCACTTTTGTTTATTTTCTCTCCAGCCATATCCACAATTCCAGCCTCCTCATCCATTTCCTGGCTTTCAAGCTCATGGCTCCACATCGTCAATTCCGCCAGTAAGTTGAACTTCCAATAATGAAAAAATCATCTTAACAACATTGGAGCTCATGTTCCAAACTTAAACGAAATTCTTAAGAGCAAACAGAGAATTAATCAACTTTAAATTCTCTCAATCCAGATGTTTCCTTGTGTTCCCCCACCACCACCATTGTTTACTGAAAGAGGCTCTGGGGATGAAAATGAAGCACTGTACAGTATGCTCATTTCCTGGTATATGAGTGGCTATCATACAGGTTACTATCAGGTAAGTCACTAAATGACTGTAACTTGTAGACTCGAACTTTGATGTGGTTTTTTTAGAAATCTTCTTTTATATTTTCTTTATTACACTCATGTACTTAAGTCAATCAGAATTTTTTTCTAAGATATTTTGAATTACCCAGCGAAGGATGTAAGGGTGGTGTTGCAAAAGGGAAGTGGGAAGTCATTCTGAATGGTTCCCATATGCATCTTCCTACTACATAATTTTTCATCCAATGTGTGATTTCTGAACTAATAAATGATTTTATTTAGTACCGTATTGCTTCTTCTGGCATATTATTATTATTTTATAGGCTCAGCTTACTAGCGAGCTAGGCACTTTTCTGGCTCTTTGCGGTTAAAACGAAGGGTGGTATGCTTATGAATGAACGGATTTATGAACTTATATATACTGTGATAATGATAATTGTGACAAGGTCATCAGTTTAATGATAAAATTTATCCATGGTGATTGATCTCAAATTCAGAATATAAATGATTTACTTTAACATGTAGTCAAGAATAAAGTGACTGATAAGAATTTTTTTCAAAACTTAACCAACGAAAAATGAAATGGAACTTTGTGTTTAAAGAACACATTACAGCTGTTTTATGGTTATGGCGGTAGGCTGTTTACAAGGACTGAACTACACCTATGAAGGATGATTTTTTTTAAAAAACTTATTGCTTGTTCACACTGTAATACTGCTAGATTCTCTTGTATTATGGTAGATATTTGGAATGTCATGAGATAATATAATTTGAAGATCAATTATTCTGTCAGTGATAGTCTCTAAGAGTTCTTCAATAATAAATCAAAATATTTTATTTCTTCATGCTCAGGGTTTGAAACAGTCAGCAGCAAATGCCTCAGCAGCCTCTGGTCACAGAAGTCATAGATGATAATTAAATTGTGTAAGGTGTATGACAGAAATTCCCATCTTTTAACTTTCATCGTGTACTTTATTTTACTATTGAATATGACTTAAGTTGTGATTATGCAAAATAATTGACTTTTTTGTTGAGTGACCACTTATGATTTTTTTTATTGGGTTTTTTTTTTTTCATATTAAAAAAATATAACAATATTTATGTTCGCATGTGTCCATTTTTTTTACAAGGAATTTAGGAATAATTATTTCAAGAAAAAATTTTAATCAGGGAGGTAATTTAGACGAAAATTTGTAAAATATTTATTGTGTAAGGTAGCTTGAGCAATATGGCTGCTGGCCTGACATCTTCAAAAAATGTATTATTTACCAGTACCTAAACAATTATTAATCTAATTAAACAATAATGACTTATACCAGTAATTAAATGTTTTGATGAAGAGAAAAAAAGCAAAACTAATGAATTATGTGTCAAAGTTTAATTCTAAGGGTCAACTTCTGCAATACTCTTCATCATTGGAAGTCTCATCATCATCAGTGGTTTCATCTCCATCAAAACTTTTTTCATCTAGTGTAGCACTAGCTGCTTCCAAGGCAACTGATGGACTCTCACCCTTTTCAATATGCCGAAAAAACGATCCTGTGATTAAAAGACAAAATCAGAATGCCCAAATTCTTAAAAGTGATTGTGAAATCTCAATAACTAATGATCTAGGCATGAAACTCTGTAACATTGTACAATTTTTACTTATAGAATCGTTGCGGTGCATTGTGGTTGTGTTTATAACTGATATCTTAATTAAAAAAGGCAGAAAAGAACACTAATGGAGATGGTAATAATTAAAGAAAGAAATAAACGAGAGGAAATGAAATATAAAATTAAATTGGAGATAAATAACCACTTTTATAACTTCCAAAATGATAGAAAAGCTGTATCAATTTATTTAAAAATTTTATTGCAAAACATACTTCTCTGTCTCTCTTTTAGCTGTTTCAACTCAAATTTTAGCTGCCCATCTTGTAACATCTTTTCTTGCTCACTAGGACCAGGTCTGAAAAAGAAAAGTATTAAAATACAAAGGAGAAGAAAAATGTGATTAATGCAAAATTAGAAGCACATTTAATAATAGTAATAGTAGTACCGGTAGTAGATGCTATTTTCCAGTGACTGAAAATAAATTCTTGCTGAAAGAAATTGAACGAAAATTAAATGTTATTTAAAACTTTTAAAAATAATTAATAATTATTAAAATTTACCGGTATACATTAAGCACAAGGTATGTTAAAACTTGAACTGAGGCAAATTTTTAAAAATGTTACTTTGTGTTTTATGACATAACCAAAAATATGCTCTTCAAATAAATAGAAATAAATTCAAGAGTCATGGGTTGCTTGTAAATAAAAATTCATTAAAAAGTAAAAGGTACATACTTAACAATATTTTCCTGTTTTGTATTGCATTTAGCACAAACTTTAGCTTCAGTTGCACAAGGTTGGCAGACAGTGTAATAAGCCCTCTTTACAGTTTTATCATGACACCTAACACTGTTAAAAAATATGTAAGTTTCTTAATTTAAAAATGTCTAAATCTTAAAGGTATTGTCCTAATCTTGAAATTGGCTGAAGAAATAATGGGAAGGGAGGAACTGATCAATGGTATTTCTTTCCTTAAACTGCAATGACCATGGGGAAACCAATGTAGTTAAGTATCAGGCTTATCAAAAGAATCTGGGAGAAACTAAGTTAATTGTGTGCACACACAAACATTTATAAATGCCTTTGTCAAAATATGTACAATGGAGTGTCTGAGCTTTAAAATAGAGATCCAACTCACAGCATCGATAAGTAACGTATCTTTAATTAGACATGGTAGTAAGAAAATATAGGAATCAAAGGATCTGATTATGCAAACTCAAGTTTTCAACACAAATGTCAAAACAGTCCTGTTATATGGAGCCGAAACTTGGAGAACATCAGCGAGCATCATGCAGGAAGTACAGACCTTCACAAACACTTGCCTTAGAATGGCCAAACAACATCACCAACAAAGACTTACTGGAAAGGACATACTAGTGATACCAGGAGCCTATTGCTGAAAACATGAGGAAAAGATGGATAGGGCAAAATCTTCGTAAACCCCCAGGGAAAAAGGAAGAGAGGAAGGCATAGAATACATGGAGATGTGAGCTAGAGGCAGACACATAAAGTATAGGATACACCTGGAAGCAACTGTAAAACAAAGCACATGACCGAGATGAATGAAAAATTCTTGTAGATGGCCTATGCCCCAGGCTGGGTAAAAGGCTAAGTATAAGTAAATAAGACATGGTAGTGATGGCTAGGTCTTTTGTTCATTTTAGTGCAATGATTTTACAATTTTTAAAAATTTTTCATAACATAACTTCATTCTCTCCACTCACTATGAGACATAACTGAAGGCATGGATTTTATGCTTGTCAAAAGCAAAAAGGGTTCCTTTGATAAAAACAAGGATTTGATTACATTGGTTATATGACTAACCCTTGAACTTGAACAGTTAACTATAAATTAATTATTGTGCTTTCAGCATCATTGTTGCCCTCAAAAATGTACAAGAGAACAAAGTTACCATGCCAGATTTCTTATAATAGCTGTGTGAATTGTATAGTAATTTATCATATAAGCTAACTAAGAATCTATTTTAATTACATTACCTACCATGTTGCTGGCTGCGAAAGAGGTTTGTACTTTTTATACTTTATTTTCCATTCAATTATTTCTTTGCAACGATGACATATACCTTCTGGACAAAGATTGTTGATCATTTTTATCTTTGAAGATTTATCGTGCATGTCATTTTTAAAAGCCCTGGAATTTTGATATTTTTGTGTGCGAGTCCTTGCAACATTTCCTCGCTGACTACTCATAGTTTTGTTTTTTTAATTTCTGTGGAGATTAAAATTTAATATATAAATAAATTAATAATTGCTTCAGGAGTATCACTATCTCCTCTATTTTCCAGAGTCAGTAGTAAGCCTAACTTGTTTATTCACTCATTCTCAATGGCTGCCGTCCATCAGGCTGGTATTTATTATTATGATTATCACCTCTATTCACTTCTTCATCACTATCCAGGCTGCAGTACATGGAAGTATCATTGAAGGGCCTTTATAAAACATACATTCAATTTTATAATAATGCTGACTCTCAATCATCAATGTTCATTAAAAAAATATAGATGCTGCAATGGTTCTCATCTACTTCTGACAGTAACATCACTCGTCAATGTGTAACTCAGCAGTTAAGTGTGTTACTGTCTGTAAGTGTAGTAGTAGTAGTAGTAGGCACTACTGACCCGAGCCGTCGCATGGGCTAAATTCTACATAGCCGGTATCGCCTTTTATCCTTTCAATGCATGTGAGTGCTGCAAGGGGAGTGCACAGTTGAGTTTCTCTACATTCACATTATCACTTATTAAATCATATATACTATTTAATTATGCTCAGCTGTTACTCGGGAGTGGCTTTTATCACTTTAATATCAGGGTTTCATCAATGATATTCATCAAACATTAACTAAGTGATAAGTGCTGAGCTTGATAACACTTAATTGGTCAAAATTAATCTAAGCTTTCTTAGAGAGCCTCAAACTTTGTGGCCAATAGCGTAGTGTTAATCTTAAGTCGGGGATGATTAAATAATTTGAAATTTTAAACGTTTATTTTATATGGTAAATTTGGAGAGATAGCACTGCATCCGCCATCTTGGTTGCCGCGACCCACGAACTTATGTCCTAAATCATTTACTAAATTTTTTTAAATGTATTCTCAACCTAACCTGAACCCTAAATCTATCCCTAAACCTGATCTGAACCCTAAACTTATCAATAACCCGGGTTTTGACCCTATCGGAACCAGGGTTTTGACCCTAATGGAACCAGGGTTAGTGACTACACTTACAAACTGACACGGTAATCACCTAACTTACACTAACACTTACAGTGACTGTAACTTATAGTTATTATAGTATAGTATCTTGGTCTCCCTCTCGCCGAGTGATAAAACCGTTTAAAACCCCACCCAAAAAAAATAACATATTAAATGTTTATATAAGTTGTTAGCTCTTTTCCTACACTAGGGTTATGAGTTTGTCTTTAAAAAAGGAAACTTACATTAAAAGAAGAGGCCTAAATCTCATCTACATGAAATTGACATTAATATTTTTAAGGCTACAAAAATCTTGCACAACTTTCCTGAAAGGCTTCATGCATAGTGCGATGGCGATGACACTACTTACCGATATAATTAAGATACTACCGAAATTAATACATTTTAGAACATTTTTTTAACCAAAAGATTTTATTTTTCGAGAGGATAATTAATTTTCTAATTATGTATCTTCAGCGATTCCCAGTTAAAGGTAGGGAAAATTACTTGACGAAAAATATATTTTAATGAGACTGAATAATAAGAATACAAACAGCATTTTATAAATATAATATGGGGAGGAATCCATTCAGACATATATGAAATATAAAATGCTTCATTTTTTAAATAGGTTGTGTCTAAACTAATAGTTTTACAGTCGAACCCACTTATATTGACCTCGGTTAACTGGGCAACCCTGTTATGTCGACGCTTTTGAAGTGGAACCACCAAATTCTGTCTTTGTCTTTATATTAGCATGTTCTTCTTGGTTATGTCGATTCTTTTATGTCACCGAACCCTGACATCTCGAGTACAAAAGGCGGCCAAATTTGCCACTGAACCTCGGTTATCTCGATCCCCATGACCAATCGCCGGCTTTTGAAAATTATATACAACAGAAACGTGCCTACTTCAAACTGTACTAATTGAAAAGAAATGCAAATATCGTTGTCCCCGCAACATTTCAAGACTTTTCAAACATGATAAAACCCTAGTCAACGGGTCTCCAGATTTTATTCCGTCCTATTAGCCATTCAATCAGTTGTACGCCCCTGACAATAAATACAGCAGAAGAAAAGGATTTCTAATTGCTCTAAAGCTCCAAAAGTCACTCAAACTATTACTGTTGGGGGGGGGGGGGGGGAAATAAAAGTACCGGAAGTCGGGTTATTTAAATATACAAAAAATTATTTTTTCATATCTATTTTATATGGGTTTTTTTTTTTTTTATTCTAATTGCTCTAAAGCTCCAAAAGTCACTCAAACTATTACTGTTGGGGGGGGGGGGGTGAAATAAAAGTACCGGTAGTCGAGTTATTTAAATATACTAAGAATTATTTTTTCATATCTATTTTATATGGGTTTTTTTTTCTTTTCTGGCTCTTGGTTTGAATTCAGAGTTTGCCTTATCTTAGATGAGTTGCCGTCCCGAGATGCTTGGGATGATTGATTCCACATTTATATCAAAGTAAATTGAAAGAAAAGTTGGCCTACATTCACTTTCCTTTCTATGATATCTAAGACTTGATGTATATCTTTGATATAAGTCTCAGGATTTAGATTTCAGTTAACCCGTAGTCTTGTTTTTGTGCCTGAAAGAGTTTGGTAACACAATGAAACATGACGTACCGGCAAATCTGGAACGCATGGTATAAGCCTATGTCTGATACAAAACACATTTATACGTCCTTTATTATTAAATGCCACCCCCACCCCACCTTGAAATTATAGATCCTATAATTATCTAAGGACCTTTCTAAATACTTTCTTAAGGCACGGGATTTTAGAGGGTTACCGGAAATTTCATTGAAAGAAATTTCGTCGACGGTAAATTGATCGACGGAAATTTGATCGAACGGAAATTTGGTCGAACCTTTTTTTTTCCAGTTCAGACGTTAAAATTTTCGTCGAATTTCCTTTTCAACGCACTATACCATATCGCTAAACAAAATAATGCGTTCGAAAAGAAATTTTACGCAAAAGTTTTAACGTAAAAACTGAAAAAAAGTTTCGACCAAATTTCCGTTCGATCAAATTACCGTCGATCAATTTACCATCGACGAAATTTCTTTCGATCAAATTTCCGGATACGATTTTAGAGCCATCGGGTGACCCTAAGAGAGTGGTCCAATAATGTTTAATAAAATGGTTATCTTGCCCACCACACACGTCTCACTGGCGTAACCACGCCTCGTCTCACTGGCGTAACCACGCCTCGTCTCACTGGCGTAACCACGCCTCTCATTGTGTTCTAATCAAGTCACATTCAAGGCCCAGTAATGCAATACACATTAAATAGCATCATGTACATTAAGTGACATCGTAGGGGCTGAGTGACATCATTGTCCTGTAGCCTACATTAAGTGACATATTAGGCACTGAGTGACAACATTATCCCTAAGACCCATAACCCTTGCCAAGCTCGTGTCCTCCCTTGTTTAATCTTTATGGGTGTGCTTATCCAAATATTAGCCTGTCCTAGTCCTTAAATAATATTTTATTAGGCCTAGAATAAACGTATCTTGGGGGTGGTCTCTGCCCCCCCCCCCCTAATTTCCAATTGTCTTTCAGAATTAATCAATGACTGTAGATTTAAATAGTTGAGGCGTCATCTAAATTTAACATGTTACTACACCCTGGCGCCATTAAATGCACAGCGTTCAGTCGAAGCTTTACGGTACTGCACCTCCAACACTAACCTATCTGAGCAGATTGTTTACACTTAGGAGCACTCGCACTGACGCTACGCCGCGTGCACGTCTGCCGGGGTGTGTTCTCTCTACATCACACTCGCTGTCTGCCTCTCACTCAGCCGGACTGTGTACACCCCCCACCCCCCACCCCCCACTCCCACCCCGAATAGCAAGAACGTGACTGGATGGGTGAGTGATACATTTACAGCCCTTGCCCTCATCACTGTAAAACATTTGCTCACCCCCTCATCCGTCGTTCAACAAAGTACTTAATAGCACTAGTTCATTGCACTGTCACAGTACCTAGTGCCAATAGTATTTTTAGTTTTAAATAGCATCATTGGTATTTTATAACGCCGATAGAGATTTTACAGCACTGAACACCAATTGGATTGTATAGCCCCCGCAGAGTCATTTTAGCACCAATAGTTTTTATAGCATTGCTATTTTTTAGCATCAATTAAAATATTTATAACATTGCTAGTATTTTTTTAGCCCCAAAAGTATTATTAGCACCAATAGTATTCATAGCATTGTTAGTATTTTTAAAGCACCAATAGTATTTATATCATATAATTGCTATTATTTTTAAAGCACTAATAGTGTTTATAGTATTGCTAGTATTTTTTTAAGCACTAATAGTATTTATAGCATTACTAGTATTTTTTAACACCAATAGTATTTGAATTATACGCTATATTTATAATTTATCGTACAAGCAGTTGGGGAAAAGGGCATTTAAACAATACTATTGGTGCTAAAAAAAATACTAGCAATGCTATACATTCTTAAAACCTAGCGATTGTCAATAAACATAGATCTAGTTGTCTACCCTTGCTAGTAACAAAACAAAAAAAAGGGGTGGGGGGAGGCTTGCGCGTGCTAACAGTATCGCGAGCTTGTCACAGGGGGCTCTCCTTTATATTTACCATGGATGGTTTTTGATTGTTAAGACTTTAGAGCCACGATGTGCCGGATTAATATTTCTAGAGCACTGCGCCTGCTCACGGCCCGAGGAAAATAAGGGTACGTGATTTGTGTTGGCCATCATCTTCGGTATTTGTGTGATGTGTGAAGATCGCCGTGCTTTTCTTCATACAGGATTGGATCTATCACTAAGTTAACACGAATAAAGTATCATCTGTCGGCCTCTTCAAGTGTCGGGGGGGCCAGGATATTATCGATCTCAATGATGTGCTGTCGTGCCTGCCCATCGGTCGACACACTCAGACACACTAGATGTGTGTTTTAGATAATTGAACTATAAATGGTGAGTCCTCTTTCTTTCTCTCTCGCTCGTTTTGTCTTTCTCTCTTTCTGTCTCCATTTTCAACTCATATATATGTCATTTATTTATTGTATGCTTGATATGGCCCTCATCCATAATTTATAAACTAATGAAAATGTTAATATTAATTTAAGATGTGTACAATAAATATTTATACGTCCTTTATTATCAAATGCCCCTACCCGCCACCCCAAATATCTCCCTTTTCCTCCATCATGAAACTATAGACTATAGACCCTACAATTTTCTAAGGAACTTTATAAATACTTTCTTAACTAAGGCACGGGATTTTAGAGCCATCAGGTGCTCTAACAGAGTGGTCCAATAATGTTTAATCCTAGTTATCCTCCCCAACACACTCATCTCACTTGCGTAACCACGCCTCTCATTGGGCTCTGTTCAAGTCACATGCAATGCCCATGAATCCAGTACACATTAAAGGGTATTATGTACATTAAGTGACATCGTAGGCAATGAGTGACAACATTGCCCTGTACATTAAGTGACATCGTAGGCACTAAATGACAACATTTTCCTGTACATTAAGTGACATCGTAGGCACTGAGTGACAACATTGTCCTGTACATTAAGTGACATCGTAGGCACTGAGTGACAACATTGTCCTGTACATTAAGTGACATCGTAGGCACTAAGTGACAACATTTTCCTGTACATTAACT